CTGCTTTACTTTGCTTGTAAATATCCAAGTTTGGCAACCATATAACAGACAGGGTAACAAACATGTATCATATACTGTCTTCTTCATGTGTAAGCTGTAATTCCCTTTTAGGATTTAGGATCTGACGACATTGATAAACAGCAACCTAGGGAACAGGCAGGATTCAGACCAGGTTTCAGCACGATGGACCACATACAGACACTAGAACAAGTTATAGAAAAATAAAGAGAATTCAATAGACCCCTGTATGTGGCTTTCATTGACTACAGCAAAGCCTTCGACACCATTAGTCATTCTTCAATCTGGCAGGCACTGCAAAACTCAAATGTTCACTACAAATATATTAGAATCTTAAAAAACATCTATGCACAAAGTACAAGCAGAGTAAAATTGGAAACACGTGGCGACGAAATAAACATAGAACGAGGAGTACGACAAGGCGACCCTTTGTCTCCAAAGCTTTTTATAGCAGTACTTGAGAGTATTTTTAAAAAACTAGACTGGGCAAATAAGGGTATATATATAAACGGACATTATGTGAACCATTTGAGATTCGCTGATGATATCGTTATTATGGCCGAAACTGCTAAAGATCTGGGGGATATGATGAAATCGCTTGACTACGAAAGTTCTAAAATCGGCCTAGAAATGAATGCAAGCAAAACCAAGATACTAACCAATTATCGCGAACATTCAATTACAATAAAAAATAACAATATAGAATATGTTAATAACTACATCTACTTGGGAAAGCAGATTTCATTTAAAACGTCGAATAACGAAGAAGAAGTTACAAGAAGAATTAACACAACTTGGAAAAAATTCTGGGCATTAAAGGAAATCCTAAAAGGGAATTACAGCTTAAGGATGTCATGTATGATGAAGAAAATATTTAATTATTATTCGTATAAAAGTGCTTCTCAAGACTTTGACTGCCAATAAAAAACTGTTAAAGGTAAATCCTCCGCTAACGCCGGTCACCAGTGAACCCAATGGCGTTTAACGTGTTAAAAAAATTCTTAAACTACGAACTCATTGCAAAAAAATAACGTAGGTATAATAAGACATGTCATTATATTTTTTTATTCTGATAAATCAAACTGATTGACCTATAGACATGTAAACAGTTATTAAAACTAATTTTCACGTGAGAGGCACGTGCCATGCAACTGATAAAGTTTAGTTAGGAATCTATAATATAATTTATTATTGCAACCAAATAAGGCGCACGCGCAAGTCATGTCAATGTATTCCATTAATGGATTAATATAACAATCCTTTTACCGATTGACCTAGCCGTTTATTATAGACATTAGACAAGTATATAAACGTCTATCGTACCGTTTGTCAGTCCTTCTGACAATACCTACGTACCTACACTAAATTATACTTCCCGCATATATATATATAGACTTCTTTGCTACAATTGGAATGATGACGGGGTATGAAAATTAAAAATCTTTTTAGTCCGTAAGTTAGGTAATAAAAATTGTATAATAAAATAAAACTTAGATAAAACGAATCAAAGTTTAGGAGTGGGAGCTAAAACGTCATTTCTACGTATAAAATGTACATGGCGACGTCACGCGACATTTCAAATCAATGTATCGTCGAAAGTATTCGTTTCTGTAAGAAAATAAAAAATACGTGTCTAATGATTTAAAATAATCTACCAGACGGACATTAAAATAAAAATTAGGCATCTTCCCTATTATAAAATTTGATACCAACGATATAAAGTTGTATTTATACGAAAACTTATTGATCGAACATTTTTAAGAAGTGCAAAAATGTTTTTATCCCAAAATATTCTGCAAAAGGAATAAAACTTCTATATTTGTATCAACACGTTCGGTTTGAATTCGCGCCAAAATTCTCGTCACATCCGAAATGTGTTAACGGCCAGCACGGTCGATGACCTTCGAATATTTCGTTTGACAGGAGCTAATAATGCATTCTAATATTAAAAATATTATAAAAAAGTATGTCGTATGTATGTAGTATATTTTCTTACGCGCTAAAATAAAATATTGAGGAAAGTGAATTCCCATTGATGTAATGTCACTCGTCGGCATTGATATTGACATAGACCTATTAACTCAATGATCGTTGATGATTAATTTATAAGCCAATTTTATACGGCATTTGACATCGGAATAAAAACATTATTGAATAAATGGGTGTAGTTTCCGGACTTTCTTCAAAATTCATGGAGTAACATTTGCCTCTACAAAATATATTATTTGGCAATATAACAAAACTAATCCATAAGCGCTGTTATGACAGATTCATTCATTGAATAGGATAACACTTGCCAAATAACATTTCATATTAACAGCATTCATATACCATAAATGACACTAATAGATACATAACACATGATAATAATTTTCTTCACACCTAAAAGACACAGGTAGGAACTACTTCAAAAACATTAACCACTTTGATTTTGGCAAAGGTACTGCTTTCACCTGTGAGCTACCAAAACAGGTTATTTTAATACGTAAAATGCATATTGTAAATTAATGTCCTAGCTGACATATTAAATACAAAAGGACTGAAAATATAAACAAATAGATAATGTGCCAAAAATTTAAGAGAGGCATAAGGAAGAAAGTCGACTCCTGGCTTTTTCCCAACTAGGTTGAGGTCACCACTATTTCCTAATGTTAGACCTTTTTAACTGAATAATATGCATTAAAACTATTTTAGTCTCTCTGGATATAAAACAAAGGAAATGTGTAAGATCAAACATCCAAACATGCATTTTTTTTATGGCATAAGCCGGTAAACGAGCTGACGGATCACCTGATGGTAAGCAATCGGCGTCGCCCATGGACACCTGGAACACCAGAGGCGTTAAAAGTGCGTTACCGGCCTTTTGGGGATTAGGAGTTTGAGGATCGTTGGGGATTCAGGGATTGGGGAGATTGGGGAAGGTGAGGGTAATTGGGCCTCCGGTAACCTCACTCACACGACGAAACACAACGCAAGCGTTGCTTCACGTCGGTTTTCTGTGAGGCCGTGGTATCACTCCGGTCGAGCCGGCCCAGTCATGCCGAAGCATGGCTCTCCCACACTTTTATGTTTCAGTATTGTTAACGTCTAAAGACAAAGAACATACTCAATTGATGAAAAACAACTCCTTTCGAGAAAAAATTACTTGTAAATATTCTATTTTTGTACAAACACGTTCCCAAGATAAACAGATTTTTCCCGATTACATCCAAAACAAAAGGAGGAGGATTAAGAATTTCTCTTAAGACTGTTTTCCTTAAGGAACACTGACTCATCAGATTGAGTCATTTTTGAATACGGGTAGACTAGTTCTTTCTTGATCGAATGATAATGTTGTTTTATTGGCAGTTAATTGGAGAATGTAAATTCCATATTTTCCTTAAAGAATACTGACTCATTCAAATTGAATCACTTCAGATACTGGTAGAGTAACTATTTCTTGATACAATATCTTAAATTTATATAAATTGTAGAATGTCATTCCATATTTACTTGAATTGTGAGCGGGAATTGCACGATACATATTATATTTGTCAATTATGTACACACTGTTGCGCAGACACACGTGTCATCAGTAGTAAATTGCAGTATCACTCCTCAATGCGCGATATGCGATAAAAATCATCATCATCATCATCAGCCTGTATTCATCCACTGCTGGACATAGGCCTCTCCAATGGCACGCCACTAAGCTCGGTCTTCAGCTCTTCTCATCCAACCACTGCCACCTTGCGGATGTCGTCACTCCACCTAGCTGGACCGCGCCCTACACTGCGTTTGCCTGGACACGGTCTCCACTTTAGAACACGTTTACCCCAACGGTTATTGATTCTTCGACAAATGTGACCGGCCCACTGCCACTTCAGCTTACTGATCCTTTGGGCTATGTCGATAACTTTGGCTCTCTGAAACTCGAATTGTGAGCGGGAATTGCACGGTACATATTATATTAACCAATTATGTTAATATAATATGTACCACTGTTGCGCAGACACACGTGCCATCAGTAGTAAATTGCAGTATCACTCCTCAATGTGCGATAAAGATACATACGCATAAGTTATGCACGCTATTCACCTTACGATTTAACTGTACAGTTCACCTGTTAGCTCTACACATCTTACGATTTACACATTATTAATTACACATTATTAATCTACACATTCACGATGTACAGTTTAACTGTACAGTCGAACTGTACAGGTAAATCGTAAGATGTGTAGAGCAAACAGTTTAAATTGAATAGTTTAAAAAAAAGGTATGTGGCCTGTATGGATTTAACAGTACACAACACTTTCGATGTACAACAGTTAAGTATGTCCTTATTACTACCTACTGTTAGTCTAATGAAGAATATAAATATTTCTGTCAATATCTTCAGGGAACAAAGGCGTGATGTTATGTAATGTAAAGTAATAGACTTATTAGCGGCGAAGTCGAGATTCCGACATGGCATTAAATAAAAATTCAGAAGGTTGCGTGTATTGCGGTGAACGCGGAAGATATCACAATTATGTTCTACTTTAACATTACTATACTTTTATATTAACTTAGTTAATGTAATTCCACGTAAACTATACTTATTTATACGTACTTTTACGACATAATAAATTATGGATTACAGTAGTATGATGACTGTTAAGATAGGTTTTATAAGATTAGTATTTAGAAAGTATTTTTATTATTTAAATATTTATATGATAATAATAAGTAGTAGATAATTCTTCACGTATTATTAGGATTTGCTTTATGATTGTAGTCTAATAATATAGACTCAAAGCCCGGTTAGATTATCGAGATTGATCTAATTATTACCTATTGTCATTTCGACAATAATAAGTTACTTTCCTTAGGATCTATTGGTTATAAACCCGTACAAAAATCTGTCCGGTACTTTATTAATTTATCGCTTTCGACAGACAGATACTTCAAATATTGTTGTCATACTTACTAGGTATTAAATAAAAATGTATTTGCCCTAGACTCGACGAGTACAATGAACTGTCCACCTCCGGAGCTGATCATGACCGAAGCCGACGCCATAGCTGACCCTGACTCTGATGATGAACCCGAGAGGAAAGACTCCTTAGATGTCCACGAAGAGGGTAAGTTTATTCTCATTATCTTATTAGTAGAAACTGACTATACCTATGCTTTGTTAAATAGATGTTCTTATTTTAGACAAAATTGAACTGTATTTCCCGCTATAAAAGGTTAAATTTTACTTGATAGGTTTACCTAGTTAGCCCAAGTGCATAGCTTAAATAAATAGTTTTCAGTACTTAAAAATAACTGGTCATTTATTACAATGGGGTTCATAAATCGCGACAACAATAACTATTAACGAATGCTTGAAATTAATTCAATAATAATGGTTTAGATACGGTGATTATCAATAGGCATAACAAAAAAATAACTAGGTAGATATTTAGTATCAACATTATCAAAGTCTTAAATACTTCAATACATGCACAATAAAAATTGTATAACTACCATACTCTACTCATTCCGTGATCAATGATAGAGGCGCTTGCGTCGATCTTTTACTTCCCGTTGCGTTTGCGCAGTTATTTAGATCGGCTGCCAACATTGTGCGAGCGTTTGGCAACATCCATCATTTTACTTTACACTTTCAAAGTGTCATCGATAAATTACATACGTGCGTAATAATGTAATACATATCACGCCTCGCGCCTCCCTGATAGGGTAATTGGACGTAGGTACAGTAAATCCTGTACGTCCAATTACCCCTTCAGCGGTTTACTCCTCTTCAGAGTTTTATACATGTTATTTTATGGAATAGGGAGCAAAAGCACAGCGCCGCTCATTGATTAGAGGCAAGTTTTTAAAGTGTCTTGGTCTCTTTCATTTGTCAAACCTAGGAATAAGACCTGTGCCTTTAGTCAAACGCCACCTTAGCGCTTGTCTACAGAGAGAATAGAAATCAAAATGTATGGGGATGACACTGACAACTGTCAAAATTTACGTCAATCTATACTAATATTATAAAGAGGAAAGATTTGTATTTTTGTATTTTTGTATGTTTGTAATGAATAAACTCAAAAACTACTGAACCGATTGCAATAATTTTTTCACCATTCGAAAGCTGCATTATTCAGAAGTAACATAGGCTATATAATATCACGCTAGGTCCTATAGTTGTGGAGCAGTAACCAAAAATGTTTTAAAAACGGGGGAAAAGTATCGTTTCTGAGGCCTTCCGTGGCGTGCGCTGAGCATATAGTTAAAGTTATACAAAAATGTTCTATAGATGAATTGTTTATCTTAACATTATTTTTAAAAAAGTCCGCGAGAGCATTTGTCTACCTTTTATAGTTTACCCATAACAATCGTTTTAATGAATGGTTCAATCCTTATAAAAGTTTGCTCTAGATAACTTTTGAATTGTTCAATCGGTTACCTTAAGACGCGACATCGACAACGGAGGGCAGGTCGCTAAAAAAAACTGAGAATAAATATAAATAAAACGTAAAACTATGTAAAAAATCTTAAGTCCCCCCGTGCGAAGCCGGGACGGGCCGCTAGTTCCATATAATTTGGTTTTCTATTTTACATGTAGACAAGTGCTAAATGGCATTTGGCTATAGCCTCTTATACGTCAGGCTTGCATTTATGAAAAGGTATTTAGCGACTATTAGTAAAACTGATTTCTTCTATGAATTTGTTTTAACTTTATATTTTTTGTTTTATAATTCTGTAACAATTTCAGTTATTTTACAAGTGTCTTTTAAGATTTATTTGTATAATTAAACAATAAGTTATTTTTATTTTCTTTTGTGTACAGACGAATTATTTGAACGCTGACAAACGGACAACTTATCGCTGTATTAACAACTCCGGTTACACCCGTCACGTACATGTACTACAGGTTTCTTGATCTATAATAATATTCCATTACATTTGTATTGTCTGTGACAACTGCCAACGTGGTCCTTTTGACCCCTGTGTGTACTGGTCTTAACTATCCTAATAGCAATTTTGTCCAATTCTTGGTTGATTGGTTTCGAACTACGCATGCTTTGTACCATAACGTAGATAATCATATGAACCATTGAAGTATTCCTTCTTTTTTAATGGGCATGGGATGGACTGGACCTTCATCCGCCATCATCAGTGATAACTGATGAGTAAATCTTTATAGATCCGCACTTCACCGCCCATATAAAAAATAACTGCTAGTCTCTGACTCAAAAACCGTCTACATCAGGAAATCCTATCCTTTTAGTGTTTACGGGATCTCGAAATTCTATCATGAATGCTTCCACAACCTTGCACCGTCCATATTGACACATATCAGTCAATCTAAAAATAGGTAAAATAAAGTTTCCAAATTAAAATGTAATATAAGGCAACCTGCTCCTAGTATGGACACAAAAGTCACTTTATCACAACTACAACACATTAATACTTCTTACATAATGCCCATTAATACCACAGCAATAAAATACACATAAAACAAAGCACCATGTCATTATTTACATGATTACATCATATCATGTCTGCCGCGGTCGTTAGCCCCAAAATTTGACAGCGGCCCTTTTAAAAACAAAGCGAGTGAAAATTTCTGGGCCATCATCGCTATGATCTAATATTTATTGCCATTGCATTACGATTGCGTGTTAGAAAAATAATGTTCGGTAAAATTTTTATTATGATATTCGAAATATTCTGTACGTTTTTCATATCTTTGTTTGTAAATTCAATTCAAATTCTGCAATAATACAATGCCCTTAAAATGGCCTTTCAATCGTGAGCCAATATTTGGAGACGACGGATAAGAACCAACGCTATCGGAACATGAAAAAGACACCAAAGATGTCAACGGCCTCCCCACTGTATCTGGTAGAACTAGAAAGCAAATAAAAAATATGCAATACAGAACATTACGTCGTTGGTTATAAAAAACATTCCACCATAACTCAGTCACATAACGTGAAGCAATCAAATATATCAACGATGCAACAGAATATACAAAAATTAACCTAATTGTGCCAACTTGACAACTATTCATTTGGTTATTTTCCAAGCAAACAGTTCCTTATAAATGTGGTAATGTTTTAACTTGTCCTTTAACGCTCTGGTTAAGTTTATTACCAAGGATTGCAATACTATCTAGCGTACTGAATATCTGTACCGTTTTCAAAATACCGCGAAATATCTCATTAAATTTTATTATAATTTCTACATTCACGGTTTTATTGCGTTATTGTAATCTTAGCTGAGCTAATTACTAATTAGTGTTCTTTGGAAATTTTAGACAAAATATTCATAGATTCTAACTACAGTGTTTATGAAAAAGAATTTGGCCGTGACGATACTTTTTTGTTACACGCTCCATCTTTTGATCGTTCCACCAATTGAACCCATCCAATTTAGATCCCATCCCTGATCACATCATCCCTGATCCTCTCACATTCTTCTCCTTAAAGTTCCTCTGTTAGCTTCACTACCTCTTTTACTCTTTCGTACTTTACATCTCCCTTCAATATTACTATTGGTGCATTAGGTGGTGGAGCGATGAGCGCGCTAGTGGCTGGACTACGGCGCGCCGGTTCTGCCCATTCCTTATCTGCGCCCAAAACCAACGCATCTTCAAGGTCCTTACCACCATCTCCTAGTCACACACCCAGGTATGTTAAGCACTCACCCATGTCGTATCTTCACTTGGCAATATCTACAACCGGTAAAGACACCAGAATTTAAAAGGAAGCACAAAACTAGACTCTATGCACCTACATTTAGTGACGTTTCGATCTGTATTACGCTTATTCTTATTGACAGTATAGTGAGCAATAAAGGGCTGGGTTCACGGGGTGCAAAATTTAAATTCATTTAGAGTTTGGGTGGCCATTCCAAAGTTCAACACCGAATGACCCAACTGTGTTGATGTTGATGGAGCTATTAAAAGAATTATAAACAGAAGCATTTTAATAAATTTCTTCCATAATTTAACTTCCGCCGTTTTTAACTTCTCTTCTTCTTGTCATACTAAATTATTGATGAAACGTAGCCCCGAAGAACGTTGCCCCGTGAGCTAAGCCCGTTTCCAACAAACATCACTGACCTTATAATCTTTGTATTACTGTACCATTATAACGTTTAGGTACCTATATCATAATACGAGTTGCGTGATAATACTCTACTTTGTTTTTATTAGTTCGCACATCATTATGTCCTTCAACGTTTGAAGACACACAAAGGTATTTCACTGATAGTTATGTTTTCTCTTCTTCATTCCTATTGCTGTCCCTTACCGTTTCCAAAGTTCCATTCATTTTCGTGTTTGTGTGTTTCTTCGTGTATGTGTGTAAGGAGTGTTTCTAAGATTAGTATTTTTGGGGTTTGATTGAATAGCAAAAAAATACGTAGGAACTTATTTTTTAATTATCTTACTTGTACTCATCTCTAAAACTATGCCCAAAAATCAATTGTGATCTAATATGGGTACTTATAATTTTACTAACTGTATTTTACCTTAAAACGATCAATGAATTGCTAAAGAACTGCTTATTGAATACTTTCAAATCTATAGAATTCCATAGAAAATCCAGTTGCAATGCTAGACATGAACGTAATAAAATCCTGAGATAAGGTTTAAGAGTAATAAATTAGCTTGCAATATTTGTCTTAACTAGTTTTCCATTGAACTGTGTGTATTGTGATGTGTGTTTATTTCCATTCGTAGTTAGGATTTACGTGTTGTATCCTTGTATATCTTGTGTCCTTTTTAGTCTCTCTTTCATTACCTTTGTCAAATCCCTCTTCCTATTCCTATTATTTTTGGAGTATCTGAATGTTTGGATTGGTTAGAAAGTACTCAAATGCTGACACACTATGCTAGGTAACTCATTATCCTTTATTCACTCTCTTGTATGTACAAACACGGAAATTAGGTAGCTACAGAATGCCAAGTTGTCTCTCCCAAGTACGCCTACTTCTTTACCACGTCTCGTGCTACTCGCATTTGGTCCTCACGCTCTCTGCCACACTCAGATACAGTAGTCGATACATGCGCCACACTGCAACCTATCAGCTAGTGTCACACGAAGGTAGTGACTGACATAAGACTTCATATGTCTTCATATCTATCCTCATTTTCAAATTCTTCTCACGCGAAGTGGTTAAAGAAAGAAAGAGCCTACACTTTGTTGACGAGCAGCCCGTGTGACGTAAAGGAAGCAGTCGCTGGAGTCGTGCAACCCGTTCGGCGCGTGCGGCGCGACGTGGCTGGCGAGGGGCGGCGTGAGCGCCATGCTGGCGCCGGCGCTGCGCAGCGCGCTGCCGCCGGACGTGTTGCTCGCGGCCGCCAGGGACTCCGCGCCTGAGCTCGCCAGCCGCCTCACCGCCCAGCAGATACATGATATGGTGAGTCTTCACATAGTAACTGCACTCCCATGATAAACTGTACTCAGTAGTATAAAAGTAATGTTTTCGGAGACTCTTCGACCGAGAGGGCCCCTGGGACAGGGTCAACTAAAATGTGACAGGTGTAATAGTAGGCGCTCTAAGTTAATTAGAAATACCAAATTCACATACTGTCTGTGCTGTATTACTAGAATTTACTCTATAATTTACTAGTTCAAAGGAACGAACTATTTTAGCATAATCATGATTTGCAGAATAGAGCATGAGTAAATAAAATAATAAGCATAGTCATGAGTCATTGAACTGAAAATACAATTGTTCTGAATTTCCAAAAACATACATTGTAATGCCACGGAACAAAGGAAGATCCAAAATAACGGGACCTTTCCCAAGGATTTTCTAAAGTAGTAAATATTTATGATTTATTTTGATGCCTAGGTCATCTATTATTAGATGTCCTCTATCCCCTTTAATCTATCTAGTCTTAATTCATAAAGCTTATACATATTTATGCCAACATGATTTACTGCTAAGATAATCATCCATGTTGGTACATCCATATACAAAAAGAGCTTGTAATAAAAGCTGTGGAGAATATTTAAACGGCAGGGTTTAGTCTTCGTCACACATAACTAGGAAAATTCCTTCGCTTTCCCCAAGTGAAAGGACACGGACCAAGGACCCCTCCGATATAGATTCAAATTTTTAGTCAATCATTAGTTTAGGTCTCCCCTTCCCTTTTTCTGTCTTTTTAGGTTCGTCTAAACTTTATTTAATCAGCAAGAGCTTCCTGTCAAAATATTTGTCGATAGTGAGCTAAAGAATTTCGAAACACCCAGCTTTCTAATTTAGTATAACCATTTTGTTTCTCCAGCTACAAGCAGTTCGTGAAGAGTTATCAGCTGAAGACGCAAGCAGCGCGGGCGACGCCAATGGCGGGGAGCTCCGCGCATGCGCATTGACCGCGCTGATGTTGCACTGCTGTGCGGCCGCGCAACTCGCACAGCAACGCGCCGACAACGCGCCAACTTGATGAAATTACATTATTGTTCATTGTGAATCTACTCGTTTTATTTTGGGGTACTACGAAAATGATCGAGCGTAACCTCCTCCTCACTAAATATCTCCTAATAGAAGCAACAGTGTACTATATTTCTTTGTCTTTCACACAGAAAATCAACAAACACAAATTCATTGAAAACAAAAATCTTCTTTCAGGCATATTTTAGCTAATATCAGACACAGTTTAATGAGTAACAAAGTAATAAGTACTTCGTTTTGTTTTGCCAGTTATTGCTAATGATCGTACGTACCACTCACACTTGACTAATCAGTGACCGAGTCACCTAAAAAGCGTGACGCGATGACGTCACTCGTCACTACTCTAGCGGCAAGCCGTCTGGGAACGAATGTCATGGAAAATCAAACGATTTTCGCCAACTATAAAATGTAGAGTACCTATTTTAGTTTTAATAGTTATGATGCTATCGGCATGTTTTACGGTTTCTTTAATTTATTCCGTAAATAAGTCCACAATAATCGAACTTGTTAGTCTTTTCATTAAAGATGAGTTTCTTCCAGAATATTATCCTTAGACAAGTTAGACATAATGACTGCACTGCTGGCGAGGTGGCTGGGCAACTGTGTACCGAGCAACGTGTCGCGCGTTCGATTCCCGCACGGAACAAGTCTTTGTGAACAAATTCTTGTTCGGGTCGTGAACTTGTATGTTTATAAACGAACCCCTAATACAGGAGAAAATCGTTGGGGGTAACGATTTTTATAAAAATAAAACAAGATTTTCATGTTTTGGGTTTTCTGATCCCAATCCAAGTAATTTTGAGTGAAAACAATATTGGGAAAAAGCTTAAGTACCTATGTTAACTCAGATATAAGAAACCAACCTTAAACAAAAACCAACATTCCTATATTATCCCCTAAAATCAAAACATCAACAAAAACCCAATATTTACACAAACTGACCTTGACAACGCAAATCGTGTTGATATGAAAACGTATCAATTAAAATAAGTAAAACAGCTATATTCGTTCTATTTCGGACATTAGATTAGACAAACACATTTATATACTACGCACTACATACTATCAAAATAAACACGAATTTTGTAAACAGACTATAAAGCACACACATGTAGATTTTCCTGAAAGAAATATGCACAAAATAAAAACATTTCTCGACTGCACGGTTGGCGCGGTGGCTGGGCAACAGGCTGCTGCGCAATGTGTCGCGGGTTCGATGCCCGCACGGAACAACATTTTGTGTGAGCCACAAATTGTTGTTTCGGGTCTGGGTGTCATGTGTATGTGAACTTGTATGTTTGTAAACGCACCCACGACAAAGGAGAAAATATTAGTGTGGGGCAAAGTTAAAAAAAAAAATCTGTGATACACGTGACTAATTCAATTTATCATCAACAGCCTATAAATGCCTACTGCTGAGCAAGGCCTCTTCTCACACGGATAAGGTTAGAGCATTGATCACTACGCTTGCTCAATCCGGGTTTGGCGATTACAAACTTACAATTACAAATTATAAGCCCAGGTTTCTTCACAATGTTTTCTTTCACCGTTTGTCAGTGATGTCTATATAATCTTAGAAAGTATATATAACTCGGAAAAAGTCACATTGGTACTTGCCGTTAGAAGGTTTCGAACTCGCGTGCTCTCGTGCATGAAAAGCGCAGGCGTCTTAAACCTCCGGGCCACCACGACACCAATTAATGAAAGTTAATATCATAAAGGTGAAAATCTTGTTTGTTTGAACATGTTATTCTCTAGAAGTGTTTGTCAAAATAGAACAATATTTTTATATTGGGTTTCTGAAATCTTGAGGAAAATTACGGGCCTTCTAATATCTCAATATTCACTGGGGAATGTAGACCATTTAAACACGTTAATATCGTTTATAAGCTCCCAAATCTCGAGGCCCCGAGGCAATATCCCCATCTAGACTTTAGCTATAAACAAAAGAAAATTAATAAGCGGATTCACAAGCAAAAACAAACGTTGAAGCTTTCATCATTTCATCTTTATTCCCTCCACATAGAGTCGAAATTACCGTGTAAGGACGAAGGGATCAAAGTACTGCGTCGAATGCGTTGTACAGGGAACTGGCTTGTATCCAGATTTTCCTGAAATAGCACAAAGGATCGACCTCAAAGATTTACTTGAGAAAAAACTTCTGCGAAATGTCAGCGTACGACCGACGGAAAATTTTGTGCGTCATCACTGCGCGTGCGCCGATCATCGAGATAAGTGGCCAGTACCGACGATGTGGTGTTGAAAACTCATTCACATATGTGGTTAATTATTTAGACGCTATGTCCTAGCAGGTCAACCTTAACCTAATTGATACTAAGTCGAAAATGCAATGAAAAAATTACAGTTTGGGAGTAGTTTGACCAGCTTGTGTGTGTACGCATGTTCGTAGATGCATGATTAGGTACCAGTAATGGATTAGATAGTCATACCGATCTATTTCATAAATGGGGTCAAGGATTTTTGGTCAAATGGGTAGGTAGTCCTTTTCTTTAAATATTTGATAACAAAGCTAGGTAGATATTTAATGACATCAGTTGTCTATCGTCATGAGTGCGGTATACATACGTATATTAGTTAAAATCCTACATTTTCTGGCTCAGTGGTCGCCTGACAACACCACCCATCAATAAATCATTGTTTATTTAAAATATATCGTCTTTAAATTAGAAGTGATTTGTTGCTGACAGCTTAATCTATTGATACTTTTATTTAGAAACTTCATCGCCTTAAATATAGAAGATGAAAGATTTCTGCTAAACTATTGATTGCCAAATTGTGAGTATGTAAGTTGTGCCTAGATTTCTAATCTAATTGCTAATACTAAACATTGTTGATATACCAAGGAGTAATTACAACTTTAAAAATCTATATCTGTCAAAAGCAACGACAAATCAATTTGTGTAACATTTTCACTGCGCGCACGCAGCACTCGTAGTTGCTGCGTCACCGTGTTTATTTTTCAAACATCCGTCATTAACCACTTTAGTGCTGTGAATAAATCTCCATTTCCCAAAAGCTTTGTTCTAAATGAATCAGGGAATTCTGATTATTAAACCTTTGTGAAATTAGGCAGTGATCGTTCTTTTAATATTAGATTTAAAGAGCCACAGATTAAAAATTGTTTATCGTCATTAACAGCCTCTGACTGAATCTACTGCTGAACAATGGGCGTTCTTTACATAATAGAACCTTTTTGTTTTTGATGACGGGGAACGCAATGAACCTTCAAAAGGCGCCTAGCGATTTGGGGATAATAGACTAAGGAGTGTGAGATTTTTACCTCACTAAAACCACCCAAGTGCCTGCCCTCAAAACCTGTATGGTGGCACCTGGTCATCTAAAAGAGACGTGCTCCAGAATCTCCACGGTGCTAAGCCTGTTACGTCACATCCCTAGGGATACATGATAGACCCTACGCTTGCCTTAATATCCACACTTACCTACTAAGAAAGTTCGAGATGGCGGTTTAAAAGTTTTAAGTTCAGAGAGCGCAGCAGCCCGGTCTCTGTCAAATGTATGGTCTCTTATTCGAGCAAAAAATAGAGGTTGGTGACACTTTACAGTCTTGGAATTTGAATCAGCTATTCGATGATTTTTACCCCTTAAAAAAAAAAGAAAAACCGTCTTGGAGAAACTGTTTATAAACATGAAATTTTCCGTGTTTACAAATTACAGTTGAATAATAAATGTCCCGATAAATAAAACGTAGATCGTTTTAAAGTGGGGCGATTGAAGAAAGAAATAAATAGGAATATGAAAACACGAGGTCGCCTCGTGTAGGAAATGTGGATAACCTCATATTATTTTTATACAAAAGGTAGATTTATTCATATCATTATGTTAAGAACTCTTGGTGTGATCTGTGAAGATGCCTTTTGTTTATTGTTATCTAACTTTACTATTGTAATTTTATTGAAATTGTAACTATGCAACGTATTGAAAAACTCCTTTATTTTATGTCGTAAGTATTCAAACTCAAAGCCAGGTAGCGATATCAGTGGGAAATCTGATGATGAAATCTGAGTAAAAATTGAATTTTGGCTGTCTAGTTTAACGCCCGTACTAAACTAATTTGGAATTTGTATCCTAAAAGTTAGATATCATGTGAGCAACTTTAAGTTCAATCTAATTAACTATCTCGTCTAGTGAAACAGCTAACTCTATCAAACAGGCAACATCTTTAAAATTATTCTAAAAACGGAAAGCATATCCAATAAAGACGACTTTGACCTCAATAATAAACAATTTTATGAAACAAAGAAACGATTCGGCACGCTGCATTTTTCAGAAGTTGTTGCACCTGGCTTTGGGTGCGAAGATTTTTCTAATGTGGATGTTTGTTGAAGGTATATACTTCTTGTTTGGTTGAATTTAACCCATAGGCAGGTACCTAATAAGGTCTAAAATCAGACACACGTTTTATGACTACCTACTTCTATCGTGTAGTAAATGTCGCTATACAAACGCGAAGTCTCATATTGGATTTGCAAACAAAATGGTTTCTCATAGGTAAGTGATTTTCTTTGATCTGGAGATAGAAAGAAAACAAGACTAAGTATTTAGTGGGCTTAGCATATTAATTTATACCTACCTACTTTATGCGGAAAAGCTACCTTTACTCACGCACTAAATTATAAACATTCTTTGTTTACAAATTCACCTTTAAGACGCTGTAATAAAAACACACGGTCTAGTTAGTTCTAGTTCAAACTTCCCTGCTTATCTTCCAAAAATAAATAGTTTACTGTAAATATTAATCGGAGCACCGCAGTCGGGAGTATAGTTTTTGGCACACATTCAAGGTTAGATCTGGCGAAAATCTACGACTCTCTTTGGCCGAAACTTCAAGGCAGTGCGTTGAACGCACGACATTATGGACGTCAACTTTTTAATTGACGCAATTATATCGTACGTGGAACGCACTTCAGTAACACAAATAGATACATGGATGTTCTTCGTGTTTGTATAATTTCGGTCCTTGAACTTTATGCTCGATTATAGAAAAACTCTCGTAACCAATATTCTGCGTAACAATTTATTATTGATATAGTGATGAATATTGGACACATTATTTCCTTTCTGAATTTAAAGAGAGAACCAACTAGAGGTTGTCATATTTTGTCGTGGTATTGAAGGCACTCTACTTTTGAATAATCTATCATGATGTCCATCGACGTCCTTGGCGCTGTCATAACAAAAATATAGACCTAGGAACAAGTCAGTCGATAGGTCTGTAATGCTTGGCCTGTGAGTATCGAGCAACAGGCTGCCACAATGCTGTTTACCACACGATTTATAAACGGAAATCATTTAACGGTCCTTGAACGAAGCGTTACTAATTAGTTAAAAGTTATAACACTTTTCCACGGATTTCTTCAATCACGATCGATGACGGTAAAGTAAACGAAGGCCGTTATGGAAATTATGAGAGGAACCGTTCATATTCAGTTACAATATAATGAACTACATACACTTTCTATTCATTTGATTTACTTTTACTCTCAAATGATGCAATTCCAGGAAACTTATTGAACAACGCGCTCATGACTCAAAAATAAAACCGTTTTAATTCATTGTAATCAAGTTTGCGCATCGAACGAGTCCGCAATAAATTGCAACATGTAACACATTGATGGCACGTTGTGAATTAGGCTGGAAAATCATGTTCGACCGTCAGCCCAGCCTTTCACATTCAGCTGATCAACGACATGCATTCAAACAGCGATTATTCCCACAAACAATACAATCAGATAACGGGCTCTGTATCACAATCACAATGCTCTCATTGAAGACGTGACAATGCGCTCTGCTGAAAACGAGATCGCAGGATTGTTTATCCAAGCGGAAAACTACTATTCCTTTGTGACAGGACAAAACCCGTGACGAAGTTTCATCTGGTTTCATCCATCTCCCAAGTAATATTTTCCGCACGCTTCCGCCACTAGCCAACTTGCGTCAACTGCGCAGCAGACGGTGCGAGTGAGACGGACATTTGTTGTTGTTGCGGTCTCTGTCCCGCACCACGCTTCTTTGTTTTGGCAACGATATAAAGGCAAGCTGCGAACGCGGCGCTCGAATTTTACCAGAGTGCTACCGTGGAACCAGGCGCATCGCGTTTCGCTGCGGTGGTAGATGATTCGTGATTCTTTCAGCTTGTGAAAGACTTTCATAGTCGTGACCTAGCAGTGACTTAACTAAGGAATTGTGCAGTGACTGTTTATCAAGTGCAGTGATGAGGCCCCCTACGGAATACGATGGAGGTGCGAGGATGCCCAGTGAGGCGGAGGAAGGCGACCCTCGGGCGCGACCCATGATGATCTGCGCGAGGCTGGCTGGACGTGCCATCATCAGAGTGGTGGGACGATGCGAAGATGCTCAGGAAAATAGTCAACTAGGTAAGTACCTAACTACTTGCGAATTATGTTTTTGTTTAAATCTTATCTTACAAGCTACATCTATCAAAACAACATCACTTAGAAAAAATATTGCGACGAAATGTAAATAAACGAGATAAAAAAAATAACAACAAAAACATTAGTAGTCAATCAGTTCTACTTGTGCTCAAACCACAACACACTATGAATAAAACATGAAGTGTTTTAGAGACATCAAACAACTAAATGGCAATTCGCATTTATTAGCAGCATGGACTTAGCAGGCATCATCGGTCATGTAATTAATTCTGATAGGTACCTACAGGTGTACCTAACAAAAGAATAGTAAAGGTCGTCGAACTAATCTAGAAACCTTAATATTTTGCGCACATTAGCTTCCTAGTTAGCATTGTTGTTTTACGCAAATTGATGGTCATTATCTTATCGATTATAGAAGGTACGATAATAAGTCTTAACCCTTTGAAAGTAGAGCGGCTGTCGTGTAATCGGGGTCAAATTGAGTGTGAATTAATAGGCGAAGATGACCTCCATCATACGGATTACTGTTTACTAACATTGTAGGTTACGAGTGTGAAAATTAGTCAATGAATTAATGAAGGCCCTGACATATTAGTGGACTGGCCCAACAACTTATGGCATAATATAATATGTATGTCATAATAAGTTACGATTTTATTTGTATAAATTAATATTTCGTGTGTAGTTTTATGTTATCGTCCAATTAAAATGCATGGTTTATTTACAATTATTGTAATTAAAACTTAGGTAATTTGTAATTACAATGTAGTGGGTAACTATCAGGTATTTTGTAAAGGACATATTCATTATAAGTTGTTACTTATTAGGCTGTTACTTAATTATTTATTCCTATTTATTTAGCGACTTTGAGAATTTCGCGATTTAGAGAAACCGACCAAAAAATCATAAAAAAATGAAAATAATCTTCTGAAGTAGGTATTACTCTTTTAATTTAGAATGTAAACAAAACATTTCCATATCGAACGCAACGCAATTACAAAAGATAGCAATACTAACAATAAATACTCATTGTTTGTTTGCAATCTTTATCAAGTATCGCGGCATCTTTATCATTTTGCGTTGCAAAGATGGATTCCGCCATTCCGGTATTTCTTGATGATTGAAGATTTTTAATCTTAATGTTAAAAATAAACTTAATAAGCATCTAACATGATTTCCACGCATAGGACATAACGCTGCTAATGTCAGGTGTGTCTGTTGCGAGATTGAGGCTTCGATTCCTCAGTCTCGGTAAATAATCCATTGGTCTTTCGGATTAATTTGAAGATGGTTTGTACTTTTGCAGCAGACGTTCCCAAATGTATAGTTAATCTAGACATGCGTTTCTATATACGTAGCCAAAGACTTGTGCAAAATCAGAAAGTTATTACTTTTTACTTCTTAATTTCAATAAAAAAATACTAAAAAATTCTAACGGCCTTACCTTCTATTAACTAAGGTCATATAAAATTAAAGTGCATCACAAATCACATTATAAAAGTTCATTGGAAATATTCAAATTACTTGCGTTTACTTGTGTAATAATGCATGACTAATAATCAGCTGTTTACTGATAACAATAACAATAATGCAATTAATCATTTTTGTTTAAAAGTGTAGATATAGACTAGTAAGTAGATACCCATCCGTCACCTGAACGAAACTTGATAAATACTATGATAATCTTCAAAATATTTACATCCTTTTAAAGTATTATCACAAGCGGCTTAGCAGTTTCGTAAGGAGATGACACATAGACACACCAACATAGAAAAGTTGAAATAAAATTGGTTTTCTTCAAATATATAGGCAGAGGTTGTAGATAGATACCTCTACATTATTTTGCATTGATTTGTTCTTAATCTAATAAAAAACAAATGAATTTGGTACGATTATTTGTTTCTTCACATACATCAGCTCGTTTGTGCAGATATGTGTAGTACCTACTTGCCTTTGTCCTACTAAGTATTAGAATGTTATCTTATACTTATTATAGCGTTTATATTATTATAGCGGAAAAGTTTGTTTTTTTGTTTGTTTGTTTGAACGCGCTCATCTCCGTAACTACAAGTCTGATTTGAATAATTATTTTTGTGTTGGATAGCGCATTTATCGAGGATGGCTATAAGCTATAAAACATCACGCTACGACCAATAGGAGCTGAGAAGAGCGGGTGAGACCGCGCGGAAGAAGCTAGTTAATTAGAAAGCTTATAAAGTCCTTCTAGTCTAGAGCAATAACACGACTCTATCATGTGATGAAAACGTGCATACGAGACAGTACGAGTAGACAATCGATATCACATAACAATCGATTTAATTGTCATTGTTCTTACGTAGATTTCACTTGTGTTGCTCATACGTAATAGGTACTTAGGTAATCCGCAAATAGAATTTCTATTCGAAGATGATTTGGAGTTTTTGCTGTGTATTTAGGTTGCTAAACAAAACATTGCGACATAGACTCTGAAGGGCATGAGAAAAAGGACTTACAAAGTACCTATGGTAGGTTATCGGATAAAATAACATAGGTAGATTCTAGACTCACAGATAGACAGACTTCTCACTTTATCAGCTTTAAAACTTTAAATGTCTTAACAAGATGGATGGCGCACGTTGTTACTACATACGAAATAGTTATAATTATATTCATAACCAATAAATTATTTAATATCTAAGTATCTAAGCGAATGAATCAGGCTTTCCACATGTGCCGAAATATCAGAAACATAATTATTATGAAAACTTTAACTTGATCTTATGCTTTTCAAATGTAGAACAACGATATAACGTTGCCTGCTGGGCTGCTTTTTAGGTACTTGCTATCGGTAGGTACCTATTCCACTATTGTTAAATTTTCTGGTACACAGAAATTTAAATAGCTGTTATAATGTAGCAATTTGTACATAAAGGCCCTTAATCACCACTTCCACGTAACAACTCTCTACTACCGCTACTTTTTGTCACACAATTACGTCAAATCTCGCTTATATCTCTCCCGAGGACATCATCAGAGAACACCAAGCGAACGCTAATGACTCATTCATCAAACCACGAACAAAACCCAACCTTATCGCATATGACATAACGTAGTCATTGCCTTGCGGTATCTCGAATGAATAATTACGCGAAATATGCCCGTTTGCATAACCGCGAGGTTCAAATGAGTGTTCTGTTGCATTCGACTTTCGTAAACGAAGACGAAGATATCGTGTAAAAATTGTGAAACTGACCGAGGCCAGACCCAGTTGTAACTGGCCTTTGTTACACGGATTAATTTCATATGGTTAATTAATTCTTTGTGATACACAATCGCGTTTTTTGCAACTATATCATAGTAATGTAAAGCCAGCAACTGCGTAAGAAATGTGTTGTAAACATGAGTACAAAGATCTTACACCGTGTCATTGTTATATACCAGAGGAAAACGTTTCCATTCCTTTACAAACGTTTGGTCACAGTTCTACTCGTGTCAAAAGATGATAAATATTTATTGCTTGCCATGTAGCGTTTTGTGCAGTAAAAATACACGAATAAAAACAAAAATCTGGCTACCGTACAAAGTCGTAATACCTAATATTAGTGTATGTTATTTTGGAGAAGTGAAATCTGCGCAGTACAAACATGTGCGAACGTCCAAACAAGAACGCGGATCATAGTTTTGCGTGTCTTTAATTAACTAATGGCGATGTAAGTTGATGTTATAAAATGATACTCAAGCAAAGTTAAACTACGTCCTGACACTTAATTTCAACAGTATCGCTGTTATTTTTGTCAATTAGTTACCCACTGTAAGCAGAATGCTTGCATGATGATGGCTTGTTATTGTATTGTTGTTAAGTATATAACACTTTTATCAGATACTTATAATAGGTATCTATTCATTTTATTGTAGATAATTAGGTACCGATTTAGTTAACCCACTACATTTGAATAGTCTCTTATAACGGTTTCTGTAACTATGTTATAAAGTAGATTTAATTTTTCTTATCATAAGTAATCCACGTTCACATCCATTCCATATAGGCTCCCGGAAAACCTAGCACAAAGAATGCACAAACGCGGAAGACCCGCACATGTAACGATTCCGCGCCATAGACGACGCCATTCGTCGAGTGCGATAGATTTAGAACATCTCACATGCGCGTGCGTATGATTTACAAACGCGAACGGGTTGAACTCGCCTGTTCAACACATGTTGGCCTTAGCTAACCAATTTATTCCTTATACAGTAGTGCCGGCTTGTAGAGAGGTCACTGCTCGTTAAAACACTTCCTTGTAGCGACGTGATTCATTCATTGTTGATGATGACAACAAGAAGTAGGTAGGTAAAGATATTTGTAATCTAGATACAAAACAAATCATGAAACTATTATATATAGTACGTATTCTTTGTTTTCACTTCGTTTCTGAATATTTAACCAAATAGGTAGGTAATAATTTAAGTTTGTAAATTCTAATTCAAAAAATTATGTAAGTTTCCTTGACTTGTATTATAAAATATTTGCATGTAAGCTTACGACCCCGCAAGGGAGAAACTTGATGAAGGTTGCTTCTAATCGGTCAAACTAGACAGCCTTTGTTCATTAATTGATGTCTTATGTATGAGTCCTGTGGCTGATGATTGTGATGGATGATTCATCAAAACAATGTGTTTTTATACGATTTCAAGTATTGCTAAACTATAACTAAATAATGTATTAGTATTAGAATAGAAGAAAAACAAATGCTTAGACCAAATATAAAAATCAAGTATCATGTAAGAGATTTTGAGATTTGTTGAGGAAAAAACATTTAAAAAAAGATGGTTTTGGAACGTGCTTTATAAACTGACAAACAGCTGATTGTGAAACGTCAAAAGCAGAATTCAACAAACAAATTGTCAAACAAAATCGAAGCGAAGAGGAAACACAATCAAAAGTTTTACCTAATTTTATATTGATACGCGAAATATTAACATTAATTTAGCATAATTGTTATAAAAACTTAATCTGGACGTTTTTGTTTAAATACAACAATAAAAAGTTGACTGCCAATTTATAAATAGTTCGCTACGTGCTTCGCGAGTTGAAATATTTTATGTAGCTGTTTAAAAATAACTTTAGGAACTCGCGCCGATACCCGTGATCCCGTTCCTAGTTAGTGAGTCCGCTGGTGCTAGTTAAATCAAGAGTTAGTGTATAAGTATCAAAATGGCTCTAGCAGTAACTCGAGTGGTATTAAAGTGCGAAGATGCTCAAAAAACTCAAGCACTAGGTATGATTAACAGTTATTAAATACAAGGCTAATTGAAACTGCGAACATATTCTAGTTAATGACGTAACTACTCACGCTTTCTGCTCTAATAAACTGATTGCAATGTGTCCTAAAACTGCTTCGAAAATTTATGAGCATAACTAAACACTTTTTTCTTAATCAGCCTAAGTATTTAGTGCTAATTGCGCACTGAAATAAATAGGGCAATTCAATTAGTTGGCCTACTCTATTGTTACCTTATTATTAGATCGAACTTCAGTTATTTTCTTATAATTGAAGTGTATTGCATGATTGGACTTGGATTCACAGTGGGTTATTAATATTCAACATATAGATCAAAGTTGAATAACTGTATCAAACATTTCCATAATTATAAAAATTAAGAAATGTGGAAATTTTATGATGAGGATATAGACCCGAGTCTGTAGAGATGTAACAATAACATTATTGGAAGGTTCTTCTGAATGAATCTGAATCTTTCTTAGGCCGAAGTATTGATAAATAAGATTTAATTACTATTGTTTTCAACATATTTCTTTGAAACATTCTACTTTACCATATCTTGACTATCATTAAACTATGATAAAACCATTCTGATTAGCATAGTTAATCAGAGTTATAAATATGTGATTGTGACACATTCTAGAGTTTATACAATCAATATTGCTTTATAATTACTCATACTTAGTCTGGTCTCTTTCGCTGACTGATAAGAAAATGAGGTGTTATCATGATTCTAACTCTTCAACTATTCCGCACAATTCTTGTGGTAAACAACTATTTGTGTGATCCATAAATTGTTGGTCCGGGTTTGGGTAGGATGTGTATAGGTGTGTGATTCATTTCAATGTTTTTAAACACACACAAAACCCAGTAGAAAGTCCTAAAATTGTTATAAATTTTTAAAGAAAATAATAAATTACTATTGGCGGAATACTGAAACATTACTCAATTTTAAGTCACGCTTAAGTATAGTTCTGTCACCAATAATTCTTTGTGAAATAACAAAGATAGCACGATATTTAAGCACGACTTAAAATTGAGTAACGTTTCAGTATTCCAGCATATGTCTTTCCAGCATATGGTAGTACCAACCAAGTTTGTAATGTACTCTTGTTCATTTGTTTCAGATTTGTCAGAATGTCAATTGATGCAAGTACCTGATGCTGTGTACCATCTGATGCGACACACAGAGCTCAAGAGTTGTGATCTCAGCGGAAATGTTATTACTAAGATACCTCCTAAGTTTGCAGTCAAATTTAGCTTAATTACAGGTCAGTTTTAGTCATTTTTAATTTTTGTTAGGTTTTAAGTCCGAATTAAACTATGTAATATTACTAATATTTTACTGCTTGTGGTCTCATTGGTCAAGGGGTCAAAGACCTGGCTACCTAGCTAAGATCGCAGGTTCTCTACTAAACTCTTTTGGCATAAAAAGATTATTCAGATTTGTCAGATAAACAATAACATTTTAGTATTCAAATTAAAAAAAAGTTGTTAATTTAAAATATCGCAATTCCAGATTTGAACCTGTCCAACAACCAAATGGCGAAGCTTCCAGATGAGCTGTGTACACTTGCCTGCTTAGAGCGGCTGGACATCTCTCACAACACGTTTGTGGCGCTCCCTCACATCACCTTCCAGTGCCCCAGTCTGCACACACTGCTTGCGCATCACAATCAGATCATTGGTACTTGAAACTTTTATTTATGTGTAGTTGAAGGTAATAGTTTGGCTGGCATATTCTTAGAATATGTTTTGGGTTCTAGAATTTATTGATAGATCAGCCTGTGATGTTTCAATGATTAAGTAATAATGGTTTTCTGTTACTCAAAGAAGGAATGAGCAATTAAGCATTGATCACCACAATCTCATGGTGCAAATTGACGAAGCACTCACACAAATCTTAAACTTAACATAGCTTTTGATTTCTGATTTTACTGAATGTAACATGTACTTTCTCATTTTCAGAAATCGATGTGGACAGATTAGCCAGATCCCGCGCTCTAGAGTACGTAGATCTCAGTGACAATCCCATTCCTCCGCGCACTTATGATGAGCTTAAGCAATTATCGCGACCCTCAGTGTCCGTCTCAGAGAGACAGAAAGAAGACTGGGAAGAAGACCTTCTAATATAGGAGAGTGCATTCTTATGGACTTTGCATTCAGGGCCAGGAGTTGAAGCGGCACGGTCCGACGAGACCACTTGCAGAACTAATGAGTTTATACTATAGTTCTATACACTTGGTTGCATTATTCAAACAAGCAATTATTTTCAAACTCTAGCATAAGTGGAGGGATTAGTGCAATATTAATGTCAATGCTTAAAACAACTGGCCCTAACTAAACTGTGATCTTCTCTGTGAAAAGAGGACAATATCAACATGATTTGATAGTGTATTCTATATTACCTTAGTAATTAATGACAACATTGTCGTGATTCGAAAGAGATTTGTGAGAGATTAATAAATGGTTTTTACATCTTTTGACATGCTCAAAAGTTAGTGTACTTAATTAGTCTAAAAGTGCAATGGTTTGATGTCCTTAAACTTAAGTATGTGGCTTATATTACAAATGAAGCAATTTAAAGAGTTTTATATATGAAGCGTTATATATTTTTGATACAATAAGATAAGATATAAATGAAAAAATACGATAAGATGGTTGGATAGTATTATGTTGATATATCTCATTGTATTGAATACTAGTCCATCATTAGTTAAGATTATGAATTCCAATAGGAATGAAATTATGTTGTAAGTAAATGATAAGTACACAAATCTATATTTGCAATAAGTACTGAAATGTACTGTTGTTATTATCGACTAATTCTTACTATGTAAATTGCTTGTAACTTTTTATTGACAACATTTTTGTCCAAAGATTATTGACTGATGAATTAAAGAATATAATTTGTATTGTCTGTTGAATTGAATTCCCAGAAATTTTCGAAAATGTGTCTTTGTGAAGTGTTTTGTAAAAAATAAATCAAGATAAACAATTAAACGCATTTATCAAATGCAATACGAATAATGTCGTTTTAATGATTTACTTCTCCTATACTTAATATACTCTTTGTGATCTACTATCTCATTGTGGCGCCAATTAATTGTAATTACCTACCTATGTAATTTAAACTCCTACGAGGAATGATAATATTTTAAACAGACTTCCATAGAGTATAATAAGTATAGAGGAACAGACTACCCAAAAAGGAGTTATTCCAATTACATTATACATACTTTTTGGTTTACCCTACTCGTCTTTGGAAGTTAAGGAAGGTTCAAGTTGGCTTCAAGTAAATAGCATAACAGTGGGAAGCCTATATGCCTATTTGTAAATAAAAAAATACCAAGTACATAATGTCAGTTCTTGACTTGACATGTTTTTTATAAATATTTATTTGGGAAAATAATTTAAATCATTCTTGAAATTTGAAATAACTACAATTTTAGAATGGCAGGAGTTGAGGACGACCCAAAATTGAAAGGATTTAATCGTTTATTTAACAGTCAAACAAATAGAGGCCGAGCTAATGTAAGTTCAAACCACGTTAATCTAGTATTCATAGCTAGAATTTCACTAATAAATAAAAAACTAGAAACGATCAGAGTGAATTATGCATGTATACGTTAAAATAATGTAAATGTTATAAATTAAAGATTTTTATGGGGGGAGAATCATCCAATTACTTCTCCCGCCCGAGTGAGGAGTGTCAGACACTTACTGACTAAAAACCACCCCTTTCCTACTTCTGCACTTCGAGACGGAGCCCCGGCATCCCGTTAAGTCTTCCGCGGTTCCGTATCGGCATCAACCCTGTTGGGCCCCATCTGTGGTGGTCTGATCGCTCCTTGAGGCACGCGCGGAACGCGACGCGCCGTATGCTCGGGCCTGGTTCTGGTCAGGCGGCGAGTCATCCGTGCTCGCCGTCCGCAGGCGAGAGAGAGAGAGAGAGGCGCAGAGGAGTTTCGTTCCCTAGCTAACTAAGGAACTAGCTAGCTAAGGAGCCAGCCTGACTGCTTCGCAGACGGAGAAGACGGTATCCCAGTCCCCCTCGCTCCGTTCCATGGTCTGAACCAGAGCCGGACGCGAGAGGTCGCCGTCGCCGATCACATCCCTGAGGACACGGCGGTGCTCAGCCCACGCAGGACACACCGCCACCATAAGCTCCACCGTGTCCTCCGGGCGGTTCTCGCAGTGATGACACCCGGGCGTTTCCTCTCGCCCAATCCAAAACAGGAACTTACCGAGACTTCCGTGTCCAGTAAGCACCTGCGTCAGGCAGTAGGTGAGGATGCCGTAGCGTCTCTCAAGTCACTCCTCAAAGAGGAGACTTACCGGTATAATGATAGCGAGCCCAGCCCTCAGTTGCGACAGTCGTTGCTGCCATTCCGCCATGAGATCGCGCTGGAGCTTATCCCGCCAGACACTAATCTGGCGCGGCAACGGTGTTTCGCCCTGGCGACGTGCCTCCGCGCGCAAACAAAACACGTGCGGGAGCCCCTTCGCCACAAGATTCCACCGTGGTAATTCGGTAAGGAGGTTCACCGCCTCACCGGAGGTTGTGCGATATCCGCGGATCAATCTGATCGCCATGCCCCTCTGAGATATGAGATTAAATTAAATCATTTAATAGAGGTTCGTTGTAATCTCCAGGCTTAGGCTACTGCCACGTCCCCCCCAAAACCTGTGCCTCAATTGACAAAGGGTGATGTGACTATAAGGATTAGATAACGTAGTTATTTTTTAACTAAGGCCGCTAGATTTTGAGATAGCAGGATTTACAAGTGTGTTTACTTAAAAATATGTGGACTATTCATCAAACTACGAATGGCTATTGATAAAGAGCTTTGGGTTGGCTGGGATACCCAAATAATACTAGAATTACTAAATTAAGTATAATTATCTTTAAAATCAGAGGAACTCTTTTCTTTTATTTTACAGACATCAAAAGTGACCCTCGGTCTAATTGGTGCTTGTATTGTCTACTTAAAATTCTTCAAAGGATCCAAGAAAAAGAAGTGTTAGTGCATTAATTAAAAATTTTAAATTAAGTGCCTATTTTTTAATTTGAAATTAATATCCTTTTTAGAGTAATAACATAACGTTGACTGACACTATCTACTGACTGACAGTAGGATCACAGATCTGGATATACCAGTTGGCATATAAAAGTTCTTAAACATATCTGTGTTCTTATCTCTTTCACTCTCGTAGAAATCGAAATAAAGCTATACCGTTGTCAATGCTGCGCTAAAAATTCGATTTATTTCTAAGTTTTACACGACTTTGGGAATTGTACCTACTGTGCGTTATTACATAAGGGTTAAAATAACTTTCTGTCAGGTAATTTTCATGGATTTTGCATAAAATCTAGTTATTTACAATCCATTGTACGCTGTACAATATTATATAAAAGCAGTCGTTGGTCTATTATTTATTACGAAATATATTTTGTACTTAATCAGTGATTTAAATTATTTTATTGTAGAATGGCCGGAGACAGTTCTGTCGACGAATCCCAGCTTAAGGGCTTGTCCAAATATTTCAACAGCCAAACAAACAGGGGCAGAGCTAACGTGAGTACTCATTTATACTATTTTACAAACTATAAAAAGATCGCAAACCTTATAGGTTAAGTACGTAAAATGTTCTTACTATGGTGATTCCTATTGGATTCCTAATTAGTCTTACTTGGCGAAATAAACGCAATTATTATAAGTAAAGCACGTTCTGTAATTAATATGTAGACATCATCAAGTCTTGTCTAAAAATTATATTGACTGATTGGCTATTTGATGTGCATCCAATGTATCTTGTAGTTTGTACTTAGAATAATTTTACTTGCATTATTTGTAACTATTTAAGAGTTTAAAACCATAATTCTTTTTATAAAAATCATCATCAGCAACAGCCGAAAGACGTTCAAGAAAGACAACTGCTGGACAAAGGCCTCCCCTTGGTCCTCCATGTCGAATGACAACTCACCACTTGCATCTTTTATTAAAATGATTACCCTTAAAATCATCAAATGACAAAACTAGTCTTGTATAAAGGTTTTCTAATCTTTGTTTCAGACTGCCAAAGCAACTTATGCAGTCATGGGCGCAGTGATCCTATACTTCACCCTTAAACCTAAGTCGAAGAAGTAATTCGCATATTATGGTTTTCATTTGTGATCATATTAGTACATTTAATTTCCTTAAGGGCAACATGTAAGTTATATAGAAAATAAATCATGTGAACTCTCTTTTGAATTTCATTTAAAAATTAATTACTTTTGTTTTTTCTAATAACAAACTTTTAAGAAAACATTCAAGGAATTTTACAGTATTCATTCTGCTACATTTCAGTGCCTGACTATAGTATTCTTTGGAAATTAAGAACCAGAAATAAAACACATAATTAAAATTAATATTGTATTTATAATTCTATAGCCATTTAAAATAAATAATGCTGCATAGGATAGATCACAAAGAAAGCTTTAGTTTCAGATCTCAAAAGTAAATAATTCTTGTTTCTCTTAAATAAAAATTCTTTGGTGGTACAATGTCTGATCTACAGGATGATACAAAACCAGACTACAAATGGAAAATGTAGGCACAATGGGAATTTCAATGAACTGAGTAATTTGAATGTAAAAGTATATAGACGAAATAACATATATTTACAAATTACTTAACAACCAAATATATTATTATAGCAGAAATAATTAAAATACAACACATAATTTGTTCAAACAATATGACAATAAAGCAGAACTTTACATAAATTTTATAATCATTTGTGCATTTATATATTTCAGTATAAAAATTTAAGACTAATCGTGAAATTCTAGCACCAAAAGCCTACCGATTAATAACACTAGCGAAGCAACTATTTCGTGAAATTATTGTTTACTTAATTAAAGTTGGAGATAATAGGTTTTATAAACATATAACTTAATAATTCACGAAGTTTAGTTTGACCTAGGGTGTCTTCCCGAATTTGATAATGAATATGTAGATTGATTCCTAACTATGTGTAAGAACAGTCAAACAGACCCTTTATATTGCCAAAAATAAATTGTATACGCAATACAAAATATTGCTTTAGTAACAACTTTGATTCTACGATTATTATTTTAAAATGCAAAAATACATTTCATATTTATAGCAATACTGGTTAGGGGTTGCCATTTCAAATGCAGTGTTGTCAGTTGTTTACCCTGCATTATGAACCCAATTACTTATTTAATAATAGTAATAATTGGCAACATGTTAGATGTAAAAATGTATTTTATACACTACATTATTAAAACCCAAGCAGCATTCTGACTACGTTGTCGTATATTGATGCGCATAAAATATCATGCTGGCAATACTACATACAAATTGCGGTAAGTGACTAGTTTAAAATGTTTGATCTGCGAAATGCATTACTTACAAATCCTATCTAAGACATTCGTACCCTCGTCGGCCAATAACATCACAGTATTCACAGTTCCATGCTTCAGTCAGTCAATTTGTGTTTATTTTGGTTCTTTCACTGTATGATAACTTTTTCTTTTTATTTCAAAGTATAATGTTTCAAATTGATCGTGAAATTATTCGAGTTTAAGGAAAACTGTCATTTTCATTTCCATATTAGAGCCATGAAACTGATGTCCCCAGAATGCTGAATTGATCCCAAATTTTGTGTTTCTAACGTACTATAAGTTTGGATTTAGGAACATAGATATTACATCCATCGTCGTACGAGCATTTAAGTTATTGTTCAATGCATTACAAGACATTCCTTTCCGTCGCTTTATCGCCATTCCTTGGGGCTTTTTCATTCCTTAAAATATGAAATGTCCAAAACCAGATTTATATCTAGCTTCACATGTTATTGCTTAATACATTGCCCCTGATATTCAATATAAAAATGGTGATAATAAAGTAGATAAAAGACTGATTTTGGACACAATACTAAATGGTAGTATGAGATTACGAAGCGTTACAATATACGTTAAAATGGAATGTGGCAGTGTTGCCGATCGTTGTATACAATTATAATTCTTAAACACATTTGCATAAGTACGAAAATTGCTCGAGTTCGGTACCTAAGCTATGGATGGAATGCTGGAATTGAAAAATCCGATTCGGTAATTGTAACGTTGACTTATATTATATTGCACGTACAATATAAGGAAGTCTCACTGATCAGTGAACATACGAGTATAATATTCTACGGTTAAAATATCATGATTTACAACGAGTAATTTCTAAGAGTATTCGAAGTAAGAACGTTGCTAATACGCAACAGTCATAATTTTGTGAAATGCTAACGAAGCTTTTGTCCTGTGACGTGTATAAACAACACGATTAGGATAAGCTTGCAAGTGCGTGGTGTCAGTGACCTTAGTAACACATTTATGAAGACTAGGTTCGGATGCTCATGCGCACAAGCAAGGTGAAGATTCTTAATGTAAAGTCGTCCCATTTAATACAACATAAGCTGGACGCTTCAAAAGGAAAACACATGCCGTTACAAGCACATATCTTCTTTTCGGCAGAAGTTGACTATTCCTATGTCAATAACCGCTACATATTTCAATGTCACTAAGCGTAAAGTTATATAAAAATAACTTTTTTAGAACACCTTAAATATTCACTGGTTATATTTCCGTATTGTTTCAATATGTATCGAAAATAGTCAAAGATTCACTGCCTATCACGTGGTGAAATGTCTTTGGAGTTCCATTTAGGTATCTCGTCAGCCCGATGACATCAACTTTTAGTTTGACTAAGCTTGTCGGGCGGCGAGTAACGCGAGGTCCGCGTGTATGGTCCAAGGACCACCGGCGCGGTCTCAGAGCCACGTAGGCGCTCTACTCAGTGAGTACAGAGGTGGGGGGTTCACTACCGGCGTTGGTAAATCTGCTTCAGAATCAGATTCCTCCGAGGACACTCGTTCAGCTGCAGTCAATGCTACGCGTGCGTACTCGTCTGTGTCTATGCTCTTGCAGAAGTGGATCGCGTATCTGAGAACAAATAATACAAGTTTTATATCAAACAATATTTTGTGAACGGATCGTGACTAACAACTTGTTAAGCCGTAAGTCTTACCGTAATTTCTCCCGTAGAACAGACTTGCACGAATATCTTGGCATCTTGAGAAGGAAGAAACATGTGTAGCTCTCGGGTAGGAAGTGGTCTGGCGGTTGGTACTTGTCTAACACCTGTAATAAATTAAGAAGTTTAGTATTGTTGATTAAAAGAAAAAATAACGTTTTTTTTTAAGTTTCAATAAACAGTGAGTAGTCTAAAAAAATAGCACAACGAACATCCATAATGTAAAGTAGGAAATTCAAGTAAGAAAAATTTAATGTTATTATCTCTGACCTGTAGAACAAAGTCCCTTTGCCTAGGGTCTTGTGGCGCTCTGGGCAGACGAGTCCGTCCCCATACAAAACGTAGGAACAATGCTCGTTCGCTGCCAGATAGCTCCTCCATCACCTCCCAGAACCACTGCACTAGAGGCGCGTTGGGCTCGATACCTGCAAAAATTGGGAAGGTGATTATACATTTTCCAATATTAGCTTGCAACCGATGGCACATTAGCTCAAGAAGGAATGGGAGTCCCATTCCTTCTTGAGCAAGCCTGAACAGACAAGCCTGAATATGACTCCCATTATGGGAGTCATATTCAGGCTTGTCTGTGTAAGCAAAATAAGCAAGGTAAACAAAATCATTTATACGCATCACCAACATAAAATGTTTTAGTCAGGTACATATGCAATTTTTGTCAAAACTTAACTGATTATGAAAGAATACTCCAAATTCACCTCTTTACTTGGTGCGTTATTGTCATTTGTGTAGTAAGCAATCTGACATTGTGAGGGCATTACTGTCGTTACGGTTTTGGCGCTAATCTGGACGGCACTGGGAGAAACAACGTTTCATTGTTCAGTTGCGCGCGGGCCCCCGCAATACATAAGTGACGTTATAGCTCCGGAGGTACGATATGAAGACTAGCTGTTATATAATTTACCTTTGTAAGTGGCGGAGGCTCGCAGTGCCTGCACGGGTATGTCGGGGGAGCCGCAGACGAGTGTCTCCAGCTCGGCCGCGGTGAACAGCCCCAGTAATGGCGCCGGGATCACGCGGGATATACCGTCGCGGACTGCGCGGACTTGCTCGTCGAATTCGTGAAGTCTGGAAGAGGTTGTATATTTGTTAAAATTGTTGTATATGTATGCTGTGATATCGATGATTTGTAAGTATGATATTAGAGAACTTTCAGAAATCTATAAAAAATAATAAAACGGACACTAAGATTAAGGTTTGCCAAGGGATATTTTTCAAATCCGTCAGATTGTTTCAGAGATTTGCACGTTTGAATGTACAAAGTCTTCTATTTAGCGGAGCGTGTCGGTTATTGGTCTTTGGCGTTGTTGTGAAACCATCTACAAAACTGGACTGTTAAAGATAAAATGTTATTAAAATCAGGCGCATACTTTCAGAATTTCGTACATTCCATAAAACTGTTGATAGTTTAGGACACATTTAATATTATTTATTCCTTATAATTACATTATTCTTTTTAATTACACATGCCTGTATTCGCCGATTTTCTATTTAACCGTAAGGTTGCCTAGGAGAGAATGCCATATGTCATTAATGTACGCCTTATGTACCATTACTTGATTTTGTGTACATTAAAAGTTTAAAAAAAATATTACAGTTATATCAAACTCATTCACCTGTAATGCAGAGCGAGCTGCACGTATTCGTCCTTGTTGTCTGGCGTGACGCGCTTGTGTCGCGTCGACAGAGGCACCTCGTGACCCGCCGCTGATGGAATCGAGAATGGAAGCTCCAAGTTTTGTAGTTCCTGTCAAAATAGAAATATTTATAAAATCTAATATTTTTATTAGTTGACTTTTAAATGTGCCTAATGACATAAGCATTGCAATCTTTTCGTAAAGAAATGATTGAGACAGGAATACGATGAGTTATTTTTGTTTAAGGAGCGCAAATCTGATCCTTAACACGCTATATATAGAACTCAATTTAAAAGTGCCCTTTTAAATTAAAATTTATTTTGCTTTTCTGACATATTAAACGTTTGTAGTTAGTTTTTACCTTATTATTAGGCGTCATATCCCTAATACACAGCAGTGCAGGCAGGAAATCTTTGTCGACTTCAGCCAGGTCCTGCGGCCGCAGTGGCTGTCCAGCTAGTTGTCGCCATATTCCCTCCGCTAGAGAGAGGGATAGCGGGGAGCCAGTGCGAATTGCGATGCCCATTAATACACCTGTGTGGGAATAATTAAAGTTCATTTTAGGGCTGATTTTTCCGACGCCAGATAAATTTTAACTGACGAATAACTTTAAATGTTTGACAATTCTTCCATACTAAAAACTGTCAAATGACAATTTTATTCTACAGTTAAGAATTAACTGATGATTGAAAAATCGGCCCTTAGAAGATTTATTATAGTGGTAAGTGAACATATGAAAATGTTCACTTACCACTATAATAAATCTGCTGCTGAATTTAATATAGATTTGTAGTAATTATACTAATTTAGCAAATTTTTTCATCGATTCGGGTGTGAGTAGATAGAAACTGATTCTACTATCATACAGTATGCACACGTTTTAGACAAACCATAATATCTGTCGCAATACATAAAAAAGGTATAAAAATAGTACATATTTAACTGAAAGTCTTGCAATATTTTGAGACTGCATCAAACTGGTCAACATTCAATAATAACCCATTGACATAATTATGAGACAAAATAGAAAATATATTAGGTACGTCGCTTGTAGACCTACCCAACCTCACAGAACTACTACTTTAGACCACCTTACTAAGAACAATATGGACGTACCAAGAAATCGGAAGCAGTTGAGATGTAGCGGGGTATTAGCGGTGGGGTTCAATAAGAATGCGTCTCTAGATGCGCCGGCGTCCCCGCGTCCGTTGGGCGTGGCCATCAGTAGTGGGAGCGACCCGTTCTGTAACTCCTCGCACATCTCCGCGATACTCTCGTTGTATCCACCGCCACAGTCGTCTACACTCTCACCTGGACATAGTGTTAATGTCGCAGTAAGATAGATGTGGCCGTAATATAGTTATATCCCTAGGGATATAATCATATACCGGGACATAGTTATACGAAAGCGATTCATTACTATCTCACTAGGGATATAGTTATAAAACGGACCAAGTTTAGTGATATACTTATATTACTAGATTAAGTTTAGTGAAATAGCTTTCGGAGTCAAACATTACTTTGAATGATCCTATATCAAATGAAAACTTGTCACTGAGAGAAATTTGCCAAAAATTGTCGCGCTTTGGTGGCCAAGGTTATTTAAAATGTTCCTGTAAAAAATCGAATACACAAGAAGCATTCAGTGCTATGTAATTCTAAATGTCATGATTCCTCTTATTGTCTGAACAAAAATTAAAAATACTTATAAAGAAACCAAGATCTCAGCTTGTTGATCTATATAAATAAAAATGATTATATTGTTAAAGTTTAAATTCTAAAAAATATGATTGTTTTAATTATAATTACTTTAACCCGTGTTATAGTCACAAAGTATTGTAAAGTCAGTCAAAATTTAAGACATTAAAGTTGATTTAAAGATAAAACCAATAAACTTTGTTTTATTTAATTATAACTATACCTATGGTAGATTTCTAATTCACTAAGCTTAATCAAGTAATGGGTCTGTCTCAAAAAAGTCTCACAAATTTGTAATTTTCCTTTCAATTTTTCAAAAATGTTTGAGAATAAATAAGCTTTAATATACTACAATATGATGACAATATGAAACAATATGACTTTTTTGAGACAAACCCTAATATATTTAAAACACTGAACTTCATCTAGTAATATAAGTATATCACTAAACTTGGTCCGTTTTATAACTATATCCCTAGTGAGATAGTAATGAATCGCTTTCGTATAACTATGTCCCGGTATATGATTATATCCCTAGGGATATAACTATATTACGGCTTTATCTATCTTACTGCGACATTAATATATTGTAAGTGAAACTGTCGCAGTTTAACGTGCAGTAAGGAAAAGGTCTATTATCTCATTTTAGTATTGTATTGTCAAACTTGTCATTATCGTCATCTTAAGTATAATATAACATTTTTATAAAAAAATAATATTTAATTTAGAATTCGTTTGTTCATTCATATGTATCATTACAATTTCAGTTTAATTCACAGGTTATAAAACACTTTAGGGTACCTTAATCATTTTTTTTTATTTTGACCTCATTACAAAAATTAATTGTTAAAAATGTATTAATTAACACAAAATCGCTCACCGACAAACTTAACCTTCCATACACGTTGTGGCAATCCGAGTGCTTCTTGTGTGAGTACAGGTAGTCGTGCCACCATCTGTCCGAAGACGGAGCGCATCCCGGCGGGGCCCGCCAGCCCCGTCCCGCCCCGCCGGGCGCGACGTGCCGCCACGCGGGACAGTTCCACTACTGGACCGTGTTGCCGTTCCCGAGTCATCGTTGATAATATCGCCTGTGACAAATTATTATAATGGCTTGTTTCATAATGTGTGATTGTTAAATTGACACATTTCATATGAAAAATAGGTCAAATTCTCAGTTCAGAAAAGCTTTCGGCAAAATTGTGATATTTTGACTGTCCTATTTGATTAAAACTCAGTTCTTACTTCAATCTAGTTATGAGACAAAGCAAGAATAAAGTTTTAGTAATAAAAAGATCAATAAGTTACTCTTCAAATTGACACACACACAGACTTTACCGAATTCATGTATATCTTACCTTTCTAAACGCAGCTTCTTTGACACTGTAGAATAGTAGAGTCCTCAATTGGTCTAGGGGACCGTCGAGGATCAACAACGGAAGGTTCGGACAAACCAGCTCCGAAAACTGATGAAGTAGTACCTAAAACAATATTCATAATTTTGTCAAATATTCAAGATTAATTAACTATTAAGTATAAAAAAACAAATATTGCCAAATTTTGTAAGTAAAAGTGTTTCAAACTTACTTGTGCTACTTCCTAACAAATATAACATTTTGTCTTGTTCAATATGGTAATCACATCACAAAAAGTGTATCATCTAGTTTAGAAGTTATTAGATGACGTAAAATAATATATGGCTACATTTTGGAAGCACTTACGAAAGGAACTCGAACCACAATATCATAAGACACTTTTATCGAAAGACTTCAATACCAAAGTTTACATTAAACACTTTGTACCTGTCAATAGACTTAAACAAAGGTAGAAAACATTAAGTGTGTCACTGACCAGCCTGTTGCACGTAAGTAGCGGCGGCAGGTCCCTGAGTAGATGGCACTCGAGTGGCGGCGCGGGCGGCGGCCGCGGCGCTCGCGGGGCCTCCACGCACACCGCCACCGTGTGCGCGCTGCCACAAGCTACCTTCGTCACACGCTTACCCTGGACAAATACCGAATACGACGGTTTTTACAAAATTGTCAATGCATATCATCCTTACTAATATTATAAATCGGAAAGTGAGTTTGTTTGTTTGTTTGTTGGTTTGGTCCGCTTTGACGCCGTAACTACTAAACCGATTGCTTTAAATTTTTGCAGACGTAAAGTTAGAAGTCTGGATTAAATAATAGGGTACTTTTTATCCCGGAAAAATTTGATATTCCCGAGGGAAAACAAAAGTATTGGTATAGATGACGCTGTGTGTATTGATATATGTCACATAGGCTACTTTTTATTCTTTTGTGACACGAGGGAAGCCGCAGGTGAAAGCTAGTTTTTAATAACATAACATAACATCACGCCTTTTATCCCCGAAGGGGTAGGCACATTATGCCGCTGTAGAGGTGCACATTATGCCACTGTACAATGTAACACCCACTTTTCACTATTTATGATGCAAGTCCCATGTAATAGGGGGTGAACCTATACCGGGCACCAATCCAGACTCCGTGCTACTACTAAGAATTCTTTGAAACACCCAGTAATACTTTGCCCGACACGGGAATCGAACCCGAGACCCCTTACCCGGCAGTCGCACTTGCGACCACTCGGCCAACGAGGCAGTCATCATTTATAATATGTTTTAATAATAACTATCATGAGACATACTAAATAAACTAAAAATCGCGACTTACTCACGTGAATGTCCCGTAGCCTACAGTCAATAGTCATAGTACATCGCCGCGACCGCGCAAGCTGCTCATAAAGAAGGACCTCTCTATGGTTCGAAATTAGTTTTTTCTCAGTATATTCACGTGAATAACCCGCGATTTTTTAATGAATTATAATATGTTTTAAGCATCTTTGTCAAAATGCTTTTATGCATCAAATAAAAAAATACAGTAAGGGTACAGAAACAGACTATTATTTGTTGATATATTCATTGGACGAAAATGACTTCAAGCTTCATAGAAAGAGGTGAAGATCAGCTCAGTGGCGTACTATGTCCAGAAGTGGGCAAAGACGAACCGATGGAAAACGAATAAATTAATGATAACTCTGATCTTACCTGCAAAGCTGTCAAAAGCCTGGGTCTTTGAGCAGCGAGTGTGGTTCCGTCTCCCAATTGTCCCTCATCATTGTCACCCCACGTGTATACTTCACCGGTGTCCGTACACGCCACGCAGTGGAGACTGCCTGTTAACAATTAATTCGGAAATTAAAAAGATTATAAATAGAAATGCATTTGAAAAAGGTAAGAACAAATACAGGTTGCTTTGTTTTGTTAGCAAAGTACAGGATGTTATGTTAAATGAGACATTAATGCATTGGAGGATCAACATCAACATCTACAATAGGATAGATAACTAATTTTTATTTTAATATCAGCCTGGTATATTTCTTTAAAACATTGACACGTTTTTTTTATTTTCTTACAGAAACAAATACTTGCGATGATATATCAGTTTGAAATATCGCGTGACGTCACCTCTAGGGACGTTTTATACGTGGAAATGACGCTTTAGCTCCCACTTTTAAACTTTTATCTAAGTATGATAAGCTTATACGACAAAATAAAAAAAATACGTGTCTAATATTTTTTCATGAAGGAATAAATATACTCGGAATTTTAATTCGATTCCAGATTTGACAATTTCAGTGTTGCATCGTTATGACAAGTACTAAATAGTGACGTTGCGAAATTATTCGATATGGAAATGCAATATTTCTGGATCGATTCTTCTCGTTTATAATTTTACTCTTGTAAACTACGTATATCAGGAAATTAAATATTTCTGAACCGATAATTTAGTTTTGACGATTAATCAACGATTTGAGACTTTTCTTTTATAATTGTGTGTGAAATAAATAAAAAAATGTAATCATGAAGGAACATGACAAATAAAACAGATAGATGTATCATGGTAATAAGTTATTTTATAAATTGTCACCGTCATCGCTATCGCTATCCTGTCACTTTCTGTAACATTTATTATAAAACACACACACCGATTGTTTATTGATTTTTGTGTGCATCACTACACTATTATATGTGGTATCATTATTTCACAAAATGACAGTAGCTATTGTCAAATCTGGAATCTAATTAAAATTCTGACTATAGAATTCCATTTTCAAACCTCATCATCATTCCTATTAGCTCGAAAATGGTAAAAGCTGTTTCTTTCGCATGTATACGTTTTTATTGCTTGCTTGTAGACACAATACATGCTAGATTTTTACTTAGTCTACATTAACCGTGTGGTGTTACGAATAAGTTATGTATGATTAAATATAGAAGTTTTTAGTACCTGTAGCTATAGACACGATAGTCTTCCCTTGCATGCCTGTGACACGCATGGGACGCCTTACGTGATCATAGCTGCCGTGTCCCAGGCGATGGTAGTCTCCTTTGCCCCTGTTACATAATAATATTTATTACATTTAGAAGGTACTTACATCTTTGTGTATATGTAAGAAATTTAAGAGGATATTCAATTTAACCTACGGATTAGTCATTTAATTACAGATTGTCTTGTTTTTCGAAGTTGTTACGAAGTCTTTTTTTTAGGGGGGAAAGTCATCGAATTACTGCTCCCGACTGGGTGAGGCGGGAGGGAGTGTCAGACTCTTACTGACTAAAAATTACCCCGTTCCTACTCTTGCCCTTCGAGCCGGAGCCCCGGTAACCCGTTAAGTCCTCCGCGGCTGTTACGAAGTCTTTGAATTATTTTTTTCAAAGGTAGAAATGCTAGACAATTTTTTTCGAAATCTCGTTGAAAATAATCCTAAACATCTAATTAGCAATTGGCGTTCCATAATATCTGCCTACTCTATTAACCATTTAGACAGTTGCTATTCACAACTTACCACGTGTAAACGCTTCCACATTGACACAGCGCCACAGAGAATTGAGACCCGCATTCAACTTTGACAACACGAAGTCCTTTCAAACAGTCTATCCGCATTGGAAGCTTGCAGCCTTCTGATCCACCTCGGCCTGAAACAAATATACCAATAGGGTACTTTGGTTAATCAAAAAGAAATGATTTCAACTATTCAATACTATAAAATATAAAAAAATAATCACACTTTCATTAATTGATTTTGTGACCAACTTAATTTTAATAAATAATTATGCTGTTTGACGCTAAGAAACGTGACGTCACTATACACAATATCGTACAAAATTCATAGAAAACTGTCGCTTTTGACAGTACGAAAAAAGTTTTGAATTTAACTAGTTGGCAAGTACCCAATTATATCATTATACTTTAGATGTAATTATCTATATTGAATCTAGGATTAACGATATAATAACTATTATATCGTTAATGGAGGAACTAAGTAATAATGGAGGCCAGTTCATTTAAATAATATAATACACACAATTTATGCCTTTATAAAAAATGTTACCTAGTTTCCCATAGTCACCATCTCCCCAAGACCAGACATTGTCATCGTCAGTGATACAAAGAGTTTGTGCGTCTCCTGAACCGCAAGCGACGTCTATCACGCGGTACGATGATAGGGCTTCCACCTAGAATATCATATTTTTTTTTTAAAACATCACAATTCTAAAACACCAACGACAGTTGCCATAGATGAGAAACAAGTTCAGTTACACAAGATCACATGTTTATTAGTTCTTAATACTTGTGGATTCACTGCCAAACATCCTGTAGTCGTTTTAAAATATTAATGTATTTACATAAAAACCAAGAACATGGTGTTAGATAAACAAAACATTATGCCAATTTTGTATGATGTAACATAACATAGAGAATATTATACACACATCTTTTTTTTTGTTTTTTAGTCAAATTTCCGTGATGCTTGGCGACTGGGCTTCACCCAGTTGTACAGTCTCTTCTTTGTGCCTTTAGGCTTAATTCATTCTGTCTCCTGCAGTAATTCACCGAGGGAAGTGGAAACTATAGTTTTTTCTTCTCCTCTTATAATATCTTCTGATTCATTTCGTTGCGAGAACCAAGACAGTTACTCATGTCCCTGGGACGCGCCGGACTTCAGTGTTCCGGTGTTTTCATGGTTGTATCTACTGTAGATCCTGGCTTACAGGAGTTGCAGCGGTTTTGGGAGGTTGTGGCGGGCGTGTCCCATCAAAAAAAAAAACACACATCTTAAGAAATATAATATCTCACTCACCATTTTCGGCACCAACTGGTCCTCAGAGTCCCCGTGTCCCAATCTTCCGTACCGGCCTTTACCCCAGGTATAGATGCGCCCTCGAGCGGTCAAACACGCAGAGTGGGCGCCTCCACAAGCAATGGCCACTACTTCCAGACCCGACAGAGCTGTTATTAACTTGGGACGGTCATAACTCCTGTTGAAAACAAATAATATTACATAGTATATATATTATTATTACACAGCACCACGCCTGTTAACATCAAAAAGAGATAGAGGTATACTTAAATACCAATTACTTTTCGACTGTTATGTTCACGGTTTTGTGATATCTTAACAACAATAAATTACAACATAACACGCCGTTGATCCCCGAAGGGGTAGGCAGAGGTGCACATATAATAAGACGAGAGTAAATTACAAATATAAGTCATTTCTAAAATGAGTAGTTTCTACGAGAAATGCTGTCATACTATCTTTATTGAAATGTGTATCAATATAAAATATCTTAAAACATTATACTGACACTCTGTTCCCGTGCCCCAGCTTGCCGTCTTCGCCTTCACCCCAGCTGTACACATCGCCGTCAGCGGAAAGCGCCAAACAATGCTTGCCTCCCGAGTTACAAGCGACCTGGTAACAAAAAACATATTTTAAACGATTTAAAATAGACTGCTGACTGATAGTTAAAAGAATTATTATAATTCAAAATGCATTTTTTTATTATTAATATCGTTTACTTAAATTTACATTTCATCTTCAAATAAGTAGTTCGTATAGTTTTTATACACATACTAGCTTCTGCCCGCGACTTCGTACGCGCAATCCCGTTTCTCTCATTTCCGTAGGATTTTCAGGTTTTTTTCTGTCATAAGAACTTTCTCCTGACGATAACAAATACATAACAAAAAAAAAATCAGCCAAATCGATCCAGGCATTCTCAAGTTATGGCGTGACAACGGGAAACGGGTTTCATTTTTGTATATATAGATTACTATAAATATAAATTTTGGTTCAAGGTTTGAATTTTATCCGAATGTCATGTAAAATGTTACCTTTGCAATAAAAACGTGTTGAATCGAGGCGAGTAGTGTCGGTTGTGAGACAGAGTCGATGCCTCCGATGCCTAGTCTGCCACCAGCGCCATAGCCTGATATAACAGAATACAATATGAATTAAGAATTCCTATACAATACACATATTATACTAATTACAGTTATTTTTTTGTTCAGTAGTTTCTAATTTAAGTAGCAGTAGTATAATAATTGAATTTGGACTACAATTTCTTCCATGCACTTCATGGAATAATGTAGTTAAGATTAGCACCGTAATGGATTCGATCCGACGAACATCGATGTAATATGTAACTTATTAGCTGTTAGAGATTTCTGCCATGTAATTATATCATCTATAATACTGATAAAGTAGTTCAACGTTCTCTTACCAGTAGCATAAACCTTTCCATCGGGTGTGACAGCGAACAAGGTCTGCTCCCCGCCGACTAACTGCACAGGATTGAGTGCGGCGAGTGCGTGGCAGGCTGTGGGGGTCCGTACCTTGGCCCCCTCCACCCCGCCCAGCTGGCCGCGGTGGTTGTGTCCCCAGCCGTACACTGCGCATCCTCGGAACACCCCGCCCCACCAACCGCACCAGTCTTCTGGCCGTCTAAGGTTAGATAGGGTCAATTGTGGATTTGAGGCAACTTCAACTGATGAGATGCCGCTAAATATGATCAAGTGACGTTGCACTCTGTCGTGTAGAAGACTTAAGAACAAGACACGTAATGAAGGTCCTACAGATCTACTACTCTCTACTTTAGGCCTAAACTCTCAATTTTTTTTTAAGGGGGGAAAATCATCGAATGGTTTCTCCCGGGTGAGGCAGGAGGGAGTGTCAGACTAAAAACCAGCCCGTTCCTACTTTTGCCCTTCGAGCCGGAGCCTCGGCAACCCGTTAAGTCCTCCGCGGCTTCGTATCGGCATCAGCCCTATTGGGCATCTCTGTAGCGCCAATTGGTGAGAGCAAAAAGTTACTTAAAATTGAAATTCGTATGACACAAGAAAGCTTATTTTACACCGCAGTAAGATCTTTATATCTTCTTTTTTTACCTTTAAGTTCTTTCATGAGATAAATTCATTAAATCCAAAACTTACTTGTTAACCCAATGCAGGAGTTGCTCATCGTGTTGCTTCGTGAACTTGGTATTATCTTCCCACTGGTAATTCGGTTCGCTAGTTTCATCGTACACGCAGAGGTCTGACAATCTCTTGCGTACGTCTGCTAGGAAGGGAGTGGGTAAGGGAGATCGTCGTATGAGTGCGTCGGCTGTGCGTAAACAGAGGCAGTAACGCTTGAACCACGACCAACGCATTGAATCTGGACCGCCGCAGACTCGAGTGTCCATGCGAAGACCACATGCGAGCCAGGCTAGTTCCTGTTGGCAATATACAGATGAAATGAAAAGTTATTTTACTAAAATTGAGAAAGACATTTAATGTAGTCTGCAAGACCTTGATAACATATTTACATAATAGTTTTTTTAGCCCTATGTAATAAGCATCTTCGTAAACAGACAGGCAGATTTTTATGAAATATAACGAAATTGCAAGGACACTTTGAAGTAGTTTTTTGCAATAGATTAATAAAGTAGGTAGGGTGGTCTACATTTTCGTGAAATTTCACGTATTTAAATATTATGTTATAATCGTGTACTTCTAAAATATTATCTTATTTAAAAAACACAAATAAAGTAAATCATACCTTAAGATAATGCGTATGGAATAAATGCGAGCCGGTCCTTAGCGCAGGTTCCTCGTGCTCGTACTGAGCGTGCAGTAGTTGCGGCAGTTGTTGTAGTGCAGGAGGCGCGGGCGCGCCGCCCGTCCCACCCTCGCCGGCGCCGCAACCACTGCCGCCGCAGACCACGCCGCGGAGGCGACGGACGCACCATACGCGAGCTCGCCATGCTAGCGTATTAAACATTAATTATGGTTGGCAATTTACGTCTTTGTCGTGGTAAACATTAATTACAGTTGAGAATTTATGTCTTTGTGTTTTAAATATGAAGATTGAATTAGGTTGGCAAGCTAGTGGTGTATGAAGCCTACGATTATTTATCGACATATGAGTTTTGAAAATGTCGATGTTCTCTCTGCGACAGTCTAAAAAATTTTGCAGTACGTTTTATCATAAAATCATTCCAACACGTGTTGCCATACGTTATTCTAAAGGAGGTTTTGCGGTGTTTTATAAATTCTTGATTAAACAATATTTACAAATTATTTCAATTTTATCCTTATGGGAATAAAATATACACATTACATGTATTTTTAAAGTTCTGCTGCATAAGAAGAAATCAAAGGACGAAAAGTTTGTGAAACCTTTTTAGAAACTTACACAAAGACGGCATCTGAGCACATATAGCCAACGCTTGAGCCAACCTTGGCGCCAACTGATGGTCCTTGGATATCGCCGCAAGCAGTGGACCGTCAAGTAATCGCCACGCTAACTCTACTGACGGACATGACAAGACGTAGCGATCTGAACCGCTATCCTGATAAGAACAATACATATGATCACATTTTTTAAAGGCAGATATTGAAGTTAATGATAACAATAATCATTGTGTTGATGTGTGGGAATTTATTGTTTGTTTGACTCACAGTAAGAGAATGTGCTGGTAACATCGGATGAGCGGTGAACCTCCAACCCCAGCCGGTGACGGAACCATCGCTTGTAAATCTCCAACGCAGCTCATCACCTGATTGAAATTCATTCACATTATGAATATAAAAATACAATTCTTTAGAACACATCGCTTTTTATTATTATTTGTAGACTTCATTATGTCGAACGTAACTTGATGCAATATCCAATTTATTTTCAAAAGACTAAATTAATCAATTACAATTTTACAGAGATATCAGATACATAACAGATAAAAAACTTTAAAAATTTGAGTTATAAAATTTTTTTAGCGCAAGTGCTTTGCGCAAATAGCGCAACTTACCATTAACGATGATTTCCTGCGCCCAATCGGTTGGTTCTCGCCCCGATCGAGTGGCTAGTACTCGACCGGTACTATCCGATATAGTGAGGGGATCATTACGCCGCTCCGTAGAACATCCTTGTTCGAAGACTACGCGAAGAGATACGGCACCGGGTATTTTGACTACACCTGTTTTAGTAAAAAGGCTTAACAGATTAAAATGCACTGCAATAAGAGCAAGTTATCTTAAACTATTTCAACTTAAGTCTATCTTGTTGATCGAATGTTTGTATTGTATATCTGCAGGTGCAGAGAAGAAGGTCGAGTGAACTACAATTGATGTTTTTGACTGACAAAACTATCATGAGACACTCTTTTGCACGTTGAGTTTGGGAAGAGTTCGGTATATTTACTGGAATAATTTCAGCATACTTATTGAACATCTACCAAGCGTAACAAAGCAAATATATACTTCCATCATTATGATTATAATAAGTTTATTTACTATACAAATAACATTACAACACATGTATGTTTATCAATATTCAGCTATAGGCTTGTCTTGGCACTAAAGTTCCTTACCTGATATATCAGTATCGTCAATATAGGGATGCGGACTGTCGACAGTGATGGGTTGAGGGGGTGCCCTCCCCCCTCCTGCAGCCGCCTCCTCCAGCTCGCACACACACACCTCCACCACCATGTCTGCCACCGCAGGCTTACTGGCGCATAGAGCTGGGGGACATCAAAATGTTAAAGGTAACAAAGAACTAATGAAGCAAACGTTTGAGGATATTTTGACCCTAAAATGACAACAATATTTTTTTATCCTAATCTTCTTCTTCTTCTGTCATGATAAAAGTTGGCATCAACTTTGTAATAAAATAATTACATTCTTTCTATTGAAATTACTATGTTGTTTCTAACAAATATCGAATGTTAAATCGAGACTGCATTGATGCCTTTGAAACTGTAGTGTATAATATGATAAACTGATGAGTTATCGAGTAAAATGCAAAGATTAATCAAATCAAAATAATTTGTTGTTGTTGTTGCTTGTTCCAATTTCGATCAATATATTATTGAAAACCCAGGACATTACTAAAAAATGGCAACATATTGCTAAGTGTATTGTCATCTTACCCATAAGAACATCAGTAATGATCTTCACGGCATTATTAGAGTCCGGTATCCTGCCGGCCGCTGCTAACTTCAGTAAATCAACCAGAGCCCTCGCATCAGATTCTCCAAGTTGTGATGTGAATTCGTCTAACACCAACTGCAAACAATAACTTTCATTTAGAAATAATAGCTAATCCGATTAAAAATATTCTAATCAAATGGGTATATCTTTCCGAACTATTTAAATAATAATGAAATCATATTTGCGCATGTTTGCGCAAATACGCACATGTAAGCGCGACGATTGCGCAATGTTAACATTTTTCTTGATCATAATTAATATTAACCACACCGTGATATTATTACCTTAGGAGCCTCAGCTTGTTGCACAGTCATTGTGGCGGCGGCTACAGAAACTGCACTGGACGACATCACAGCCGAATGACGAGACGATATCGAACCACTCAGTGGGCTGCTGGCTCCGCTCTGAGTGAACGCATTAAAAAAATATTGTTGAAAAGTAGTCCAATATTTCTGACGCAACCTACTTATCTATTAAACAGCTCACGATGTCAATGTTAACTTATTCATTATCGTTAGGAATACTTCGGTATAAGTTAGAAATATTTCCTAATTCTGGTTTTGCTATTGTTACCAATTCTAAGTTTTAACTCGTTGACTACCGTCATTATAGACACAATTAAAGAACAATAGGTCGCGGTCACCGGTGACCGCTTGGTGTTTGACAGTTTAAAGTAAAAAGACCATCACACAATTTGAAGACAATACATTTTCTCTCAATTCTAGTCAAAGTGGAAATAGTCAATGCCTATCGATAAATGTAGCCTGTAATTGAAGATCCTCAAAGAACTCAAAAATCTTTACTTACAGGTAACGTAGCTCTATCAGCGGGTGCTTCGCCACCCCCAGTTCGGGCATCACCTTCACCGTCTTCATCCTCAGTATCTATCGTGGCTACTACGGGAGCCACCGTAGAACAAGCTTCGTGAGCACGCAGCGCTTCTACGAGTAAACTGCGCGCCTGGTAATTGGGACAAATAATGTTTTATTTCAATGTCTAACAAAGGTATTAACAAAAGAAAAAAATGTTTCTACACTAACATTAATCTAAAAGATTTTTTTTACATAACATCAACTTTTAATAAATACTAATTATGATTCATTTCTAAATAGTCGGTCTTCAGATTTCAAGGGCAAGTAGATTAAGTAGAAGTTTATCTGATCACTACGATCGCATGTTTCAATGTTTTCACCTTTTCAAAGAAAAAATATGAAAGGGCCTATATGAAAAGGCGTATAATACCTGTGTAATATGCAAAGCAAGTAGAATCAAAGACAGTGCATGTTGTACGGCTACAGGCGGCTCTAATGCCAAGGCTGCAGCAGCTAACGACGCTCGTGGACCTTGAGGCTCCTCTACAACTGTTTCTTCTGAATATAATCCTATAAAACAAGTGAAATATGTAAAAAATAAACAAATAATTATACTTGAATGTGGAAATAGTGATAGTGATTTAGGAACCGTTCAATATTTGAGTTTGCGCAATATAGCATAAAAATTGCGCAAAAATGTTGCGCAACACATTGGTGGTTGAGTTAGTTTTACTGTAGCAGACTATACAGATGGCTCATATTACTCTTGATTGTGTCACAGTTTGAAGCACTTTTCTTGATATATTATCATTCTTACCTAAACTTTGTGCTCCCAAAGGATCCTTTAAAGTCGGGAATGGCACTGGAGATACATGGGCAGCATGAGTATCATTTTGTAATGCAGAGGGTCTTAATGACCAGGCGGCTGAGTGAGAGGAACCGGCGGCGGCCCTCTGTACTCCTTCCACGCCGGCGACGAGAGCCGGGCGACGGTTAACGCAAGTTGTACCGTTTCCTTGTTGACCATGGTCGTTGTCACCCCATGCCCAGACCTAGGAAAAGTGAAATATAGTTTACTCATCTAAAAACTGTTTAATGAAAATCAGTACAGTGTATAAAGAGATAGCCTGTCATTAGATTTTCATTGCCAGATTATTATATTAGTGAATGGATGGTCGGATAGTTGGCCTGTATTTTACAAATATTAAAATGTATGGAGTGTTAAAAAAATGCAAATAGTTTTGTAACATTTGTCTACTGAACAGAATGCGTAGATAGCGAAAGAGGTTTGGCCATAAAATACCTAGAGGTCATTAACATGATTAGGAATTAACTATTAAGACCTTAAAACGTTTAGTTCAACATACCTGATGTTCACTAGTAACAGCGAGACAATGCAATGCTCCAACAGCGACATGTATAACTCTGCGCCCGCGCAACGCTTCTACTAGAGTCGGGCGACGGACGTGTGCGTCACATCCGTGGCCTAGACGGAAGTAGTCGCCTTTACCCCATGTCCATACCTAAAATACATATCAATATAAATTTATTTTCCTGAAGAAGGTAAGAAGTATTACGAGTTCAATGTAATAGGATGATTGCTGTACCATTCTGGACTATGTGCTCAAATTTTAAAAAATAAATTACCATAAATGGTAGGTGAGATAGGAAGGAAATTGAGAAGTGGGATGGTCCGTACAAATATATCCGTAAATGGTATAAAATAAAGAATTTATCTCTGTATTCTTGTCGAGTACTTGCGCTTGTTAGGTACCATTTTTTTAAAGGGAGACAAATCATTCAATGGATTCTCCCGCATTAGGAGAGGCGAGAGGGAGTGTCAGACTGTTACTGACTAAAACCATCCCGTTCCTGCAACAACAAGAGCAAGACTGTAGGAGTAGTCCGGCAGTCCTGCTCTTTGAGTCGAAGCCTCGGTAACCCGTTAAGTCATCCGCGGGGAGGGATTTACTTACCTCTCCATCTCTAGTCAAAGCTAAGCTGAATTGAGCGCCGCATTCTACTTGTATAACACCAAGAGTGTTCAGTCGTTCAATGTTCATTGGCACTGCGCAACCATCAGAGCCGCCTCGACCTTAAACACACCAATAATAATTATCATAATCTTGCTTTTTATTTTAGACTTTATATTAAATACGATAAAGTTTAAATTGAAGTTCACTTTTATTACAAAAACAAACCAATAATGCAATGATCTTCCATTATATATCTTGGATACAATACAATAAGGTTTAAGTTACAGTAGATAGTTGTACCGGCTTACCCAATTTGCCGAAATCGCCGTCTCCCCAAGAGAATACTTTGCCACAGGCAGTCAGAGCCAATGTTTGCGCATCACGAGATCCACACGCTACTTGTACTACTCTAAAGTTGGCTAATGCTTCCACCTACAACATCATAATATTATTACTATTCACAATAATTCAGTTTTAATGTTCTTTTCAATATTTGTGTCTTTTAAAAAAGACCCGAAAAGCGACATGCTTAATGCGTTAAGGTACACCACACCTAACAAGCACACAATTAACTTGTCATTTAAATATGAACTTTAAATCGTATGTCGTATGACATATTTCACAATGCCATACACCGTGCTTGAGCCGTGCCGGAGCCGTGCTCCTTAGGTGTGCGAAGATCTTTAACGACGATCCACAGAAGAATAGTAGAACATGTGGAACATAAAAACTAGTTAAAGTAAATCAATTATTTTGTTTATAATGGAAATATATTTTTTGACCATTTAACGAGATAACTCGACTATAGTCAGAATTTTAATTAGATTCCAGATTTGACAATAGCTACTGTCATTTTGTGAAATAATGATACCACATATAATAGTGTAGTGATGCACACAAAAATCGATAAACAATCAGTGTGTGTGTTTTATAATAAATGTTACAGAAAGTGACAGGATAGCGATAGCGATGACGGCGACAATTTATAAAATAACTTATTACCATAATACATCTATCTGTTTTATTTGTCATGTTCCTTCATGATTACGTTTTTTTATTTATTTCACACACAATTATAAAAGAAACATCTCAGATCGTTAATTAATCGTCAAAACTAAATTATCGGTTCAGAAATATTTAATTTCCTGATAAACTTAGTTCACGAGAGTAAAATTATAATTATTATAAACGAGAAGAATCGATCCAGAAATATTTCATTTCCATATCGAATAATTTCGCAACGTCACTATTTAGTACTTTTCATAACGTTGCCACACTGAAATTGTCAAATCTGGAATCGAATTAAAATTCCGAGTATAGTTTCAAGCCACGTTTACGGCTCATAGTCACGATCACTAGAATCATTACGTCAGCAAACCGTAAAACACAATTAATTGAATATCAGACAAGACTTCTAATACAAAACTTACAAATCACTCACCATCTTTGGATAAAGTTGCGTCATATCATCTCCATGTCCAAGCCTGCCGTACTCCCCCATCCCCCACGTATATAAGTGTCCCCTAGCGGTAACACACGCACTATGAGCCGACCCACAAGCTATGCCCACGACCCTTTCTCCTGATAACGTCTCTATAAGGCGAGGAACTTCTAGGGTGATTCGGTTACCATGACCTAGTTTGCCGTCTTCGCCTTCACCCCAGGAGTAGACCTAAGAAGAGAAGTTGGTATTGTAAATTGTGTTTTGTGTCTAAGGTTTTAAAATTGCAAATTCAATGTGTTAAGTTTTGATGGACTGTCTGTTATACTTAGACTACATTCGTCATGAGCCATGAATGTTGTAGTTTTAAGGAATTAGGTTGGCTATAATTTTTAATGAGGTGGCAACTAACACACGTAAATTGTCAGTTTACAAACAAATAAGTTATTTTACTTAGAGTGAAATTACGAAATTGACATACAATTCAATTTAGTACGTCATTTACAACCTTAACACATGATAATAAAGCACATTTACCCATTTACCCATTATCCTTACCTTGCCATCAGCAGTGAGTGCGAGCGCATGTTTCCCCCCTGAATGTACAGCGACGCGGCGTACGAGTACGTGCGAGAGGTACGGGTTCGCGCGCGGACTCGACACGTTGTTACTGTGGCCTAGACCCAGTCTACCGTTTGTACCTTCACCACAGGCGAATAGCTGTTGGAGATAAAATATAAGTTAAAGTTACGGTAATTGGGTACGTTCTTTAATCAAAAATAAATTATTTCGACTGTTCAATACAATAAAATATTAAAAAATAATCACACTTTTAATAATTGATTGTAAGACTAACTTAATTTTAGTATTTTTCCAGTTATTTTTTAAGAAATAAGTACGCTGTTTAACGCTAAAAAAACTCGACGTCATAATTCACAATCTCGTAAAAAATTCATAGAAAACTATCGTTTTCTGACAGTTCGAAAAAGTATTGAATTTGACTAGTTGTCAAATATCGTATTTTTAAATGTCGTTTCATGCACTGAAATTGATTGTAGAAGAAATGAGGTTAAACAATTAATTGTGCTTTTTGTTGTGTATTATAAACGTAGCTTTATAGTAAAACGTGTTTTCGTGTGGGAGTGTTTGAAGAGATTAAATGGATAGTCGTAGAAAAAGGTAGAAGTCTTAGTCACGTTGTAGGACAGTCTTAGTTGATAATAAAATTATATTCTGCCTTTCTCATAAAAACCGGAAACCTTGGATCTTTACTTGTCTAATAGAAATAATGATGCTGTTACATCTTATCACTATCTGTAGAACTATGAATTATTCTAACAAACATCATGTTTTTATCAAAAACGTACCTTTCCATCATGTGATACAATGAAGAGTGTCTTCGATCCACCAGCGATATGAACAGGTCGGTAAGCGCTGAGACTTGGCGAGAACACGGGAATTTTAACTTTAGATCCTTTCACGCCACCTAGTTGGTCTTTGTCATTTAAACCCCAAACATATACCTGTGAAGTAAACATATATTTCAGTTCAATCTATATTGATCTGTATGTCATGGAACGAGATTAAACTAATAAAATACAAATAGTGCGTTATTGCAATTTCCATATCTTATAATCAAGCCAAATAGTTCAGAAATTAGTTTAAAAACTAGTTATTAAGTTATAAAAGGTTTCTAGAAATTGTAATGGTGTTTTTCACCAATCCAAGCTAAGATAGGTGTCACTTAACGTCATTCCGGGTTTCATCAACCTATAAGTGTCACCTACTGTGGTCTCTCTACTTGTAGGGGGTCTCTCTTGTTAAGTAACTCTTAGTTCAAAGAGTGGTGCAGGGATGGTTAGTGCAAAAACCATTATTATATTATAAAGAAAGTTGTAAAAGCTTACTTTAGGACAATCACTTGGCAACACAGGAGGATTGTTATCAGCTGACACAGAACTCGTCTGATTGTCTTTTTCCATCCAATCTTCAGCTACAAAGTTCATACTCTGAAACATACAGCACAATAAAAAATGGTTCTTATAACTATAACACTAGAGTTTAATTTAGCTTGCTTACCTGTAACACTTCTGTGTACAGAGGATTTGGTCTAAAACCCGTTATGTATAAACCATGGACACGACAATCAGCGTTCACATTTCGATTTTGTTTTATACCGATTTCAATGCAAGCGTAATACTGAAAACAAAAATACACAATTACAGGAATAATAATAAATTATACGTACTTGAAAATAAGCCCGTAATACAAGGAAACATAGAGAACAATTTTATTTCACAACTCCATGACTATAGAATTCAACCCATTCATGACTAAAAAAAAACTTAGCATTGAAATTAGACTCACAAATAAAGTACAATAGAGTCCAATTTCATTAAGTACAACAGTCATATGCCGGAATACTGAAACGTTAGTCAATTTTAAGTCGTGCTTAAATATCGTGCCATCTCTGTCATTTTACAAAGAATTTGTGGAGACAAAACTATACTTAAACGCGACTTAAAATTGAGTAACGTTTCAGTATTCGAGCAATAGAGTTAATACTATAACAAACCTGTTTACAATCTGCCAGCAACTGTATTTGAGCTAAATGCGCAGGTGGTCTATCCCTTGTAGGTGCAGAAGGCGTACAAGGCACTGCAGCTAGCGGCGCAAGCGCAGCATCATCGAACGTAGCGCCCGCGCGCACTGCTAGCGCGGCCGGACCGTACGCGCCGCCGCCTACGCCCAGACCGAGGCGGCGTACGCGCACGCCGTTACGCATCTCTACGCGGATCCAGTGCTGGCGAATGGTGAAATTGTTAATTATGTATTTTCTACTTACTGAACTCTAATTCTCAGTCATAAATTTTCAACTCTATGACAAAGTAAGGTTAAAGGTTTAAAGGTCGAAAGTTTAATTTTTTTTTTCATCAGTATAGTATCTATCTAAAATCAGTAACACATTATCTGTTCTTTAAAAAAATCTACTATAAATACACTAACCTGACCATTCCCACTGGAACTCTGCCAATAAGTATGAGGTTGTGAATCAAGCAGTCGCCGTGCGCCCGCGCCGGGCCGACACGAGGACACGCGCACCGCCCGCACCGCGCCGCGCCACCCTACTGCCGTACCACCCGCACTCTCTCCCCACTCCGCTGTTTTCAACACAAAAGAAAGTTGAAACAACCTTAATGACTTCTCCTACAATGAATAAACGTCTCTTATTGACTTAAAAATCACTCTGGTCCAAGTCCTGGCCTGGCCAAGGCTGTGGCCTTGGCATAGGATTAGTCAAGTAGCAACATGCACGCGGCAGACAAAAACTGGCCACGTAAGTATCGTTTGATATCAACAGTAAAACAGTCGAGTACGACGTGATAATGGAAGGAATCCAGATAGTCATGATGAGCGACAGAGCGATACATTTCTTCTTTATCGAAGAAACAAGTTTATTTGGTACCTAATTAGCATAAAAAAATAACTTAACAGTATACGTACATTGATCAGTCACAAGTTCCATTTCACTAACTTGTCCTGTCCAGCCAGGTTGTTGAGGAAAATCTACGGTTAGGTCTCGTCCGTTGCTCGAAATAGCTGTAGGAATGAAAAAAATGCGTTGAAATTCTTTACCATTTAGTAAATAAAGATCAAAAATATTTGAGTTCTCTTTGGATTGACCTACCTTATTAAGCAAGTGGTAACTAGAGTTCAGTTCTCTTGTAGGGCAAAGTTTCACTGGGTCTTTCGGTTTTCCAAAATTCTTAGCACGGAGTATAGAATAGTGGCTCACCTGTACCACCACCTACATGGGACTGATAACACAACTGATAGAATGTGAATGTTACATAGTGCAACAATGGTAAATATTGTGCTTTACAGCCTACTCGCTGGGGATTAAAAGATTTGTCGTTATATTTAAATTACAATTAAATTATTTCCTACAATTTCTTAAAATACGTACAAGTAACAGTCCCCACACTGGTATGGTCGATGCACCCCCACTTGTACCGCGGCTGAGTGACGGCGGCGCGCACGCGCACCCTATCCCCCACGGCGAAGGGGGGCGTGCCCGACACTACCTCCGCGTGCAATGCGCGCACGCCGAACACACGGCCAAGACCACGCCATTCCACCTGCGCAATGAAATACAACCTTAGCCCATATATCCCCAAGCGGACACATGATATTAGCGCCATCTGTTGGGCAAAAGACGGCAGTCCTCTTTACCTATCTGCTGGTAGATTTGGCTCTCAAAAATGTACTTTTCTAAATGTCTCATCGTTCATAATAGATCATTCGCTTACATTATGTACAAAAACAAATAATTTCAAAGTGTTTGAATATGCAAAATAATCAGAGAACTATTCACTTGTGGGTTAGCCTTATTTACTCTAATGTTTTGATATAGAAAGAACAAACAAATGATTGGTGAAAATTGCGTACACTTTAAAATAATAAACACAAAACTAGTGCTCAATTATAAACACTGCTTGAAACACCGCAAGTCAATGTGAACAATTACATGGAAAAAAGCCGTATATCTTAGGCAATAAAGTTGAAATTCAAACTGTTACCATTGACATGAGGTTAGCTTATAAATGCAGATAACTTACGTGTAAGAAGACGTTTTGTTTAATATCGCGTTCAACTTTTTGCACTTGTCCGACATCTCCTAAAGCAACCTGCAAAAATACGCAATAATTTCTCAAAATAACATAAGCAAGCGTAGCGTAAAGATTACCGAGAAAAAGCTATGATTACAAACAAGCTAAAACGTGTGTATTTATCCAAAATTTGCGTCTATGTATGTGGATAATTTATGAAAAAATAAAATAAAAAAATCCAATTGGTTTAGCATTGTGCATTTCTGTGTCTGGTACAAGCGCAGATCTCTATCCAGCAGTTGTAGCCAAATGCCATTTAGCGCTTGTCTACTTGTAGAATAGAAAACCATATTATATGGCATTGACGTAAATTTTGACACTTGTCAGTGTCATCCCCATACATTTTGATTTCTACTCTCTCTGTAGACAAGCGCTAAAGTGGCGTTTGGCTAAAGGCACAGATATGAACCGTAGAGGCATTGCTTATAACTAAAAGCGAGACTTTTCCAGAACTATATAATAATCATGGAAGATGATGAATTATTTATAAGTTGTATAGAACTATACATAATACCATGAATAGACAGGAAACCTAGAGTGATGTAAACTTTTTTAAACAACGTTGTAGTTACTTACTGACCTCCCTAAGTTTAATAAAGTACCACGATTAAAACCCCAAATCTAAATGATTATTCCCATTTCAACATTATACCCACTACAAAAGAACTTTCCAAATTAAAATATTCACATTTAAATAATTTGCCACTTACCGGCTCAACAGCTTTACAGCAGCGTACAGTCATCCCAGGAGTTATGACATCAGACAAGTATTGCGCGTACTCTTCTTCAGATGCAAAACAACTGCGCCATCTATACGGCGTCTGTTTCTTCTCCGGTTTGTTAAGAGGTCGCATCTCAAATACTGAGTCGTCCATGCCATGTTGAGGTAGTTCTAATAGATATACGACTAGAGATTCTACTGAGGGGAGACTAGTACCACCTGCAACGAATATTGTAACTTATCGACTTGATAATAAGAATCGCATTTTGATCGTAGTAAAACTAGGAGATACTACAGATATAAGGAATATTGAACCATATAGATTAGTGATTAGGGTATAAATTCGATTGTAGTAAGGTTGGTACGTACCTAAGGCTTGAATAGCGGCATATACAGCGTGTCTAGAAAACCCCATTTCTATGACTTGTTGCACTTGTGATGAGTTCGCCCATGTGTTGAGATCTTTTCGTGCTACAAAACAGAAATAATTACTGACGAAAATAATTTTTAGAGGTAAATGAAAACACAATTTGTAATTCCTTTACCACATAGTCTAAACTGATTAAGACTTTTTTTTTAACGGGAGAAAATCATCGAATGACTGCTCCCGCCTGGGTGAGGCGGAAGGGAGTGTCAGACTCTTACTGACTAAAAACCATCCCGTTCCTTCTCCTGCACGTCGAGCGGGACCCCGGTTACCCGTTAGGTTCTCCGCGACAACTGATTAAGACTACGTATTGAACAAGGTTAGAAATCCAAGAAAATTGTAATAGAGCCTAACCTATCAAGAATAAAACCTTTAAATACTTACACAATGAGGCTGTACTAGTGGAAGGTCCCATTGATATTTGCATAACATTGCTTTTATCTATGATCGGCATTTCAGGCGGGGTGTCATGATCCTTATCGTCTCCTATAAAAATGTATGTAGATTAACAAGACATACAACGTTGCTTGAAATGCAAATATAATCTTAGATTATAATTTAGCGACAGGTATAAGGTTTACAACATAACATCACGCCTTTGTATCCCGAAAGGGGTAGGCAGAGGCGCACATTACGGCACTTAATGCCACTGTACAATGTAACACCCACTTTTCACTATTTATGTTATGAGTCCCAAGTAATAGGGGGTGAGCCTTTTAAAAACCCAGTAATACTTTGCCTGACCCGGAATCGAACCCGAAACCCCTTGCCCGGCAGTCGCACTCGCGACCGCTAGGCCAACGAGGCAGTATAAGATTTATACAATAACAATATTTGTAACAAAATATAATTGTAACAATACTTGTAACAGATTCCACCCTAATGTATTATATAATAAGCTAGCAACACTGAACGTCAACACAATGCCAAAAATTTTACTCTATATAAAAAATAATATTTCAACATTAATTTATCTATATTTTGGAAGATTTTACACAGAAAATAACAGATTATGAACTCTTTTATAATATTTAAAAAGATGACCTACATACAAGTGCACAATTCAAAAAAATATTCATCACATATCTAGTGACTTTAAACGCCAGTGCCAAAGAAATGTCAGTATACAAAATGAAAAATTATAATCATCAATGTTGACCAGAAGAGCTGCAGCTGCTTTACGGGCACAGACACGCCTGCCATCCCCGACCTCGTCACCTAGCTCCGCTCCGCCACCGTCGGTACCAGTCCCAGATGCAGAGGTACCACTGACGGATGTTGGCGCGTCGAGCTCGAGTGACGAGTACTTCTCCCCGCCAGCGACGCCACCACCTTCATGCCGTCGCCGGGGAGGTCGTCGGCCATCGAGTTGCTTAGGACCACGAAGCGCATTAGCTTCGGGAGGGGTCCCAGCGCCCGGTGGTAATGTGTCGCGCATGAAATGGACGCGATCCATAAATGAAAATGTCATGCGCGCATATTTTGGGGCAACAGAGGGAGGAAGTAACCTGACAGCGTACCGTGCCAGAATGCTTGCTATGTTTCAGGTGCTCGAACCAACCATCAACGTATCGGCGCAACGACTGTCGGATCAGGTACGGGTCATTCAGCGTAATCGTATGTTGGATGATATCGTGCTTGATCGACTGCGAAGTGAAGTACTTAGGAGCCGTGTCATCATACCGCTATCACAAACTGTACAGCAAGGACAAGTGGATGTTGATTCTGTTGATACACCGAATGATGACAGGACTACGGAAGTAAGTACTCACAAATGCAGTGAAGAATTGAGGAGAGCTTTGGAGGATGCAATTCAGGAATATCGGTTCGTATCACCCTCTCTTAGACCACATCTACCTCGTTTACCCATGCATAAAAAGAATAGGGCGCTTATGTGTGCTTTAGATTCGGAGCTATCAAATTATTTTGATAGCAGTGAAGATCTTGTCGATACTCATTCAATTCTGTACTGTGGAGCAATAGCAGCATGTCGTGTGGCACATGTCAAACTAATCGAAAAAGACAATAATGTCACGCGGCAGAAACCAGCTGTACCAGCTTGGCAGTGCAGAATTGAACGACGTATCGATGAAGCTAGAACACTCATTGCTAAATTGATCTGTTTCAGGGAGGGCAACACGCGCCCAAGAGTTATGCGCTTCGTGAGGCGGGCATTCTCTGGGACTGATATTAGACCTCAGGATTACGTCTCACATGTTACGGAGCGTGTTGACTTCCTGAAACAGAAGATTTATGCATGGGCGAACCGTATTAGACGGTATAAGAAGAGAGTGAAACGATACACCCAGAATCGCACATTCCAAAGGGATCAAAGGTGGGTGTATAGAACTTGGGAGCAAAAAGAACAGACTAGGACTGATGCGTGCCTACCAAATGTTGATGCTATGAATTCATTCTGGCGCAGCATTTGGTCGGCACCTGTTAGTCACATCGAAGGGGATTGGATTGAGGAGGTCGAGGGAAAATGCGAACTGATACCAGAAATGGAACCAATTTGTATAACATCAGAAGATGTATCCAAAGCAGCCAATCCGTTGGCCAATTGGAAAGCTCCAGGCCCGGATGGGCTGCATAATTTTTGGATAAGATGGTTTATCAGTTCGCATAATTACTTGGCATCTCAATTCCAGTCAGCTTTGGAGTCTGGATCTTTGCCCCAATTCTTTACGACAGGTTTAACCCACCTGCTCCATAAATCTGGAAGTACCACGGAACCCAAAAACTATCGGCCGATTAGGTGCCTACCCACAATTTATAAACTTCTTACATCCATTTTGAGAGCAAAACTTAATAAACATATTGAAGACAATAATATCATGTCTGCCTCTCAAAATGGATGTAGGAATGGATCCCGTGGTACTAAGGAGCTGCTCCTCATTGACATGTCCATTTGCCAACAGGTCCGTAGATCTCACAAGAATTTGTCCACATGCTGGATAGATTATAAGAAGGCCTATGACTCCGTGCCACATACATGGCTCATGAGGGTGCTGGAGCTGTACAAAGTTGATACAGCTCTACGTACCTTCCTGATGTCATGTATGAGACAATGGAGAACGGTTCTTCGCTATCCAGGATGTGGACAGATCTGTGGGAACGATGAACCCATTAGGATTGAGCGGGGTATATTTCAGGGTGATAGTTTGAGTCCATTAGGGTTTTGCTTAGCTCTGAATCCGCTAAGCACTCTGTTGGAGGGCTCAGGGTTAGGATATAGGTTGAGAAGAGGAGGACAAATTATATCTCACCTACTTTACATGGATGACTTAAAGCTATTTGCTCCAAACAATTTGCACCTAATGAGGTTACTGAATGTCACTGAAACGTTCAGTAATGCCATTAGGATGGAATTTGGTGTGGACAAATGTGCAGTTCTGCATGTAAAGAGGGGGGAAATTGTGGAATCAGATGGTACACAGAACTCTGATTCTACAAGCTTCAGACTCCTTTCCTCAACCGAAACCTATAAGTACTTGGGTATGTCAGAAGCGTTAGGCATCGATGTGACTGCCATGAAGCAATCGTTGCGGGAGCGTTTCTTTGACCGCCTGAAAAAAGTTCTTAATAGTCTTTTATCAGGCGGCAACAAGGTGCGCGCCTACAACGGTTGGGTCATGCCAGTACTCATGTACTCTTTTGGCATACTCAAGTGGACTCAAACGGAACTGGACACCCTGGATAGAAAAGTCCGTTCATTGCTGACTGAACATCGGATGCATCACCCACGATCATCGATAATGAGACTGTACATTCCACGTAAATGTGGGGGGCGAGGCTTCTTAAATGCAAAAACCCTCCACAATAGTGAAGTGTGCAGTCTCCGGAAGTATTTTTTGAAAATGGACGTGGGGATGCATAGAGATGTTGTCGCTGTGGACAAAGGGCTCACTCCGCTCTCCTTGGCCAACGAGAACTGGAGAGAACCTATAATACTAAGCACTAATGATCGCAGGAATGTGTGGCAAAGTAAGGAGTTGCACGGACGCTACTACCGGGCCTTACATGGGCCAAATACGGATTTCTTAGCGTCCGTATCCTGGCTACGTTTCAGTAACTTGTTTGGAGAAACGGAAGGTTTTGTCTGTGCAATTATGGACGAAGTTATGTTGACGAACAACTATCGAAAATATATTATAAAGGATGGAACTGTTGACATTTGTCGGGCATGTCATCGTCCCGGGGAATCCATCCGGCATATAATTTCGGGTTGTTCTCACCTAGCTAATGGAGAATACTTGCATAGACATAATCTTGTAGCCAGGATTATTCATCAACAACTTGCTTTGAAATATAAACTTGTAGAATCTGAAGTGCCGTATTATAAGTATCTGCCTGACCCAGTTCTTGAAAATGGAGATGTCACACTGTACTGGGATCGAACTATCATCACAGACAGGACAATTGTTGCAAATAAACCTGACATTGTGGTGATAGATCGACCAAGCCGTCGCACAATGATAGTTGATATCAGTGGCGTGCACAGATTTTCGAGACAGGGTAGGCAACTAAATATCGTATGATTAAAGCCCTCCCCCCTGGTCATACAATCATACTCCCACAAGACAGGTACATGTACAGAATACATTTTGAAAAGTGCGTTCAAGAATATTGTGGTTTATTCTTTCGCCAAATTACATACACTGACATCTCGCGTATTTTTTGTAAAGTACTACATCAGCTATCGAATAAGCCAACAAAACTTACAAATAATGAAGCATCTATTTATTATACTAATAATGAATCATAAATTTGATGAACCAAATTCAATTATCAAATTGCTAAATAATCTATTTAAAATCATAATTACGAATTTAAGAACGTAGGTACCTACCAATAAACAAAACAACAACAAGCGCGGCCGGCTGTGGCCGAGCCGAGTATAAGCGGTACATTTGTTATTACATTACATAATTATTAATAATAAATTAATATGTAAATCAAAACAACCCGAGGTATAAGTTGATACTTTTAAGAATTATCAATCAATAAACAAGAACATCATATAAAAGATCCATTATAGTACCTACATATTTACATTACCTACCTTTGACTTGGGTCAATTCTCGTAACTTGAGTTCTGCCTATGGTCATTACCTGAATCTAGTCGTTATAGGACACATTTTTGCGAAAACTTACTGTTTTTAACTTTAAACAAACACAAAAATTACCTATTATCAACACAAACTTCACAATCGAATAATATACTAGACACTGATAAACAAATACACTATTTGAAAAACCGACACATATATTTTAATACTTCTACACATATTTATGCAACTTTATGTTTAAAACTAATTCCTTATAATTTAAACGAAAACATAAACAAAGCGATCGCACATCTCATGAAAACAATATGGCCGAAAACATTTTAAAGTCATTACCCATCGTAGTCAATTGAGTGTTTATTATAAAAAAATTATAGCTAAAACATTAAAGCAACCCAGTGTTTAATTATAAAAAAACAAAACGTTAATTTACATAAGTCAAATGGAATTGCATCATTGTCTTATTATTATTTTCCAATAAGAAACATTCGTTGATAATAATTTGAAACTTTGAGTAGCGGCAACTTGACGTTTCGATAACTTCCTTTTAACTTTTAAAATAATAAAGTCAACTCCTCGTTTAAAGTTTCTATAAAGCGACAACGCGTAAAAATGTTAAGATTTAATTAAAACACCTGAAACATATTTTTTTAGTATGCATAATTATAAAAAGACATTCGCATTATATTTATTCAGAAGTTTTAACAAAAAATTCAATAGATGGCGCAGATTCACAAATTTCAAAAAGTCCGGCTAGATTGAATCGTGTAATAATTTTTTGCGTTTATGAATGGTTATTCTGTGCTGTGACCATAGTCACGTGACCTTCACGCATGCGCGTTGCATACTTTTTGTGACGTCACAACCAACAACCAAGATTTAAGGAATAGCAGCGCATGCGTGGTGCGTGCGGCGCGCATTCATTGCTTTACAAAGGCGTGCGGTCCGTGTATAGTATATGTGAATGTATATTTATGTTAGCCGTTTTTTTACAAACTTTTATTATATTATTGAATCTTAATAAACGCGTTAGTACATTTTATGTCAAGCAAAGCCTATTTGCCTATATGGACTGCACGCCACTGGTTGATATAACAATCCCACATGACGAGAATCTTGTGAAAGCTGAAAAAGATAAAGCAAGTAAATATCTTGATTTAGCTCATGAGATTGTCGACATGTGGGATGTGGATTCAGCAGTCATTGTGCCGATAGTCGTATCTGCCAATGGCCTCATTGCTAAAAGCCTCGACCAACATCTGAGTAGGCTAGCGTTAGATGGTTGGGTCAAGGGCCTGATGCAGAAAGCAGTACTTCTGGACACGCGCGTATTGTCCGGAAATTCCTTTCTCTGGAGCCCTGACCACCGGTAGCTTGGATTTCTCCCGTTGCTGGTGGGCTACTGATTTTTATATTTTTAAATGTTTTTTTTTTTATATAATCAAATATTTAAAAATGTATTAGTCAAGTATACTGTTCGGGGTTGGATCGAGATAAAGTTAAAGGAGATAAAAGATAGAGTCAGTTTAGGATAAATTCACTGTATTGTCTGTTTCCACAAATATAAGATTATGATTTATTTAACTAGGATGAAAAGTGAACGATATAGGATTATGAGTCACGCGCACGGTATGTCACCAAATTACGTACTGGCTTATTGCGGTGTAAGTGCAATAATATAAATGATGGAGACATATAGAGCGAGTGGCGCAATAATGCTGACCCAGGTAAACTTACTGTACGGTGGTTGACTCGTACATGCTCCCGGGGCAAAGATGGGGGTTAGTAGGGTAGAAATGGAGATGAGATTGACAAGATGATGAACAATATTCAACTTAACAACTATATGATAGGGTTGATGATTAGTAGCGAGAGATTAAACATATTTTGAACAATTAGAAGTCATTGCTAGAGCTTAGATCGGGGAGGGAAAATACGCGGAAAATAGGAGACGAAGCCTTATCATTTGTTTGTAAGCACTCACTAGATTTAATACGATTTTTGCGGTCACTTTGCACAGGTTGACTAAATTGACTTTTTTCCCTACGATCACAACACTCACTCACTGCACTTTTCACTTTGACTGCTTTTGATTGCCTTTGTTCCCTAACCTCACTACACTCACTTGTAACTTTAACACTTTCTCTCACATTTCTGGGATATGAGGGGATCGAAGTAGATGCCTCTCCAGCAGGCTCCGGAGACTCTCGACATGTTGACCTCCTGTGACGTCGCCAACAGTATACTGCCGCCATTATCAGGATTCCAACGATTAGAGCATATAAGACACTATAATGATGTACGTCGTGATATGATATTTTATCACTCAAAGGTTCAGTTTGCTTCATAATCTCAATTTGTTTCTGTATTTCTTCAAATTGTCGTATTATTTCAGAATTATTAGGATTAATTTCAGGGGATTCAGGGATAGATATGTTAAATATATGATTAATAGGTGAAATTTGTGGTGCAACAATTCTTGCACCAATACTCATTTTGCTAGACAACCTTTTAGTAGACTGGACAACGAACTGGTTCGTCTTTATCATACAGCCTTCTTCCACATTCAACAGACCTGCATTAGTCAATTTAACGGCGGTAGTTTCGCCATCACAGAGAAGTTTAAAGTTGCATTCATTGCAACAAAAATAGTAATATTTATGGTCCGCTGTCAATTCCTTCCAAATGTTTTTACATGGGGTTCCAGTAATTTCACAGGTTCTTGTGTGTGGGATCGTTTCACACAAACTGTGATCATCCTTTAAAATATTTATAGGGTTTTTAGTATGACATAAGACCATGCCAGGACTTTGTTTTATACAAGACTGGAGCTCAGCCTCAGCAAAGGTTACGTATGAATCCTTTCTGAGGTTAATGGCAGCAAAACTTGAGATAACCTTCACTTGTATCATATCGTGATTCAAAATTCGTGGAACTGGAATCAGATTAAAGATTTCATAAAGGTCTCTTTCGATAAGCGGTATTCTTATTTCAATGATTAAGTACTTACTATAGTATTTAGTCCGTACTTTTATTAAGTTGTAGAGATCTTTGAGATTCAAATGGTTGACAGGAAGTGCCATGTCTTTAGGTATATGTGCTGCTATAGAACTTAATTCCGTCTTCAGCTGTTTAGGAGATATCAGATGGAAGTCCAATTTTCCATTATAAATATTAGTTACCGTATCAAGAATTGAGTCTTGTATTTTCCTAAGGCTATACAGTAAATTATTCGCCGTCATGGCGGATGCTAAGAAGTCGGTAACTAGAGTCATGTTTTGGACGTGGCGATGAAGATCTTGATAGGATTCTTTGAGATAAATAAACTTTTGATTTATTGATTTGTGATGTTTGCTCGCAGCTTTCTCCATTCTTTTCATCAGATTAAATTCAGCTTCTACGATTGAGGTTTGGTTTTTCCAGAGGTTGTACAAATGTTTATCATTTTCCTTCAGAAGGTCGATATCTTGTGCATATTTCTCCGCAAAACGCTGATCTAGCACGCCAAACAAGCTATTAGCGACGTAGCCTACTCCGTCTATTAATCCGCGACGCCGGCGCCGCCGCTCGTCTCCAGTTACAAATGATTCATTCATTGTCAACATACTATCATAGTGTTTAATTTCATCGAACTCGTGCCTGAGTTGTAAGATGATACCGTCGCAAGGTGTGTGTTCTTTGATAGTGGAGCATAAGGTGTCAAGATAGGTAATATACTTCTCGAGTGCTGACGTGCCTTCTTTGTAGGGATATGTGTCATAATAAACAATTAAATGCCAATCGTCTCGTATTAGATGCATATTTGAGATTTTATCGAAATAAACGCTGTTGTTGCTCAAAGGGGTGAAACTGTAAGTGGCTTGAGATACATTTATTAGTGTCAAGAAGAATAGCGTTAGTGATAGAGCTATAGTCGAGAATGAGATCCGTTTTGTACTTTTCTGCCTTGGTTCCTCGTCCTTAATCTTCGTATCACTAATAGGATTACTGTCTCTGTCAGCTGGTAATATACATAGTTTAACAACAGGCCGCTTTATTAAACCATTTTTGGTTTTAAGGGTAACAACTCTGACGTGTCCGTCTGAACCAGGATGAAGTTCAACTACCCGCCCTAGAGCCCACTTTTCAGAGATGAGGTTGAGATCTATGTCACCAGCTTCTCTTGAAAATGCCCTAAAGTTCGTTGCTTGTTTCTTTAACAAATCTTCTATATTTAAGTTATCTTTCGGAGGATTATTTTGAGTTAAGGGGTTCGGGGTTTGAGAGGTTGAAGATGGCTGAAAAGTAGGGGGTTTCAAAACAGGGGTTTGAGGTCTGTCCGCGGAAGGTTTATAATTCTGAAAGGCTGTTTTAATATTGCTATATTTCACTTTCATCTGTTCGTACTGATCGGTAGTGAAATACGCATGAGATCGATCACCAAACGACAACAAATTCATGTGGTTGTTGTGAAACTCGGTAAAATATTGTTCTAGGCTTTCTAATCGTCGACGTAGGTAGTCGGGGGTCTTCCTCTCTGCTCCATCTTTCTTGAAGTTGGAGTAAAGCCTATCTACGCCTTCAATGATTTGCTGCTGAGTAGCTAAAATGTCTTCCATTGTAGCCATTGCAAAAGGAAGAAAAAGGATACCTTACTTGTAGGGTTTTTTCGGGTCGAACGGTCTGACAGGATGAGATGCGTGGCGACTTCCTGGACACCAGGAATGATCAGGATTACGAGATGAAGTGGCGTCCTCCTAGGCACCGAGATCACGAGATAATACCCACTGTATCTTCCAAGGGTTCTGATTGCATTCAACGAAACCGGTAAACGCGCACACCAGGAACAAAGTACGTTATTTTGAACACGCGTTTCGTTTCCGTTTACTGGCTCGAAGGACCAATGTTCGGGGTTGGATCGAGATAAAGTTAAAGGAGATAAAAGATAGAGTCAGTTTAGGATAAATTCACTGTATTGTCTGTTTCCACAAATATAAGATTATGATTTATTTAACTAGGATGAAAAGTGAACGATATAGGATTATGAGTCACGCGCACGGTATGTCACCAAATTACGTACTGGCTTATTGCGGTGTAAGTGCAATAATATAAATGATGGAGACATATAGAGCGAGTGGCGCAATAATGCTGACCCAGGTAAACTTACTGTACGGTGGTTGACTCGTACATATACGAATAAATAAAGGAAATAATAATTTTATTTTATCTATTCTCTTACCATTTACATGAGCCGCCAACTGTTGTACTATAGTGAGTGCTGCAGATTCAAGTTCTCGCGACGAGTGGGACGCGGCCATTGGACTCGGACGAGTTGCAAGCGCCAGTAGCCTTCTCAGTAGAGTGCCTTCTGTACCTAGTACTATTCCTCTGTCTATGTTACCTAGGAAAATAGTCATTTATTGTGTGCATTCACAAGCAAATATCGACATTAAATCAAAGGAATATGATTGCATTTACTTAAAATTTTATGTTTACTTGTCAAACAGTGTCGTCGTACTTGTATGATAAGCGAAAATAGACTTTAATACACTGAAAATAAAAATTTATTTGGTTATACTTGTGGAGTGTGAATGTTTCATCATTTGTTAATTATTGTCGTTATGTAATGTGAACAAGGAAAATAGACTTAATACTGCTGAAAATAGGGGTGCATGTTGCTAAACTTGTACAATGTATGAAAGTATTTGGATAACGTACCCGCCGCATGATCTGGTGGCTGCATCAGAACCTTCCGTAGTCTAGTCCTCGTGGTGAGAAGTCCACGTACAGCGCATAGTGTGAGCAGTTCCATCTGTTGCTTTCGTAGACCGTAGACGTCGATTTCAGCTACAATATATAAGAAACATCTGAAGATCTTTGATTAGTTTAAAACTACATTGGGACTCATAACCATGGCAAACGACGTCGCGCAACCACTTCAACTTGTGCGTAATGTATCATCATAGTCGATTACTTTAAATAAAATTATAAAATTCTTACAAGGCTTTTAAGATAAAACCAGGAAAAATTAAGATAAAATTTGCTTGGTTAATTAACACAATATTGTTCTTACCGGGTAAGTGATGTGGATGCATAGGCGACGCTTGAGGTCCGGCTCCTAACAACGCAGCACAAACACGTAGTGCACTCTCTCCTCCACCTAGTGGTAAAGAGAGACGATCGCCCTCCGCACTCTGAATGCCACTCAGTTCAGTCTGGCGGACAAATGAATTACCATTTTATAACAATGGAATAGAGTTCGAATTTGTATAAACGTGTATTTAAAATTACTTAGTAGATTATTTACGTTAATGTTAATTGATAGGGTCGACGATTTACTAAAGTTTACAAAAGTTACATAAACGTCGAAACACTAATATGAATTCTACGTACTTCAATATAGGACACAACTTCCTTTATCGACCTTACCTTTGTAACAGTTTTATCTTCATGTGTTAGAGTTATCTTCGCTCTAGGCGACAATTGCGTTACAATAGCACTTCGAGGCGGAGACCCCGCAGTTACTCGTTGTCCTAATCTTATCCGCCATTCCACGCCACCAACAACGCCCAATGCACCAGCTGCAAAAGAAAATGAATCTTGGTATAATAGATATAGAATTAACAATCCCCAGTGCACCAGCTGCAAACAAAAATGAACCTTAAACCTATAGATATAGACTAAACTACGCCCAATGCTCCAGCTGCAAATGATTATGAACCTTAGCGTCTTAGACATAAAGTTATATTTCATTTGTATTGCGTGTTATCTTACCAATGAGACAGCTCTCAAGACTAGGAGGTGCAGGTTTCATAGTTTGTGTTAAATCTTGACTAGTGTGTGGCCACCAATGCCAGTCGGCGGTAACCTGTGAAATAGAAAAGACAATCAAGATTTGAAGGATTTTGAACTTCTTTCTAACTACAAATGTAGTTTGTGATGGTCTTATGACCATCCTTCCCTCCATGTTATCATGGACTCATTTGCCGTGCATAATTACTAAGAGAAGAAAGAGAAAGCAAAAGAGAAAGAGAGAGAGAGAGGGAAAGAGAGAGATAGAGAGAGAGAGAGAGGGAAAGAGAGAGATAGAGAGAGAGAGAGAGGGAAAGAGAGAGATAGAGAGAGAGAGGGCGAGAGAGAGAAAGAGAGAAGGAGAGGGAGAGAGGAGAAAGTTATTTTTATCAACGAGTCTCTTTGTCAGATCAAATTTTTAAAATAGTACTTTGACCTTCGGCTGACTCTGACCAATATTTCGTACTGATGCTAATTTACTTGTTAAAAATCGAATCTTTGTTTTTTACAAAAATCTTACCGTCTGAGCAGCTAACTGCATCTTATCAAGCAGTAAGCTAGTTATAGGATTGTGCCACTGCGCCGCCGAGTGTAGTTGTCTCACTAACTGTACGAGCGCTGCGCACGTAGCTCCGGTGTAACTCGCAGTCGCTGGAGCGCGCCATCTGTTGTCTGATAGTGAACAACTTTTTTTAATTACGAATTACTACGATTATGTGTGAGTTCCTAATTCGGAAGGAGTAGAAACGGGTTCTTTTTGACCGTGCCCATTAAACAAAAGAGATGTGAATAAGTTATCAGATGTCTAGGAATTTATGAATAACAACTTTTTTCACAATAATAATGTATGTACCACTGGCCAGCAGTTACCCTATTCCTTTCTGTTCTTTATAAGATTTATAACTCTATCGTTTTGACATAAAAACAAAAATACGAGTTAAAAACTATAGATTGCATAGAAATATTATTTGAAGTTATGCCTGTAGCACAATTTAATATCCATTTCAAAGTCATTACTAAAAACATAAGTGTATAACTTACCGACTTCCTCTTCATCTGTGTTATTAGTAATTGCTTGGTAGTTGGGTTTAAAGGCAGGATCCCACGAGTGGGTCTCCAACCACAGTCGTCCAATCAGAGCCAACAATTGAGCACCGACTGTACGACGCCACTCCGGCGGACCCGTGTGCTCTATTAGTACGCGGCGAAGAAGCCATAGCGATTGGATCTGAAGAAAAAATATAAGTTTTTGAAGTAGCTTTGAAATAATTAATATTAGATATAGACGAAACTTTTTAATTACTGGTGATTAAGTACGTAAAGACAGAAAACTAAAACCTATTATTTCAGAAGTTGATGGTGACGAAGACTGGAGATATTTATGCTGGTACGCAGTTGTACGTAAAAACATGTAAGATATAGAAATGTAGTACCTTTCATAGTCTATGTTGAGAGTAGCTAATTTTAGAGATCATTATACGTAGCTCACAAATAAAACGATTATTATTTAAAACACCAAGAGGTTTGTTAAACTTACTTGTAAATAAATGAGATCTTGTGTGATCGGCTTGTCTGCAGCTGAAATAATACTGTAGCAGAGTTCGAACCACGAGTCCGTGCACAAAGATATGCGCATTTCTAGACTTTGTGCACTTGCTGCAACAATTAAATTGGATTATAAGTAACAAATAATACCTTAAGTCTTCTACATTTATTATTGAATCACATAAGGATTATATAGTAGCCATTTTTATTGTTTCCAATATTTTAAAATTCTCAAAGATTAACAATTTGTACAACAAAAATAAGAAAAACAGGTCTTACCTCGCAACAAAGCTAACGCAGTATGATAATGCGTAGTAAACGCTGTGGGCGGAGGTGTAGAGTGTGCATGGGCCAAAGTCAATAATCTCCTTTGTAACGCAGCGACGTTTCTTCTAGCGACTGTACCAACACAAGCGAGTGCACCGCCTGCACCGGCGCATAGAGCTCTGATTGCTCCAGTGCAAGCTGCACGAACCTCGCTTACTGGCCACCATTCTACATTGTTATCTGTTATTGCTGTTAAAGAAACAGAAAATTACATGTTACCTACTGAAGACAAAGAATTGCGCTAAAGTTTATGTCTTGCGCAAAAAGTTGCGCATTTTACGCAAACATAGTATTGAAGTAAAAGTTAAATATATTACAACATTATGCATTTTGGTTTTTAATACTGTCGTATTAAAAACCAAAATGCATAATGTTAATATTTTCTTGTTAATAAAGATATTATTTTCTTAAATATATTTCAATATTAATAATGAATTATGTTCTTACCATGCCCATGCACAGTTTCGTCTACAGATGGCGGGGGTGATGGTGAACGAGCTAGTTTGAGGTCATATTTCCCCTCTTTGCCCATTCGATAGGAGTTCGTACCACCAGCATCCCATGCTACTCGTACCCATCCGTCCTCACCTAACTCTCCTATAACTCTACCTTCGCCACCAGGTACGCCATCCTAAATAACAAAATTATATGAATAACGTGTACATAATCATAAATAATACATAATAAAAAATCCATTTCTAAAATTATAAGGATAATTTTGAAGCCTGCAGAAAATTAGCTAACCCAATTACAGTCGACAATCGAAAGACCACTACTATACCACCATGTCTATCTCAAGCAGTTATAAGGTTAATAACACCACAATGTCTTAGGTTACTCAGGGAAAGAAAAAAAATATATTTCTTTGTTTTTACCTGATCACCCCACTTCCAATCTTTGCCGCGCACCACTCGAGTACCGATTTTCATCAAAGAAGCTAGTTCAGGCCCGGACAGTGACGCACCACGTGCGCGGGCGCCTAGTCGCTCGTCCTCGAATATTACCAGGCAATCCGCTAGAAGTTTTAAATCTACCATTACCCTAATGTATATTAATTAAAAATGTTGTTACGCATTAAAAGAAGTCTAGAACCGGCACTTCAAATTGTGCAAACACTGTATTTTGAACTTTCTTCTATAGTCCTAAAGTCGAAAATCTATTGACATGCTTGTTACAGTACAACGACAATAAAATCCACTCCAAAAACCTTTATTCAGTTCTTTTTGCCCATGTAAAAGTTTATACCTGTAAAAGTTTATACATGACAATGATTCCACCCCCCTCCCCCTAAAAACAGTAAAAAAACTTACATTTCGCCTTCAGTCCATTACAAATGAGTGACGTCAGCTGTGACGTGTCACCTCCAATTTGTTTTAGTAAAGTTAGACATGAACTTAGCGCTCCACCGTTGATTAACTGTTCTAGTTCAGGACCTTGGCACCCTTCTATGAGGAGTGATAGTAGAGTTATTAGGAACCTGGAATATTGAAAAGTACAATATTGAAAACTACAATTTAAAACCACTGGTATACTTACGGCCAATTTTAATAAACTATCTATCTGTAGATTTGTTTACTAGAGATAGAATTTTGATACATTTTGTATTGAGCTTATGTCAAAATTCTAGCTGTTATAAGCAAATTTACACGTGTTTAAGTTTTACGGTTAAAATTTGATTCTAAATTCATGACATGAGACACTGACTTCATTCAATTTGACATAGACGTAGGAAGTCAGTTTTATTCATAAGTCACTTCGTAAAACTAGGTTAGAAATAGAACATTGATAATAAATAGCTTGTAATAGTTCCTACCTAATAAACAAAGAACCGACTCCACAAACATAGAAATTAATTTTTTATAATAACTATCGTGAGACATACTAAATTAATTAAAAATCACGGGTCACTCACATGAATATATTGAGAAAAGCTCTACTAGTCTCGTCGGGTCGCTGAGTAGGCGGCGCGACATCGCCGCGACCGCGCACGCCGCTCATGAGGAATAACCCCTCTGTAGTTCGAAACTAGTAGATCTTTTCTCAGTATATTGACGTGAGTAACCCACGATGTTTATAGAAATAAACTGTAAAAAATGTGTGGAAAAGTCAAATCAAACATTGGAGACTTTAATAGGTTGATAAAAACGATCTTACCTAGCCCTAGATGGTCGATTCAGCAACGCGTGCGCACCGTAATTAGCGCTCATTTTTAACGGCAGCGCCTGCGTCTGTTCTCCTTCTAAAACCCTCGCTTTCAACTCGATCAGTATAAAATCCATTAATTTAGACCTTTCTAGCAACACCATGTACTTTGAGTAGGGTATCACAGATTCAATTCCTGATAGAGGGTGTGTCAATGGTATGCTAGGCTTTAAAGCTACGTATGGTACGGATTCCGCTATGTTGGCTCCTAATATACCCGTCAGAGCTGCGTACTTAATGCTATCAGACATAGTTTGTGACGAGTTCAGCATACTATTGATCATACTATAACCATTCTTTCTCATTTCCGCTCTTTGTACCTGAAATTAAACCATACAAGTCAGAGTTAAAGTTGAAAATTGTTTGTGTGGAATACGTATCAAAGTGAAAATAGACTTTATAGAAAATAAATTAAGGTTTGATTTGCAATACTCATACCTGACAATACAAAGCTCTCCTAAGTATGTCTATATCACAGGGATCTTCAGTCATGACGAAGTCAATGATGGCGACTGTCAAAGCTTGCTGCTCTTGAGTAACTTCCTCCAACAGCCAATACAGATCTAAAAAAGTACCATTATATTTGAAACAATGACAGTTTTCAGTTTTTCAAGTCGATTAGGGACTGTCAATTAAAAATCATACCTTTCTCATCACACGCAAGTCTCGAAACCCACGCATTAACAAACTTATTCCTCTCAGAATTATCATCATCCTTTTCTTCGTCAGCCATAATCAATTCAGTCTTCAGATCATCAGCTAGTATCATAACTTGCTTCTCGCTTTCCATCGATTCTTTAAAAATCGAGTTATCGGTCATATCGTTTATCGAGCTAATCGATATCTCATTCGTAGGGGTTTTATCATCGTGTTCTTTATCGAGACCGTCGTCTTTGTCGCCTCTGTCCTTATCACGGTCTCCTCGACCATCGTTCTTCATATCATCATTATTTGACGCGTTTTTCAAATCTTTTTCTAACGGTTTATCTTTTACTTTAAGGGTCACTTTAGGTCTTAATAAAGTGTCTTTTGTAGGAGCGATGGGAGGTTCGTTGTGCACTTTCGACGGTTCGACTATAATGCAAGGAGCGTCTTCAGGAGTTTTCGAAGCTTGAGCGACGGATGACTTTATGAGGAGTGCATCGCCTTGGAGAAGACTACTGGTAGCTTTGAACATGCTCTTACTAAGACTATTTTGTCTGTTTCTCAGATCTTTTGTCGTTTCAAAGCTGAAAGAATGTTACACACTTGTATTTGACTGTATATGTTATATGTTAGTTGTAATTATAAACCTTAAGAAAAATATGTTACCATTTGTTAAACCCGGGAGTCTTAGATGCTCGCATAACTTTTTGGAATATTTTCTTAGCAGTAGGCGGCCTATGTGAAGGAGGTCGGGTATATAATGCTGATACTGCGGGAGACATTGCTGCTCGGACTTCGTGGAGAAGGAACCGTGCTCTTTCTAGAGGTGCTGCACAAACCTACAATGAAAGTGTACAAAATAATACATAGAAAATAGAAAGTTATTAGATTGGAGTCTTTGCTAAATCGCATGTTTGCGATCGTACGACCAAGAACATACAGTAAAATGAAATAAGAATCATCAAATAAGTCAAAGCATACCTCTTTATACCCTCTAGAAAGTTGCTGCCTGGTCCTCATCAGAGTCCATTTGCTTTGCTGAACAGCTTTCACTATTTCAGACATTGCAGGCGACAGCTTTACTTCACCCTTCTCCATTTCTAAAACATACGTACGTTAAATTTAGGTATTTAATGTATGGAAATGAGTCTGATTGGTAGTTTTATGCAGTAAAAAAAATAAATAATCCTACCTGCCATAGCAGTGGCTAACGCATGTTCCTTTAACCCCGCATGGTACAATAAAACTGCTAGCAGCGCCCGACGAAGTTCTTCCAACGGATGTTCCGGTGGAAAGTGGGGAGCACAACCCTCGCGTCTTTCACACGCCCACCATAAGTGTAGAGCTAGAGGATCCTTAAGACATTAAACAACGTTAAAAAGCATACACATGGTTGAATCGAGTAGCTTCCTGCACTATTAAGTATGTATTAGCTAATGTATGATTGACCAAAATCAAAACTCAACTTACATGCAATTTAGGCTCAGCCAATGCGAACAATAATGCTTCAGCCCTAGCAGGCGATTGGGCGACATTGACGCGAGGTGGGGGACGAGGGGGGCGTGACGTCCGCGTCGGTATTGGAGCGTCGCCGGCCGGACTGTTACCGCCTGTGGACGAACCACTGCGGGCTTCTGCCTTTTCCTCGTCGAATGGATTTGTTAGTTGAGGTACCTGTTGTGAAAAATTGGTAAGATTTTAAATTATAAAGAAGTGTTATAATTACATCACGAGTTTTATATTTTTTTTTATAAAGAAACTTCTACGCTTCTACTACTTCCGCGCTTTTTTTAATTATGTTATTTATGTGATGCGTGCATTTATTTGTTTATTCTAACAGTATCATGTCCTCTAAACTAATATTACTTTTCTAGACGTTTGCTTATCAGTCAGAAAAACTCTTTTTAAAGGTGTTACGTAACAAATTTCCACTAACCTGTAGCCCCCCTCTTAGGAATACAGCGGCGGCATAGGGCGCAGCGTCCCGCTCAGCTTGTTGTACTGGCAGCGACCGAGCGAGGCGCGCCCCGCACTGTGTCAGCCCTACTGACACGTTGAACGCACACGTCGACAGAATATGGTGGCACTTCAGACTTGATGTACTTTCCTGTCGAATCAATTGAATGATACAGAGGATCTCTGGGTTGTTTTTGTTAGTAGTGAGTGTTATATTAGAAAAGGTAGGAGTTTTACTTTAAAAACCTAACTGACTTCGATAGACTAGACTAAAGTAAAAAAACAGCGTTAAATTGTGTTTATTATTATCTATGTATTACTGGTAAGTGACAGTTTCGGACTCCAATCCAGGTGCGCTTTCATTTTTGAGTAAGTTTGAATCAAGTTTGAAACCCTCCTTACTCAAAGTTACGCAAGTACACATTTTCTTTTAAATTATTTCGCAAACTTATTGTATAACTTATATTGTCTAATAGCCTTGTGCGCAGTGTATAGTGCCTGCTCGTTAGACCACTATTCAATACAAACACAAAACAATAACTTGCCTGACACTTATGCGCATAAATCTGATCGGAGTACAACCCGACATATTTCTCAGTGACCCGCGAAATGTACGCGGCGTGGGGGTCGACGCTCATGGCCGCCGTCGCGTCTGAACCTCGCAGCTTGCGAATCATCTCCACTGTACTAGCATTGTCACACTCGAAGTTTTCTACGTCGAACACGTGACCCGCTATTACTACCCATGAGCCACCTTCTCTGGTGTGGTTTTGGAGGTCACATCTAGAAAGAAGCGGAAATCATAACCGACTAAAATGTGAAACAATGTCAAATGTAACAGTCAGTGCAGTTATTGATAATTTCGTACATTGGAACTTCGTAATACAGTTTGACACATGAGACCACAAATTGAAAAAAAAAACCCGAAGAGGCAGTTTATACAGATACACAGTAAATAACAAACATAGAACACTAAGAACACTACTCACTTGCGAATTATCTTGTTCTTCAACTGCTGTTTCTTGGACACCAGTCCTGGCCACCCAAGAAGGTCAGCATCTAGTTTGGCAGCAGATGGTAGAGCCTTAGCGGCATCATCACAAGCGCGCGCTATCTTCACTAGCGAATTAGCCGAGTCCGCCAGAGCACACGGAGAACGAGCTGCGCATGCGCATATCCAGGCTCCCAACTCACTGACCACGCGACCTGGTGTCAAATAATGTTGGACTTTAATTTATAATATTTTAGAAATTAATGATAGCAAATGGTCAAATAAAGCAATTGAATGAGAGTAATTACATGACTGCCTCATTGGCCGATTGTTCGCAAGTGCGACTGCCGGACAAAGAGTCTCTGGTTCGATACCCGGGTCGGGCAAAGTGTTACTGGGGTTTTAAAAATATTCTCAGTAGTAGCACGGAGTGTGGAATTGTGCCCGGTATATGGCAATATGCTCACCCCCTACTACATGGGACTCATAACATGAATAGTGAAAAGTGGGTGTTACATTGGATTAAGTGCTGCAAAGTGCACCTTTGCCTACATAAATATAAAAGGCGTGAGATGAACTTTCCTTAGTCCACTGACACTAAGATTTGTATATGCGGCTTTCTTTTAAAATTAAACCACGCTTACCAACAATATCAGCAGTAATAAGTTCACAGAGCGCCCCGAGTTGGGTATTATCAGCTCTATGCACTGCTCTGCTAAAGTACCGGAGCGTGGACTGTACGTGTTCCGCCAGTAGCTCTATGTACTGCGTGATGAGTGCGCGTGCGCTGCCGCGGGTACTACGACCTCCACGTGACCACATAGCTTCGCAGAATAATAGCCTATAAAATAAAAAAAGCAATATTGTACTATTTACATCTTTTGTAATAATAAGTTATCCCATACTAGAATTTTCTCTTGTGTCGTGGGTACGTTTACAAAAATATTTTTTCACATACACATGATACTTAGATACGGAAAAAAAAAAATTGTGGATTACAAAATAAGTTGCTCTGTGCGAGAATCGAACCCACGACCCGCTGGGCGGCAGCCAGTGGGTGGCACCGCGTTAAATGTACAGTTTTATATATGATTAGATCTATAAAACAAATAGAACTACACATTGGTTTAAAGTGTTGTTAAACGCACTAAGCGTTTTAGCATTAAATTCTTTCCCTCTCCCCCGGCCAAGCTAAGGCTTCCAAATAGCCTATTATTTCTAACCCTTATATAAATACAAAACTGAATATATTACCTTTGAAATCGTATAAGCAGGTCACAGCTAGGACTGACAGTATCATGTCCTTTAGGGTCGTCCGCTTTACTGGTATCACCGTGCATTATTGCATTTATATGCATTTGCGTCTGACAGGACGTGTTGCGGATCAAGTGTTTTACCTGGTAACAGAAAATATACATATAGTTTGATATAATATTTTAACCCTTTGAGTACCGTCATTATAGACACAATTAATCTGTCAAACACCAAGCGGTCACCGGTGACCGCGACCTATTGTTCTTTAATTGTGTCTATAAAACCGGTACTCGACGAGTTAACTCGTCGAGTACCGGTTGACCGAGAACAATAGGTTGCGGTCACCGGTGTACCTCGCAGTGTTTGACAGTTTAATAGTAAAATAGCCATTTCGGCGCGGTTTACCCGCTACTTAGCTTCTATTGACCTAACATACCCTTCCTTGATAAATGCGCTACCCAATGTAAAAATAATTATTCAAATTGGCCTAGTAGTTTCGGAGATTAGCACATTCAAATAGACAAACACGTACAAAGCACATTCAAATAGTATAAGATAAGATACATATAGATTTTAAAAGTAAGTATAAGATATTTCGATAAGTACAAGTGGGACAATTTACATTGGTGACATAAAATACAAAGTTAAAGTCTAAATCATTTACTTCAATTAGACCAGGAAGGCACTTTTGAACGTCAAAAACAAGATATTGAACTATTAAAAAAAATGTCGGGCTGTCCTCTAGTGAAGTTATTTTCTAGTGAAGCTACACAGTTAAATAGAGTACGAACAGTGAATTTACTAAGCATTTATTGACTATTAAAGTTAAAGAGTCTTGGTATGGACTTACTAAATGCATTAATGGTACTGACGCTCCTTTATCAGTCGCTACTGCATTATTCATCTGGTATTCTTCAGCACAGCCTAAAAAAACAGAACATTCATAAACATCATTTTGATTAACACTTGAAAAACAACCTTAATACGTTTATAATAAGTATCATAATTACCTGCGGTTATTGTTGTATCACTGTCGGACGTTTTAGGGGGCGGGCCTCGTTGTCCAGTCACTATGTCAACTTGATCATAATCCCTAATACAAATCTTTTTATTAATACATTTATACTAGGTACTATTGAGCATGGAGCCGGTATCGATTTCTGGGTTGAATAAAGTATCAATGGGTTTTATAACTTAGATTTTGTAGTAACAGCACGTATTTTGAAATATCTCATGACCAACAGACCCGTCGTTTCCTTTTATTATTAGAACGGAACTTTCGTAACAAAGTAAATCAATGATACAAAATTAACGATTAAACGTGTTTTGAAGGAAAAATAAACATATTGATACCATATAATATAAAAACAAACAAATATGACATACGAATCAAGTTGTAAGTGATTGTACGCGTCTGGCGACTGGTCCTGCAACGCGTTACGTAACGCGTCCCGCAACCCGCCGCCGCCGAGCAACGACCACACCAGTAGCTCTGTCATGAAACGTGCGCCTGCGCTGGCTGGTACCGAACCTATAAAAATAACAGTTTTAGGTTACTAAGATTCATAATTAATAAAACTAGGTAAAAAGTATTTAAAAAAATCTGTTAAATTATGTTTTTTACCGAGTTCTTAATATTAAATAAGACCATTCGCATACAATGATGACTTTTCTTTCTCGTAATGACTATAAACATGTGATAGGACTTGTTAAAAGAGGAAGTATACGAATTCCTCTAGAAAAATACAACAAAACTAGAAATTGAGTAATCGGGCTAAATAAGAAAGATATTTGTAACTAACATTTCAATAATATTTAAGTTTATATATTCACCTTGAGGCAATAACGTGATAAGATGATGTGCCCTAACTTGTGGAGTAGGCAGTAGTAGTGGCCAGGCGGCCGCCAGTGCCCGCCTCGCTGCGGCCGCGGCGCCCGCTCCCGCGCGACCTTCTACCAACGCTACTAGCGCGCTATGCACGCCATTACACCAGGAACGAGCTTCGCCTTCTATGTCCTCCAGTTCAGAGCCACGTGTACATTGCCACGCTTGCACCTGAGTTTTGAAATAAGAAAGTGGTAAGTAATACTGGCCGAAAATGTAAAAAATGATAATGCTAGTAAAAAATATAAAAAGATAGAACGTTTTTGAATTTCAAATTCGAATATGGTAACACTGGCTGAATAAACATTTGAAATCCGAGTGGCACTTACTTGCAACCGCAGGAGATTCAGACACGATATGGCCATACATTCGACCTCCTTTATAGTTGCTGAGCTGCTTTGTTCTACAACTATCCTCAATAGTCTTTCCAGAAGTCTGCAAAAAGGGTACATTATTTATCAATTTATAATTTCTTTTCATTTCGTTCCTTATTCTTTAGGTGCAATAATTTCTTACACAATATTTACTCCTAAGTAACTAGGATTGCATCAAGTACAGCCATGGCGTGATTGCAGAAGATTTACGAGGCCGTACGCGTTCACCGCTCTGATTGGCCGGTTTCAATGAACCAACCAATCAGAGCGCCTAACGCGGTCTCTTTTCGATTACTTTAAACGTAAAACAAACTCGTACTAAGCTCTCAGAACGTTTTAAAGCGGTTTTGTTACTCACTTGAAAGTGCTATCAGATAAATCTATAACGAATGGCATGGAAGATGGTAAATCTCTTGGACTTTCTTCGCTCCAAACTATAATCTGTGATAGTCCACTGGTGACACCTGCAATTGTTTAACAAAATGTTAACAACAAACGGACTTTTATAGTACTAAGTATACTTCTTCTCATTAAAACTTTGCCAAGTGTTAAAATTATTAAAACCTAGCTGAACACGAAACTTCGTTTGCATTTTTGTAAAATAAAAGTAGCCTATGTTACTCCTTAGTACATTAGTTACGTGCCAATAAAAGTCCCATCAAACTGGGTGCAACCATTTTACTGATTAGCCAGTATAAACAGACCGACCGACAAAAATAGTAAAAAGTGTAGGAAAAAGCGGTTATTTCAATATTATTGAAATGCGATGATTTTATAGTTTAACAGCGACACGGTTCGACTTTTAATTATTGACTGCAACATACCTCCAAGCAATGTTGACGCTGCACTTTATATGTAATTAGTTTTAACGTGTATTACTTTGGCATTCAATAAACGACACTTGAACGAAATGGTTTTCTTTTAAACTCCGAACATTACATGGCGACCCTGCCATCGAACCTTACAACCCATAGGAAGATAAACTAACACGACGAGCAATTAAGAAGAAATTCAATAAAGAAGTGAAACAAAGGTTATCTAATGGGGAAGTCATACAGCAAAGACGAAGTCGTGATAGCGCAAACTGCGAGTGGTGATGCCCAAGCCACGCAGAAGCATTCCTCACTGCTGAACACCGGCGAAATTTTGATGATTGTGGTCCTTGTCCTCGTCGCCTCTTCGCTCATTTACTACTTAAGCAAGAAGTGCCACCATCAAATAGTTAAAACACTGCGTCGTGAGTTGAATCGGCACCTATTGCAAACAACCACCTCTACCCTACAATTGACGCCGTCCTCGTCATTACCGTCGTCTTCACCAGCCTAAGAATCGGCTTATCACCATCAAACACTTGGTGCTTTAGAAAATACCCATAAAAATTTAGGAGCATTTCTTAGAATGCAGTGCGAAAGTACTAGTATAGATTGGAGCACATGGTTGCCATACTGGTGCTTCTCATATAATACTACCGTACACACTGAGACAAAGTATACGCCTTATGAGCTCGTCTTTGGAAAACTATGTCACTTGCCAACAAATTTGCAAACTAATTCAGTAGATCCTGTTTATAATGATGAAAATTATCCTATAGAGTTAAAATTTCGATTACAAAAGGCACAATTAGATGCAAAATCAAACCTTGTTCAAAGTAAACAAATTAGAAAAAAATCTTATGACAAAAAACTTAATACTATAACTTACAAAGAAGGAGACTTAATTTTATTAAAAAATCAAGTAGGTAGCAAATTAGACAAAATTTATAGTGGACCATATAAAGTCATTGAGGATCTTGCACCAAATGTGAAAATTATAAAAAATAATAAGGAATATGTAACGCATAAAAATAATACAAAGTTATTTCATAATTGATTTTATTTTGTAATTTACTTATAAGCTTAGTTTAAGTATGTGTAACAATCTAATAAGGTTTAAAAAAAAAAAAATGTAGTCAACATTGTTTGCAGCCTTCATTTTTTTTTTCCTTTTATAAGGGGGATGAAGTGTGTACTTTTTCGGGGGAGTTGAAATGCGATGATTTTATAGTTTAACAGCGACACGGTTCGACTTTTAATTATTGACTGCAACATACCTCCAAGCAATGTTGACGCTGCACTTTATATGTAATTAGTTTTAACGTGTATTACTTTGGCATTCAATAAACGACACTTGAACGAAATGGTTTTCTTTTAAACTCCGAACATTACATTATAAACAGACACTCCAATTTTATTTAACTGTACATATAGCATGCTTGGTCACGGGATATTCTTCTATGTTTCAATACTGTCAATAGACTTGGTCGAAAGATTCAATTAACTTACCATTAGCCTTAAGGGACGGGTTGAGTACTTGCAACAGTTGTGGTACAGGTCTCGTTATTTGTGCACGTTCGTTCGTGCCCCAAGCGTACAATGCGCCCTCTGCTGTCAGAGCGACGCCATGTGTCGATCCCAGTGAAAGATCTACTACTTTTATACCTAAAAGTATTGAAATAATTATAAGAATATTTTGTTAGATGGATTTATTAGTGTGTCAAAAATAGTGAATATTAAAGTACCTTGTAACGCTTCCACTAGTTTTGGAGTCTTCACGCTCTCAACATTGCCGTGCCCCAAACGAAAGTCATCTCCTTTACCCCAAGTGTATACTCGACCTCTGCAAATATTAATTAACATAACAGCCTTTTGTTCCCAAAGAGGTGGGCAGAGGTGCACATTTACGGCTATTAATACCGCTGTACAATGTAACGCCCACTTTCACTATTTATGTTATGAGTCGCATGTAATAGGGGATGAGCCTATTGCCATATACCGGGCATATTTCCAGACTCCGTGGTACTATTGAGAATTAAAAAAAAAACAGTAATCCTTTGCTCGACCAGAGAATCGCAACTGATACCCCTAGCCCGGCAGTCGCACTTGCGACTACTCGGCCAACGAGTTAGTATTAATAATATTACATAAAAAAATGTGCTTACAGACGAAAATAAGTCAAACAACTTCAATATGTCAAATTTCTTCAACAGATTTTTGTTTTTATTACTGAACTGAGAAAACTGAGAACCTAGTAAAGAATTTTCTGGTACAGACGCAGACAAATGGGACCTACGTAATAGTACCACTTCGAAAACTTATATTAACATGCGTAATAGGCAAAGTTAAATCTAAGATGGAACGTACTCATCAGTAAGCGCAGCATGCCAATGTTCCCCAGTATAGACGTGCGGGACGACCAGCACGGACAGCGCCATCAGAGCGTGAGGGACTCCGCCCTCCGAGTCTCCGAACACTTGCACCGTACCATCCCATGTACTGCACAACGTGTGACCTTCACCCCAACCTTAATGGAAGAATAAACACAACTTTATAATTTGTGATTGTAGGTCGTTATTTTGTTGCGCAACTTTATGCGGAAAGATTGCGCAAATAGTAATAAAGCATACTTTTATATGAGAAAATATTATTATAGTCTATTTTTCAGTTTCTAAAATAATATTTGACTTGATAAAAAGTGACAAATACATTTGCCTTTTGCGTTTAGAGATTAACAGCAAATATGATTAACTGTATAGCTATTGATTTTGATACAATAAATAAAATAAAACATTGGATAGCTTACCAAAAGCGATATCAATAACCCGTCCACAATTATGTGCACTGAAGGAGACAGGTTGCGGAGTGAGGCAGTTCTCGATGGTGCCGTGACCGAGGCGGCCTTGTGCACATCGACCCCAAGTGTATAATGCGCCTCGAGATGTTATTACAGCACTGTGGACAGTATTTTTAGATTTTATAAACGAAAAATGGCTGGTAAAGGCACTTGAATGAGGACTGATGATCGGGGTGAATTTATTTCTTGCAATGGACAAATAAGAATGGAGAAATATGATAATGATAAAGTTATTACCATCAGATTTAGAAAAAAAATTCAATATAAATGCAACTTCGGCAACGAATTTATTTAAACTTGGTTTAAATCTGGATATGCGTGTGTAGTAAATCACGAACATGTACCCTTGGAAGCAAAGCAACAGAGCCGTTAGCGCTTATTCATACGATAAAAATGTTTTTTTTTTTAATTGGTAACATATGTCGTTGCCAATTTGTACCTTTAAAATGAGAGCATTTTGTTGTGAAACGAATATGTTTTCAAGTTATAGATTTCGATAGGAAAAAGTGATAGTGGTTGGTATTGGTGCTCCGTTCCATTGCTCTCAAATGTAGCTATTTAGTTCAAAGTAATAGTCCCAGGTACCTGCAAGCAGCGCCAGCAGCGACTCTAACGATCTCATGATGAGCGAGATGATGTAGATGCGTGGGCGCGTCCCTGGGCGCGGTGTCCCCGTGGCCGAGGCGGCCGTCGTCGCCGGCGCCCCACGACCACGCGCCGCCGCACGATGAACGACACAAGTAATGGCGGCCGGCGGGGTGGCAGGAGACTTGCGTTATTGTCTTACTTTCTAGGCCTGTTAAGAAAAAAAGTATGTGATAATCAAATCTGCCACAGTATTAGTAACAGGAGCCTAGTCAAGGGGGTGGTTTTAGTGAGGTAAATATCCCATATTATCTCGTCTTTCAAAGTCAAAGCATTTATTTAAATTAAACCATAGTTTGGTACTTTTGAATCGTCAACAAATACAAAATAAATAATAGTCTGTCAGTCAGTCTTTCTCTTTAAAAAGCTGGACACCTTTTGAAGGTTTCCCCTCGTCATAAAAAGCATCAGTAATCAGATGCTAGTGCTTTAAGTGAAATCATCTGTCATCCACCTCCCAAATCCCACTAAAAGAGACATCACAGATCTGATCACAGATAACTGAGATGGTCCTATACCTCAGTGGTGACAACTTTTAAGTCGAAACTCAACAATATGTCCAAAGTATGGAAATACATTAAACAAATAGCATTTTCCACTAACCTGGAACTAACTGCGGTGTCATAGTATCGTAGGGCAATGAATACACAGCACCATCTTGCGTCAGTAGCAAAGCCAGTTTCTCAGCACACGATATTTGTTGGATTCGTAGTGTACCCAGATATACAGAGCCTGAACCAACTGATACTACTTCTTGAGCCGATTCTGTGCACTGAAAAGTTAAAAAGAATTAAAAACCATTGGAATAGTTTAACACCAAAGTTTAAAATGATTAGATTCAAACCACTAGTGTCAGGCACCGATAACTGACGTGGTGCTCTAAGGGTTAAGGGGGGGAATAAATTATAATATCAGCCATCATTTGTTTACTTACAGTAACAAATCCCTTTTGAGGCGGAAGGAGAGGAGCTCCAAGCCTATCTAGATGACATAGTAAGGCAATACCAGCCTTCCTCACCCCCATCAAGCCATCACCGCTAGGAATATTTAGCTCCCTGTAACAACACATTAGATTAGGAACGTTATTTCGTATGCAATAAAGGCGATTGGAGAACGGAGATATCAATACTATGAGTATTCGATTCTGGAACAGTATTGATAACAGATTCGCAACTTTATTTTGTATGCAGTAAAGGTGATTATCGTTTGTTTGTATGTATGTACGACTTACTTTAGGTACATTTCCGTAATATTGGGTTCAGTAGTTGGTTCATTGCTGATAATTGGAGTTGGAGCTGTTACTTTTGCCATTCGTCTTAGAAATGGTCCTAATGGTGCTGTACATTCTTCTAGAACAATCCTGGAACAGAAAACAAAATGAAACATTATGAAATTCTATTAGGCTACTACATAGATGACAGAGTAATCGCAAGTGTGACTTCTAAGCAAGACGCCTGCCGTTCAGAAAAAGTATCCGGTTTTTTGGGTTAAAAAAGTTTAAGCTAAAAATAGCATGGAGTTTTTAATCCCAAAGGAAAGGCTCAGTTTAACACGCATCTTTACATACCATAATATAATTAAAAAATAGTGATGCTTTATACGCTTTCTACAACAGACTTACCTATTGTCAGGGTGTCGCTTCTGTTTTGGAGGTAAAGTGACTAGAACATCAGCCGCCTTCAACAGAGCGGGCAGTTCAGCTCTCCGCGCACACAGTTCTACCCACACACAGAGAGAGGTTCGCCAGTCGCCTTGTGGTACATTACATCCGACTTCACTGTTGGTAGAAAAAAGTATTACACCAAATATTTATGTCTATACTAAAGCTGCTATAAATAGAAAAAAAAAAAACAGAAAAAATACGATAACAATTTATATTTGCATATTATTGTGCAGTTCTTTTGAATAATCAAACAGAGGTCAACGTACAACACACGCAAAGGTCGCAGATATGTACTTTTTATTGCACTGAATGAAATAATTTGCCTCTATTGTGTTTTATAATGACCATAAAAGTTAGAGTTAATGAGTAACTCAACTACACTTTAATAACAATAGCAATCACATACCCAACAACAACTTGATGCAGGAATTTGGCAGCACTATCAACAACTTCGGCCCATATTTTCTGTGACCTTGGGGTAGTTGTAGGCCCCGTACCAGCGAACAATCCCGCATCGGGCAGCGCTCGAACTGCTTCGAGAGCGTCCCGGAGTAAGGCTGAGCACACATCTGCGTCTTCACCACAACGCCATGCGCGACGGACGAGGGATAATGCCAAGCGAAGAGCTGCGCGGGCACCAACTCGAGCGAGACCAATAGCACTGTAAGGGATAGATTAGTGAAATATAATAGGGCAAATTATTATGTTTGAGAAACTATGTTGTATTGGCTAACCATCCTTTGCGCTTAATAGTAGGGTTTACTTTCATACTTTGTTCCTTTAATATTAGACATCATATTATTTTCCATAGCTATCACAGAGATTACTGCCTCGTTGGCTGAGTGGTCGGAAGTTCGACTGCCTGCAAGGGGCTGCAAGAGGTCTTGGGTTCGATTCCCGAGTCAGACAAACTAATACTAGTTTTTTTTTAATTCTCAGTATTAGCACAGAGTATGGAATTGTGCCCGGTACATGGCAATAAGCTCATCCCCTATTACATGGGACTTATAACATATGTAGTGAAAAGTGAATGTTACATTGTACAGTGGCATTAAGTGCCGTAATGTGCACCTCTACCTACCCCCTCAGGGATAAAAGGCGTGATGATGTGTATATCACCAAAACTTATTAGAAAACAATATTTAAAAAAATGTTGAAACCTATCTGTATAAAAATGTACTGTTTACTTCATGCTTAATTTATACACAAAAAACAATTTGTTCATGTTTATGAAACATCCTGTCTGGCTTGCACCTACATATCTGTGTAGGTTATTACTAATTACTAGTAAGTTCTTACACTCAAGGAAATTACTGTGAAATTAAAGTTAACAAATTTTCATACCAAAAACACAATGATGAAGAACATAAAATATTTTTACATTTTTTTAATTCAAGTGCTACAAACCTCTCTGAGTCATCTGTCTGCTCCTCAGTGTCATCCTGGGTGTCAGTTCCCTCTCCAGGTTTGTTCAGAGTGCCAACCACACTGCTCAATGCTCTGTTACTGACTGTATGAGGAGGCTTCCTTTCTATTTTTACTCTTTTCACCTCTTTGTTCTGACTTTGATCTCTGGAAAAAGGTTTCATTTTGATTTAAATAACTTTGTAAAATATTTTTTTTTCAATAAGTTAACATGTCATGTTTATGTATCTACAATGAAAGTTATTATATTTTTAATAAGATATCAGTCAGAAGCTGTACCCTAATTTAATTTGCTAATAATAAGGTCTTAAATGAAACCTTATGACATGGTGATAAGTCATATCTTTGTAGGTCAATATTTGAATAACATTTGGTGATGTACTAGAAAAACATGACAGCATATTTTAACAACAAACAAAACAAAATAACAATACCTAATAACAGCTACAAGATGTCTATTGCACAACACAATGAGTCGACGGATCTGAGATATGAATGGACAACTAACAGCCGTGTTGATTGCTCTCACTCGCTGTTCCCAGACCAAAGCCTCCATTAAACTTTGCAGGCATTCTGGACCTGGATACACAAGTTAAAAAAAGAGGTCAACAAAACAATTTAGGTAGGTATAATAATACTAAGTAGAACAAAGGAACTAGTGATGATGTTATTTCTACAACACATCTTTGTAAATGAAAACATACCTGGGTCTTGTTTCCATTTTAGGTCATCAACTATCTGATGGGATGGAGGTGGTGCCACTTGCTTGGACCGTATTGAGATTCTGAGCTCCTCCTCAGCTGACAGAGTGGTGCATGGTGGGCAGGCACAACCAGAGTGTGGGCCACAGAGACCATCACAACAGGTGCAAGTTAGAATCTAAGTGGAAAAATTAAATGTTATTATTAGAACTTAATTAGCTTATAATTAGTACTAATGTATTAATTCCAATTATGGTAAAACATAAACATAGGAAACAATTTTGTACATCTAAAATTTAAAATGTGAATGTATCAGCCATCATACATACCCTCAAACCACAGTAATATTTTCCACTGTCACCAAGTTTAGAAGTAGCACCAGCACTATTTACGAGCCCGTTTCCGGCCTCGAAATAAATTTCTCTGTCTTGTAAAAGACTATTGAACAGAGTGCACAAGCCATCGGGATCATGAAGCGCTTCTTGTAAATCAGGATTTAGCCATTTTGCATCTAAATGCTGCTGTGGACGAAATATGAAATCGTCCTGATCTTCAGGGACAGACATTTTCGCAACCGGTGCCTTTGATAAATTCACACACCCATTTTAAGTTTTTGTAAAAACTTTAACAATAAGTCTTTACAAATTAATCGATCGTTATTATATTTTCATTCTAGAATATCGAGTAAAAAATATTATAATAATACATCGAAACAAGAATCGACAAATCAATCGGCCCGAAGAAAACTGTCAAATCCAACACGTTCCATTTTTCGAGAATCAGCTGTGTCATTTCATTCTTCCAATAGAACCGTTCAAACGTTGAACCAAAAGTGGAAAAATTAAAGGTATTATTTATATTTAAAGAATGGCAGAGACTTTTAAGTTATAAAAGGTAAAAATAATACTTTTTAATCAAAAACTTTTTGTGTAAAATATAGAACCTGCTTTTGTTATTAGATTTGTTATGAAAACTGAAACGTACGAATTCACTGGGCGTCATTGAGATTCATTCTGAAACGTAATTCATAAATAATAATATTTTATAGATTTTGAGGTATATAGATATTTTTTTCTGTGTTGTTGTTTTTCATTATATTTTACAAGAGATATAAAGTAATATGTTATTGAAAATTAACTAAAATTGATATTGACAAACAGATTAATATTTTTTTCCTGTAATCATAAGATATTACTTGTTCTAGAGTTTAGTATTCAAATGCACCAGCTACATTGATTAAAATATTCACAGATAAAAAATATTAATCATTGCCGTCGTGTTATTGTATGTGAACAATGTGTTTTACCTACGCAATAATTTAGTGCAATATAATTGTTATTACAAATTAATGGGTCCTGTGCTTCTATTCCAATGGATACAGATATTTTAATTGAGAATAAGGACTATTTATATGGTAATTTTCAGTTCTGTGTTTTATAGTATGCTCCGGCTAATTTACAATAACAATGTGCTGCTAATTTTATTTCATTGAATCATGTTATTGACCCCTCAACGTATTTTGTATTAGCACGTGTCCTTGGATGCGCTTTCGGTTTTAATTCATAGTGCGTAATTAATTGTAAACAAACAAAGATTTCTCGTTTATGAACGCCGCCTGTATTACGCGTTCAAATTTTATAGTGTAGTAAAGTTAGAAAAGTTATTATATCGTGTTTTTATCACTTGCGATAAGATCTGTCACTTGCACTTTACACGAAATAAATTGTTTAACTTTATTGTAGGTGAGGATTTTCTCGATCAGTTGTTGTCAAATGACTACAAATGGTCTTCTCTGTTGGATGCGACGGATGCCTCGCCGAGCGAGATCCTGGCTGACGCTGCACCTATCTTAGTACCACCGATATCACCAATTCTGAGTATTAAGTCATCAGAGGGCAGCAGCAATTCTGATTCTGGGAGTGAAGATGATTCTAAAAAGTTAGTAATTCAATAAACACAGTTAAGAAAGTATGTTCATAAAATAAACCAACGAGTAAAAGTCATAAAAAATATTATAATTCTCTTTAGTTCAGTCAATCAAGTATGAAATGACAGAATCAGGTTTCCAGACACTTTCACAGAAAACTTTGGACTTTACATAAATTTTGGAGCAAAATACATACTTTCACTTTTTAATTAAATGATGAATGAATTTCAATATTAACTGGTAACTGGCAATAATTTCTGTATCATAGAAACTGAATTATCCAAGGATAATATTAAAGTAATAAAATTGATCCTATAAAGTTAGAGTAAATGATCTGATAATAATCTAATACAATTAACATTAACAATAAACTATTAGTTGTTAGTTAAATACCACTTGAAATCTTATTGCAAACTAGTTTCTACCTGCAACTTTGTACCCACTATTCTGGTTTCTTCTATTCCTGTAGGATTTTTTTAGTCATAACAATCTTCTCCTGATAATAAAAAACATAACAAAAATAATCATAGTGAAATCGGTCCAGCTGTTCATGTGATTGTGTGACCAAGAGGTATCTGATATATGGATTAATTGTCATATATATTATGTATTATTATTGTATATTATTTATTATTCAGTTGGTAATATGATGATGATGTTGGTGCAATGATATAGGACTTTTTAAACTTAATTGATAATTTTTTCTCCAGCAGTTCCAGTGGCACATCAGCTAGACAATCGTCCCAATCACCTTTTGATTGGACTAATTTTAGTGAGGAACCTACCAATAACTTGAATCTTGAAGATATTGAACTGTTCCTACAAAAAACTGGTATGTTTATCATTTTGTACTCTATTTACATTCCTATAAGATTCTTTTTTGTCATAATATCTAAGACATTCTAATATGTCCATAATTCATTCAGTCTTATTAAAGTTGTACTATAAAATATTTAACTGGCTTCTTTAGCAGCTTAGTAAACTTGTTTTCTAATATGTGTTTTTCTTATCAGAATGTGTCATCTGTATATGTATTTGTTTATGCAATCACAAGATAATTATTTGCAATTAAACATTCAAATGTTTATATACAGCTCCCAATCCTGATAACCCACCGTTACACAAAGCACTGACAAATGGAAAATCTCCTGAGAGAAATGGACCTGTCATGGCTATTGAAAATGGTGTTATTAAGGTACTATTTCAAATATAAGATATTCTTTGATTAGTATTGGTTTTACACTTATATAACTATATAAATTGACTGCATGGTTGGTGCGGTGGCTTGGCAATCTGCTGCCAACCAATGTGTAGTGGGTTTGATTCCAGCATGGAAGAATTCTTTATGAAATCCTCAAATTGTTGTTCCGAGTGTCTTTCTATATCAACTTGTATGTCTGTAAACACACTCACGATACAGGAAAAAATTCTAGAGTGCAACTTTTTAAACTGCCTTATTGACCGAGTGGTTGCAAGTGCGACTCCCAGGCAAGGAGTCTCGGGTTCGATTCCCGGGTCGGGCAACTATTATTTATTAATTTGCTACATGTAATGTGCACATCTGTACTATATTATTGGTCACCACAAATGTATGATGTAAAATTTTACTTGTTTGCATAAAAAACAAAATAATCTACTAATCTCTTTAATTGCAGGGCATTAAAATGGAGACTGAAGACTGTGATAGTGAAATAAGGAACTCTTATTCTAAGGTACACAAAGGTGAGTTTTCATTGCATTCTATAGCATCACTTTAATCCAAATAGGTTCAATGACTTGTTAACATTTTGGCTGTACAAATATTTGTAGGTAGATAGAAGAAATGAGTTAAGTTAATCTAATCTTTGTTTGTTGACTGTTTTGTTGGTTTAGTGACAAAAGACGTTGTGAGGTAAATGGTCTTAGATTTCCAGATTAGTTAAATGCTCTACGTGGTTTTCATCGTCGTTTAAATGTGGGATAGGCATGCTTCGGCACGATTGGGCCGGCTAGACCGGAGTGATACCACGGCCTCATAGAAAACCGACGTGAAACAATACTTGCATTGTGTTTTGTCGTGTGAGTGAGGTTCAATTACACCCCCCCCCCCAATCAATCCAAATACCCAATCCCTAAATCCCCAACAATCGTCAAATTTCTTATCCCCAGAAGGCTGGCAACGCACTTGTAACGCTTCTGATGTTCCCGGTGTCAATGGGCGACACCGATTGCTTACCATTATGTGATCCGTCTGCTCGTTTACTGGCTTATACACAAAAAAAGAAACAGTATTTTCTGTAATTTTTGGCTGTGTATGACCTGTCCAGTGGCGTGAATATGTTGAAAGTTATAGAAGCATGGTAGGATCATACTGCAGTAACTGATTTGTTTTAACAATGTTAGGGGCTTAGGGTCGTAGCATTTGTGTCAATATGGTACCAATGAAAGTGAAAACGTATGTTTGATATTTATACATTTATAAAAAGGGTCGTTCATTCGACATTCCACGCATGACATCCCACGTAATGACTTTTACGAGCTTGTCGCTATGTACAGATCGTGATTTACGTGATTTATACCTTATCAACATTGCATTTTTACAGTCATCTGTACCTGTTATTAGCTGTTGCTAACATGGGGACTATTATTTACTGGGTACATAAATACTACATTAAACATTCTTTATTATTCAAGTAAAATTGGGCAATTCATGTAATTTACATGGATGTGTGATGATGCCTGAGTCTTAAAAATCAAATACATATTTTTTTGTGTAACGTTTTAATACGTAATTAATATATTTGTTTTAGGTAATGGTTACCATCAAAATTCTTACTTCAAAGTGGTGAATGAGAACACGAATAATTCTCCAACTGACAATAAGATCGCTGTGAATGGTCAGATTCAATTGATAGTGGAACATAAGAAAGTGCCCAGTATTTTGAAAAGGCATTCCAATTTGACCACGAAGCCACCCAGTATTATTATCCCGGCGGACAGCACAAAGGGTGGGAAGATTGCCATATCGCCACTGACTCAAACCAAGTTTAATGGTGCCAAGGATAGTCAAGTTCAGGTTAGTATTGTTAATTACTGATGATGATTTATTTTAATATTTCTATAATACTGCTACTATCGTTTACTATGATTTGTTTTCTAGGATCAGGCTTTATTAAGATTTTTAAAATTCTGATCAGTCACTTCCATCAACAAAAATTAAATGAAATCTTCTCATATTTCTCCGAATATATATTTTCGAACGACAGATACAACAATACGTGAAGTTATGTAATCATATATGACGTCATATGTATGCATATGACATATGCATATGCAAATGATTATGGTAATTTATGTCAATTTGGAGCAAGACACATTATGTTACCAAAACCTAAATGATGTGATATTCAACCTCTTCTTTAATATAAGATTAAGGCTATGTGAAATAATTAACAATACAAGTATTTCATAACAAAGTGATGTGAACCAGATACCGACGTTTGAAATCATGCCGGCACTTTACGCGTTTAGCCAAAAAATTTTAAGACAAGTAAACAATTCGCGTAATAATGCACTATCTATATGTGTTTAAACACTGTTTGTATTATCGTTATAGAAATTTTTCCTTAGGTCACTAACTTCGTACCTATATTGCCTTGTAGCCTTCGTAACTTTCATAATTGTTTGTTAGTTTTCATAAACCGGCAATTCAAAGACGTTATTAAATGTGCAATCAATTAAAATCAGTTAGTAAATGTCGACTTCATCGTTCGATTGAAAAATTAAAATGTAAAAGTGCTGCCTTGTAGCCTATATGCAGAAATAAACTCACGTGTTTCACTTGTTTTACAAATATTGTTAATCTCAAAAGGGTAGTTTCCTAAATTTGATTTTATTGTCCGTTGGGTACATTAAATTAAAACTTTGGACACATTTTTTCTTTTCTCACAAAATAAAATACTTTATGACGTAGTCACGACTTCCCACTCATAAACTTAGCGCCATTTTATCTAAATATTGTAACTTAATACGAGAAAATAAAAAAATACGTGTAATATTTTTTCATTATAAAACTGACGAGCTAATTAGATTTTAACTCGTCGAGTACCGTATCTATAGACACAATTAAAGAACAATAGGTTGCGGTCACCGGTGACCGTTTGTTGTTTGACAGTTTAAATTTTGGTACCCTGGAAACTACCCAATTGTAATGGCCAATTACGCATAATGTTGAATTGTTCTATAAGTTTTCTTTATCATAATTATTTTTATTGCCCAATAACTAACTTTCATCCGCAGCTCCGCCTTCGCCTTTAATATTCAAATCTTCAGAAATATTACACTTAAAGCTTCTTCAAAAATCAAGAGACTATCTAGTAGTGTAAATTAAATAAAAACCAATTAAACAGCCAGAGACATGGCATTCTTTCTAACGAAGCTAAGAATATAATCAATTATTTATGTTACAGGTAACATCACCAAGAAGCAACATAGTAATCAACCCTAAACTGACAGTGTCCACCAATGGTACCACTCCACATATAGTACAAAACCATGTGATACCTCCTTATGCTGATAGTGAGGGTTCAAACAGCCCCACGATAGACCTCTCCAACTTCAGTGAAGCTGAGATCAAAGCTATCAAGAAACAACAGAGGATGATTAAGAATAGGTAAGAATGTTAAATAAACAAGCATATAAGGGTGCGTCCACATTTGCGTGCATTTAAAAATATTATGAACATTCTATGAGTCGAGCACCAAACCATTACTGTGACTGCTCGCGGCAGCCCTCTTACGGCTCGCGAGCGGTACACTAGCGGCGCATTCGCCAGATGTGGACGTATTCTAATATTCCTACAAATACAAGTATGGAGATCCAGTGATGACCTCTTTGATCTAGTGGTTGTGTATATGTCATCGTTGTAATCATTTTTTGATTTGATTTTTCCTTGTGCAAGATTTATTAACTCTTTCTACTACCTACTTGGTTAACTCCCTATTGGAAAATAACTGTAACATATTTAAATTAATAAGTAAGCAAAATAGTAAAGAAATAAAAGTGTAACTTTTTTTAAAACTTGGAATTGTCACAATTTTACTGCCAACTAGTTGTTATCGAAATTGTACTAACAGACTGAATTTTAATTTACATATCTACATTCTACATGGTACTTAACGTTCAAAGACATTCCGATTAGAAACTAACATTCGAAATAAAGTTTTATATCATTTGAATAAAGTTTAAACTGCAATGATTGCACTGTGTATGATTCATAAAATAATGCCGCCATGTTAATTTTTATTCAACATTAACAAGCTTTATTGTACTAACAATAGGGTCTATTTCACCTCAACTGGTGCAAAACTTTATCTTTTGTCTGTTCGGCAGGGAATCAGCATGCCAATCCCGGCAGAAGAAGAAAGAATACGTGACTGCGTTAGAACAGAAATTGTTTGAAGCACAGCAAGAGATCGCCAGGTTGCGACTAGAGAATAAACTGCTTAGGGACCAACTCGAAACAGGCGGGAGGAGTCGAAAGGTAATACTGAGCTTGTCATTATTATGTAAATTGAGAAACTCGCTGGTACTTATTATGTTCGTGTATCAAGAAATACGAAATCGTACTGATTATGATTATTACTGATACTTCATTACCTATAGTGAAGAAAGAAAAATTATGTTTGATACCGTTTTCTATTCTCCAATCTATTTATGACCAGTTTTATCTAAACCAAGGACGTTGAATAAAAGGCGGACACAGTCTCTTGAAACAACGACTATTTCACCTGGATACTATTGAGTTACATGCAGAACATATCACATAAAATATCTGTCATTTTCTTAAGTCTGGTAACGTGGTAACCCAATTACACACGACTTGACTTGACTTGACTGCACGGTTGGTGCGGTGGCTGGGCAACCGGCTGCCGTGCAACGTGTCGCGGGTTCGATTTATACACTTTGTGTGATCCACAAATTGTTGTTTCGGGTCTGGGTGTCATATGTATATGAACTTGTATGTTTGTAAACGCACCCACGACACAGGAGATAATCCTAGTATGGGGCACCGTTTTTTTTTAAAAAAAACTACGTACACATAAAAAACCACTGACATTTTTGTGCTTTAATCATGTCTAAGTGACATCATGTCCGCCTATTTTTCAACGTCCTTGCTCTGGACTTCTTTAAAAATACAACTTCGTTTTTCTTTAATCAGTTTCGTTTTATACTGTCTACTACAAAAGTTTTAATTTACGTTAGAGTGTACAGGTGTTGCGTGTTAAGCTGACCTCGTTTCTTACACCACAGTTTGTACATACTATTAAAATATTACCTATAAACTTATTACCTAAATTGTATTAACACCTGGTAAATATTGTAACAGATGCCGCGACTCGACGCCTCCCTGCTAATACCGAAGAAGAACATAGCTGTTATATTTGCTATGGTCTTTATGGTATCGTTAAACTGGAATGTTCTAGGGTAAGAAAAATGTTACTTTTGTTATCCTGTTGGTATTTTTTGCCATGAGCGTTTAGAATAGGGTTCAAAATCATGTTTAATTAATGAATTAACACGAAAATGTTTATTCCAAAGTTCGACGAACCATATAACATTTGTTATTATACATACATTAAGATAAGCAGCAACTTTGCCCATCCTCTTCTAACAAACGTAATTTGACTCCTCAAGAATTAAGTTGTACAACATATTATAGATACTAATAACTGTTAATTGCTTCATTTTTATAACTAACAAATATTTTATCACAAGATCTAATAATGAATTGTTATGTTTTTCGGCTAACTCACGTAACTATTTGACGAGGAACTCGACTAGTTTTACTGACAGTTACCGCGTCGCGGGTCGCGGAACGCTGCTCCTGAATATAAACCCCTAGCATCGCTTGAACTAGTCAAGTTCCTCGTCAAATAATTACCTGAGTAAGCCGAAAAACGTAATTGATTTAGTATGCCTCACGGAAGTTAAAATATGTATAAGATCTAATAACTTATTCACATTTTTGATACCAATGGTTATGAATTACTTCTTTATTGTAACTAAAAAAATTACTTTCCCAGGTTTAAATACATTATTCATATTCCATCACTGTTCTAACATACTTATTGTTTGTTTTTTCTTCACAAAAGGTGGAACGCAAAGCCTTTTGTCGGGCCCTCCGCTCCACACAGAAGCACAAGGCATTTACTATGGTCAGAGGACACCGCTGTAGATATTGTAAATGGTGTGTACCCTTATCCCTTTCATTATTTATCACCTAAGGGTCTGTTTCACTGCTAATGTGTCAAAAAAAAGCGATATACTTGATGGTCATTGTAATTTTATAACTACGATAAATTAGTGGAACAGGCCTTCAATAATTCAGCGTTTTATAATTCTACATAAATAATAGAATGCATTACGTCCTAAACTAGAAAATATCTCTATTAATGTTAGCTCATAATAATGCACGATAATCACAGCCTTTAAAGTAAATTAAACTTTAAGGTAGTTGTCATTAGGCTCATAATGAAAAGCAACATACAATGAATCGTATTTGACCTTTATAAATGTTAAACATGCATAGAATTGAATGTATTGATTTTTTGTTTCTATGCTAAGCCAACTGGAAAATCCGGTGGTATATCGTCAAGGCTGTTGACTGTTTTTTCACCTTCACAAATCCTAATCCTTTTTATTAAGATATTTCTGTTATTATTAAACAATTTAGGAATTAAAAACCTGATTAAACACTTTCTTACTCAAAGAGAAGAAATAGAATAAAAGTTGAATAATATTTTATGCTATCAAAAATTTTGTAAAGAACACTTAAAATACTACCTTGAAAGATAATTAAATACTATCTGAACTTTATATTAATGGACAATAGAGATCAAAATTTTAAAGTTCGATTAAAAAGGTGTTGAAATAACAATTATTGCCCACAAAATAAGTCTTCAACTCATTTACTGAACACGAATACTGCGTTACAATACTTTAAATATACTAAACATACTTCCAGATGACTTAACAAACGGTACATACGTAACAGACTGTCAGAATTCGACAGTGAAAGCTACAGACTTCGTGAACATCAACCAGACGGAGAGCATACGGATAGCGGGCGAACTGAAGCGTTGGATCGGCGGCGGCAAGACGCTGAACTGGACGTATGATGTTCCACGGAAGAAACGACAGACTTACCTTAGTGATGAGAAAATTAATGGTAAGTGTTCCAGATCTCGTTAAATTGTTTGAATATTATTTGTTTGATTAGTACTGTGAGGCTAAGGATTCACGGCGTGATTTTCTCCCGCACCCGTTACGATTATGGGCCCGCAGGCTTTGTAGAATACAGATATGTATGTAAAAACCTTCCTCTGCACCGGCGGGCGCGCTCTGCGCTCTGAGATCAGTCGGCGGGCGATCGCAATGGGACGGCCGGTCTTGAACTCAAGACTCAACTGATTGTTTAACCGACCACCCGTCTTACGATAATCAACCGCCAAGTTTGCGGGCGATAATCGCAATCACGGCGGCTGCGGGATCGCTGAAAACTGCGATCTCGTGAGTTTTGAAAATTTCGCCTCCATTCCGGTACTGCGGCAGGTACGGGAGAAGATCGCGTCATGATGCAGTGCTTAGCCTAACCTTTTAACTGTTGAAACACCGGCATAACACACAATATACCCGCAACTTTCAACATACAAGAGGCTAAGAGAGGTTCGATGTATCGACGTTGAACATTTCAGAAATATTTAGTGACTTCGAATTTCACCCTATGTATCATTGTGGTTGCCTGCTATTCTATTGGATAACAGTAACGCTAATAACATTAAAGGGAAAATTTCATACGTCATGTGACTTTGTGGTAAATGTTAGTCATGATTTTCCTTTGGACTTATTTGGTGGTAAAAACAGGAAAAGTAGTATAATAATTATTGAATGTCATTACAAAATATAGCATACCTACATGTTTTAATTTACAGGTGGTTTATTAGAAAGCTACAGGCTGTTCAACAAACTTCATTTGGAAAACAACTTAATGGACTTCCCTAGCATAAGAAATCACGCAAAGACCGTCAAGGACAAGTCGCGGTTACGTCGTCTTAGGAGGAATAAAGACATAGACTTTGCAGAAAACGCGGTTATAGACTACGAAACTCTTTACCGTAAGCCAATGAGGAAAGCGGTCAATGATTTCAATATGGATGACTTGGGAGAGTGGAATGCCTTACTTGAAGCGTTACATAGGCGGGACGACACGTTCTACATTGTAGGTTTTGGTAAAGGAGAGCATTTGTTGTTACCAGCCGTCTCACACAATGTCACTAGGCCGCCGAAGATGGCTCTGATCTTGCCCGCTAGGAGTGGTAATGGTTAGTTTAAGATGTTATTTTAAACATTTTCTTAATTTTGTATTTTGATTCAATTTGATTAATATTTTTGAATAGAAATGCTTCACACTAAGCTAGTAACATAATATTTCTAACTTAAACTGAGATACTTAAGTTTGTTTCAAAAAGTATTTTTATTGTTAATTTCAGATTCTCTAATGAACGACCACGTAACGCTGATGCAAATCGATTGCTCAGTCGTCAACACAACACTTGTAAAGTTAAAATCAGACGCCTTACCAGAAAGCCTCAGGAAACCTACAAACGACCCAACAGTTCAACAAGAAGAGAAACGTGAGAACACTTCAACTTACTACAAAACAAACAATGAAAATATTGATATCAATCTCTTACAAAATTCTAGCAATAGGATATCAAATTATTCAAAAAATCAGAATGTGCCACAAAAAGTAGATGTAGGCAAAGATGACTTATTTGCTCAGTACTTATTCTCTAAGTACGAAAACTCTAAAGACAGCTCGGCTAAAAGGCCTCGTAGTAAAAATACTGTTGAGAAAAAAGAAAGCAATAATACTATAAGTTCAACGTGATTTTATTGTTTCAAATTCAGTATTTTGTTCTCTACACTCAAACGCCTGATTGGTGGATTGGCTGCCCAATCAAAATTCTCCGCCTTAACGGGAGAATCATGCCTAAATGTTGAACCAGTGTTTATGTTACGTCCATACGTCCTTACTATGTATAAATAATTCGTTTTTATACATGACACTTATTTTAGTTTAACTTCCGTGTCACTGGCAGTGGTTATGTAGCATTAAGTCCTATATACCCTTGGGGATGATGACAGGGTATGAAAATTAAAAATATAATTAGTCCGTAAGTTAGGTAATGAAAAAATATTAGACACGTATTTTTTTATTTTGTCGTATAATAAAACAATACTTAGATAAAACGAATCAAAGTTTAGGAGTGGGGGCTAAAACGTCATTTCTTAGTATAAAATGTACTGAGAAGTGACGTCACGCGACATTTCAAATCAATATATCTTCGAAACTATTCGTTTCTGTGAGAAAAGAAAAAATACGTGTCTAATGTTTTTAACTAATCTATCAAACGGACATTAAAATAAACATTAGTCGTCTACCCTATTACTCTCAAAAATATGTCCAATGTTGAGACTAATTAGTCTCAAGGGACTGTTTACTGCAGTGGCGCCTGCCAGTGAGCGGAATGGGTATCTAGGCAACTGCAGAAAATATATGTTAGATTTTAATATTATGTAATTTAGTTTTGATACTTAATAATCCATGTGTTTTAATCTTAAAAAGTGTTTTAAACAAAAATATACACAACAAATTTAGAATTTACATCGATCTCATTACGTCGAAACCACAACGTGTGAAATTATTATTTTAATGGAATATAAATACATAGAAGCGTAAATCCTTAGTAGCGTAGAGTTGAATAATTATGTGCATTACTTTACAGAAATAAAGTTCATTTTACTATATTATCAAATCAATGTTTTTACTCTGCGCTAATATGAATTGACTTTTATCTGAAGATATATTTATGTCACAGATTTATTAATATTATACTTAATCGTAAGTAAAAATAGATAGAGACAAGCCTAGTTAACCCAGATTAAATATACCTGCCTTGGCTGTGTGTATTATTATAGGTTTGTTATAAATAATATTATGTTATGCAATATTCCATTTACTGGTAGAAATAGTAATGTATTGGTTCAAATAGAAATATTATATAAAATGTAATGTAATCACAACTAGTCTCAAGATTTTGTATCAAGATGTGTATTATGTGGCAATTTTTAAGTTTTGTGCAGAATTCTGCATATTATATTTTTTGACTTTTGCGCTTCCAACCGGGGCTGACAGTCTCGACAGTGATTAGGACAGAAATTGGTCGCTATGACAGAAATTTTATTACCTCTAGATTTGCAACTTTGTTACAAAATCATATGGTTGATAATGTAATGAAGAGATAGACTTAGTTTTAGCGACTGAATTTTGAAGTTAAAAATGTCGGTACTCCGATCCTGGTACGAAAGGTGCGATAGAGAATAAGTTTGTGTTATTCATCAACAGTCCATTATTTTAAGTGTAAGCAATGTTAAGAAATAGTACCTCAATGTAATTATTTGTTGTCTAGTGTATATTTATTATCATCAGTGTATACTGCCAGCAGTATGGGTATAGTGTATAGGTCCAGACCTACAAAATAATTTGGTACCAATGGAACTCTTGTTGAGTTTTTAAATTCATGTTACTTAACTATTACTTTCATAATTGTTAATTAGCTATATTATTTAACAGTTGTAATATTTATAACTATCACAACACTTGTATAACTTTTGTAACTTGTTGTTTTTTAAATAATTATGTGTATGTTGATTTTATTTCACGGGATACTTATAATTTATTCACATATTTTAAGTTTCATATACATAATTAATTATGCACGTTTTTGTATAAATACTGACTGTCATTAAGTATTGTTTTCCGTGAATCAAATATTTAAGTTATTTCTAATATGATTTAATAAATTATACTCTAAACATTTAAATTCTATTTTTTTATTTAACTCTGATTTATTTCCATAACTAACCCTTGTTATCAAATAGCAAGCAAGCAAACCAAACATAGATATTATCATATCAGTGGAACCAAATCAAATAAAACACGAAGTTCATGAACACTATTTTTAATTTTTTATATAGTTATTGAACGAAACATAAAATGTCACAATCAGCTGTTTGTTCAAGTGTCACATCAAAATATAACCTCAAAAATACAAACAAATCAACTGACTACGAAATAAATATTGTGCTCTTTGAAAGAAAATATGAGTGAATAAAGTTAAGATTTACAATAACAATATTGACTTTGCATTAAATAAAATAAAACAAGAAGAATGAATTGCTTGCGATTACTGCGACTAGCCGAACAACAAACATTTCGCGGGCTTCATACAACATTGGCCAGATATGCCTCAAATGCTCCAGTCCGCTACATGGAGACCCAAAAGATGTGGAGAGAAAGAGATGGAATATCTAAACGTTGGCAGTTGATATACAAAGCCCCTATGGACACTGCACTTAAATATGCATCTTCTTACTTAACCGTATCAACGGGTATAATTGGAGTCAGCGCTCTGTACTATGCTGCTTTTGTATTCGACAAAGCGGATATGTACAACCCAGTGGTAATCGGTGACAATGTAGTGATAGCCAATAGTCCAGTTGAGTGCTTAGTTTACCTAGGATCCTTCATTGCACTACATATTGCTATAAAAGTATTATTATCAAAGTATGTTATCAGAATGTATCAGGATGGTGACGAATATTTGGCAGTTTTCAGAGGGAACTTCTTCAATAGTATAAAAACACACAAGTTTCACTTGAAAGATTTCAAAAAGTTAAGTCCTACATTTGTAGTCTCATGGGGCGATGCTAGGTTTGATCTTGGTAATAAGCATGGAATCATATTAGAGAACTACTTCAAAACACCTGAACATTTTCACTACCTGTTGAATAAGAAGAGTTCTGAAAAAGCTGAAGATGATTAATTTTTAAGATTATCATATTTATAATATTTATGTTATTATGTATGTAGTTCTAATTATTAGCTTATGATGTTGCAAGCTATTAAATAAATGTTCTCATGAAACATACTTGATGTTTTATTAGTCATGAAAAATATGGTAACTAGTATTCCACTAGGTTATTTACGACTCTGAGATTTAATTCAAGATAGCTAGATGTAAATGTACTTAATTTTGTATTTCCTACCACCATGTGTATTACGGATTCAATAAATATTGGAATACTTATTATAGACCTAATTGAAATAAACATAAGCTTACAATTAACATAACTTTTATTTTATACACTAAAAAAACTAATCTACATTGCAATACAATTAGAATCCTCCATTAAATGCATTATTCCATTTATATCTTGAATCTTTCTTCAATGTGTCAGAATCCATTTTCTTCTCGCTCTTCTCAAATTGTTCTAAAGCTTCAATTTGCTCTGGCTTTGGACCAATTGTCTTGGTGACAATACATTGACCATTTTCCTTCAAAACTGTGTAGTTTATGTCATCTGTAGTTGGTTCTCCATAAGGAAATACAATCGGTGTAATTTTTATCAAATGTTTAATTTTCCATAGTCTCATGTTGGTTTCAGGAATATTTTTTACTACAGTAACATTATTTTCGCACTGGAACAAAAATATAGTTTTGTTATCTTTGTATCAATATCATCATGTCTTAAACATATTTATATATGATATTGTTTTGATGTACACAACTATAACACAACGATGGTTTACTTACTTCCTCCAAAATGTTAAATTCCCGAAGGATAGATTTGAGGTAATGTGGCTGGTGTTTACTGGGTTTGATTCGTTCCACTCTAAACAACTTAGTAGGCGTGTATTCGGGGTCTTTGTGATCAGGATATCTAAAAATGAGTAGTATTATTATAGTAAATGAAAACAATAATTATACACAAGTGCATTTGCTTACACTTGAATAAGTTGGTACCTTGGATAGTACACGATACCTCCTGGATATCGAATCCCACCCGGTGCTTTATAGCCCTTCGACCTAATAGCCGAAACTAAAGGGCTTAACGCTTTTAATAGTTGGCCATTCATTTTAATTTAAATAATTATGAAACGAAGACCATACAATAACCTCAAATGAAAATAACTTCCAATGACATTTCTAACAATTTCTAAGATAATGTGACACTGACAGCCATAACAGTTGAAGCTGTAGTAGAATTAGTAGGTATTGCAATATATAAATATTATTCTGTTTATATATCTATGTGTTTATAAGATATTGCATTATTAGCATCAATGAAGTACTTATAAAATCTATTGTTTAGAAAGAAATTAGTATCGTTTATTAGTAGACGTCATCTGATGTCCACTTTCTCTGTGCATTTTACTCTTTGGTATGCTTGTCTATTGAAGCGGCTATGGTTCTATCAAATGTCAATGTCATTATTAACGTTTACAAATTTTCAAAAGTTTGTTGTGTTGTTTTCGTGGGAATACAAGAGTTTTGTAATTAATTTTAAATTTAGTTTTATATGAAAACTTTAATCAAATGTGATATGTTATATTATTTTTAAGTGTTGTGTAGTGTTTTAAACTATATATTTGATGGTGCGTGGTATATTTTAAAGGTTAATGCTAATGAAGAAAGTTAGGTTTGAGAGTCCTGCTAAAGCTTTCCTATCTATCGACATGAACGAACGCGAGTGTCATTCGCCTCGTCCACTAGTAGAGAGGCAGATGCATACAAATTTACCTGACTTATACAGTCAGGTTAAGGTTTTACCGTACAGTAATGACCCAGTGCAACGTTTTGAGTGCAGCAATAGTTCTCCGTATCCAACAATGACAAAGACTCCGTTATCTGGCTATCAGAAATCTCCTGAGTGGTCACCGTCTCACGACTTGGATCTAAGTATGTTGGATGCTTCGTACCATGAGCCTAGAAGGCCTACATTTTGTAGATCCATCCTAAAGCCTACTAATGTTAATCACAATGCTGTTGATGGCTATACAATGAATTATACCCCTGAATCTAGTTCTGCACCAAAGATATCAACTGAAAACAAAATACTAAAACTACCAAACACACTGATCAAAAACGATGACTTCTTTATAAAGAGAGATAACTTAGATAAATTTAATTTGGACATGAATCCATTAACAAAGCAACTGAACCAGCTTAGTTTGGATAAAGAAAATGATCCTTTCACTAGGAAATCTGAAATGGTGCGAATGGCAGCTATAAATATGCAGGACAATGTAAAAAGTCAGCCACAGCCCACTAGATTTGAAGACTCTGATTGCAGGTGTCACCACTGTGTTAAAAAGACTACTCCAACAAATACAAATTATATAATGACAAATGAACAAGTGCCTCAGCACCACAGGCCTAACTATGGTTTACCATTTACTGCCCAAAATGTTATGAAACATAGTCACTGCCCATGTACATTGCCATCACAACCCAGCAGATGTTCCTGCTGCACTCCTACTCCAACAGCTAGGAAATGCCAGTGTAGCCCTTGTAGTACTGACAAAACACCTAGTCCAAAATTGAATGCAGTGGACAAAAAGACTTGGGCCATAGAAAGATATGAACAGAGCAAAAATTCAAACTCCATGGAGGTTGAAAAACAAACAAATATTTCCAAAGAGAAACGAGAGCCAACTGTATCTGACCTTTTTAAAATAATAAAGCTCCAAAATGAACAGTTGCAATTGTTACAAGAAAAAGTGGATAAGTTTATTACAGCAAGCCAACAAGCACAAATACCTGCTCAGAAACATGTAGCTATTGAAACTGTTGGGAATGAGCAGCATAAAATATCAATTGGAGTTATGACTAGTTTTGAAATGGTTAGAACTTCAACAGTAATAAACAAGGAAATCTTGAAAACAAATGACAATGCACAAATACAATGCAATAGGTCTCAAATAAGTATAAAAGAGGTTGTGTCTAAGGGGCAAGCTCCTAACCCAAACTTTTTAGATGGTATTACACCTGTAGGTGATACTATGAGGGCAGAGTTTGAGGCTCAAGGAAATGTTTTAACAAACACTCCAATGAATGGTGGTGTGCTTCCACTTGCAGGTGTGAACGAAGAGAAAACATTGAATGAATTGAGCCTGTGTAATGTCCAAGTAGATAATGCAACTACACCACTGATGTCCCCAGAGCAGAGCTTGTATTTAGATGTCAGAGATTATAGCGAGTAAGTTATTTGTGCCATACATTGTGAGAAACATGTTTTAGTTAATTATTTTTATTATTTATCTATGTTTTAGTATAAGAATAATAATAAATCTTGTTTATTTTCAGTTCCGATGCAGATAGTAATAACCAATCAAATGTTGGCTGGACTTATTATAATAAAGTTATGGTAATATTTATTTTTTACTCTTTGCTTGTTGAATTGAAGTGTATTCGTTTTCATTCCGTTTTTGTCTTAAGACTTACTTTGTGCCAGTTACATAAGATCTATGAAAATATTGGTAGGCTCCTATAATACCAGATCACGTCTATGCTAACCTTCATCAGCTTCATCAACAGCCAATAAAAGCCCACTGCTAAGCAAAGCCTCTACTCACACAAAGCATTAATCACGCTTGCTCAATGTGGGTTGGCGATTATAAACTTAGAATTAGAAATTATATGCTCAGGTTTCCTCACAATCACCGTTTGTCAGTGATGTCTAGATAATCTTAGAAAGTACATATAACTCGGAAACCTTCATCTATGCCAATACTGAGACTTAATACCAGGCTAGATAGATCTAGGCAGATCTAGTGAACAAACCTTAAATACCTATCATGCTTAGCTGAACTACAAACTGACAAAGGATACAATTATTTTCTTTTTTCTTTTATAGACTCATGTGAATGGCATGCTGCAAGATTCAGACATGCCGTCTTCAGCCAGTGCACTATACAGAAACACTAGACAACATTTGCAGACTGTACAAATGCATATAGACAAGACTAATGTTAGTGTTACTAAAAGGTAAAGTTAAATCCTTTTATAAAAACCACCTAGCTAGTTAGCTTCTCAGTTCTAACAAAGCAAAATAAGAATAATTAAGTAGAATTTAATTATTTCAGGGTGAAATTCGGCGACGATCCTCTAGGATTCCATCAGCCACATATCTATGCGTCTACTGACACCAGTTTGAAGATGAACCAGCTGGCTGCCAAGTACTTGAAGAACGGGCCACCGGTCGCAGCGCCACAGCGCCCTGCGCCCAGGCCAGCTACTGCACCAGTTGACATGTCTTTTGCTACGAGAAACTATATGGAGCGACATAAATTGTTGCAAGGTAATTACTGCTTTTGTTAAGTATCCTACTCATGACCATGTTGTCAGCCTATGACACTTTATGGTATTTTGTTTTTCGTGTATTAAACACCAATTAAATCGCAACATCTGCTGTGCTAAACATAAGCATTCCTTGTTAAGTATGTACATGACGAAATATCATACTGATGGACAAGTTATTGCCTAAACCGCTTATCATAGAAAAATTACTTAAAATTTATTTCATTTTTTTGTAAAAACGTTGCCCCACTTTAGGATTTTCTCCTGTGTCGTGGGTGCGTTTACAAACATACAAGTTCACATACACAATGACACCCAGACCCGAAACAACAATTCGTGGATCACACAAAGTGTTGTTCCGTGCGGGAATCGAACCCGCGACACGTTGCACGGCAGCTGGTTGCCCAGCCACCGCGCCAACCGTGCATTCTAAAATAAATGACAGGCATCAAAAAAGTGGGTAGAAAGGTGAAAACTTACTGATTTTTGTATACATTCTTAAATATCATTTCGCAAATATATCGTGAAGCGACCAGGACGGGCAGGACGTCGGCGGCTAATTTCAGATTAAAAAGGATTCTATCATAATGATGCTATCATTGTTTGTTTCAGGTATACCACCACCTTCGAAGTCTGCTTCTCCTGGTGAGATGCCTCGATTCTTAGACATAACTGCTTTGAAACAGCAGCCTAAGTTTTTATAGGTAGGTATTTCTAATCAATTGAATTGTTATTAGTTTTTAAAGTTAAGAAAATTGTACAATATTGTTATATGTATTAATTTGGATTAGATTTTTAAGTAGTTGACTTACTTAGCTCTAATGTTAGGTATGTTTGACATGCAAATAAGGTACGCTTTGTTCTGAACAGACATTTATTTTAAACCTCAGAGAAAATAACAGAGTAAAACCCTACATTATATAAGTAGGTATATTTGTTACTGGAACCTTTTGTTTATTACATTACACTTATATTTGTTCAGTATCTCGGGTTTATTATGAAGTATTATAGTAATATACATTAATTTGTCTACATATATGTATGATACAAACAATAAATTTTAATTTCATATAATGTGCTATTATTTTGTTTCACGCAATTATCACATTTCGTTGAAACATGATTTAGGATAATTATGCCACATGCATATTAGTAAAAGTACATCGTTACACTATCTAATACTGAGACTACAATTATGTGCATTTCAACGTAGATAATTATACATACATATTACACGCATGCATTTTCATACCAAAATGCATCAAAAATGTCTTTGTTTATCATTAATATGCATGCGGTTTTCATACGCTCTTTTATTTAAAATATAGATTTTTCAATAAACTCCGTGAACTACTATAACATCATTATATATTTATTCTTTCCGAGGTATTTCGAATATCTCTCACAGACAAAAAATTGTACTCCATAAGTTTGGAAATGGTAATAAAAATATTTATATTATACACCAATTACAATTCTGCTTAAGACAATGCCACTTTATGTGATAAATATTATTATGTTTTGAAACTTTCCTATATTATATGGGAACAATACACAGTGTAGTTATTTAAAAACCAAGAAATATTATAAAAACGTACAATCTTATGTGATAAGTTATTTACACTAATATTTCAACATACATTATTGGGACACATACCTTTAACATTTATAATTTAATAAAGAAACGAAAGAAGGATCCGAATAGATTAGTACTACACTATCGAAAAGCTTAACTCCTAAGAGACATCAGTTACACAATATTTCATTTTCAATTGGACAAAACTTTATGACTACATAATGTACAGTACACACATAGTTTTAAATCTCAAGTGCTGTCAGCATTCATAATTCTTATTATTTAAATCTTATCTCTATCAGTTTGGTTCTTTTCTTTGGTTAGTAATATACAATTTCGCACGACATTGAAACATTCAATACACTACTAGACTTTCTGCAATACAAGTAAATTTGTAACTTTAATGAATACATCTGAAATGTTACACTACTATTACAACTCTATGTACATTGAAGATAATCTGTATTAACACTTAAATAAGATTTCAATTCTCTTGCATCGCAAAATATTACAGTTTTTATACTATTAAGTCTAGAAAGATAACCAAATAGTTGGATGGCACTTCTTTTCTGGTGTCAAACAGACTTTAGAAAGATAATATTTATAATCATTTCATCATAATACGTTTAATCCTAAAGAGAACTATTTTACATCACTTTTTTGTCTTACATGTTGAAGTCAAGTGACTAGAATATTACATTTAATATGAGATTCATTTAAATTATTTATTATTAATTATTTATTTGAATTCATTCTGTAGTTACACTGTACATTGTATATTTTCGTAAAAATGTTGCTAATTCATAAAATTCCTTATCCAATAAATTACTTTAACATTGAACGACTACATCGTAACTGTTATTTTTAATATAATTTTGTTTTTACAGTATGTTCCTTATATTGAGCATATATTTTGTGCAGAGCAATTAAGGTATATAGACATTTAAATTATTCTTAATTTTCTTATTTCAATAGCAGAAAAGATAAATATACATCTATTGTTATATATTTTTTCTTTTTATTTAATAAATCTCCAATTTTGCAACAATCATAGAATATTTGTCAATGTAAAATAGCTTCATAATTTATTTGTTCGTATTATGCTCTACGAAATATATTTCTGTTCACTACACATCACCCATATTTATTATATCACATCTTTGCATTCAAATGTATCTACTCGTACTATTTCTACATACATGTAACGTTTCTACTTGAATTAAAACAATCTTCATTAAACATTAATCTAGACATTTAAGTTTGCTTGACACGACACACGCTTGAACTAAGTTCTCTAGAATGTTCCGTGCGATTCGGAAAGTTTTGTCGTGTGTCAGTAACTTTCCAACACTCAATACCTATAGGTACCTACAGTTGTATATCTAGCTACTCATTAAAATTGTGCACCTGGTTCCGTATTCGATAACAAGCTACGAAGTTAGTGGTTGTCTACATATCACTTATAAAGTTTCGTCGTCACCTCCGCCTCTTGATTTGCTGTCTAGTCTCAGTTCTGCTAGCCTCTGCCTAATGCTATTTGGCCTGAAATCAGTAATTTGTGTGGTTAATATACATATATCGATATAAAACCCCAATAAAGGTAAATTATTGTCTGTTTTAGCCCTGTCAGCCATGCATAATTTTTTAGTTATTGGATATTATATTTTCTATTGACAATATTAATTATTTTTGACGTTAGTTTAGTACGGAGATGGTCGAATAGTTTCGAACTCAACCGGAACCCTTAGAATAGAACTATACACAATTCGCAATATCTCACAACAGTTACAATATAATAATAACAACTTGATTCTTACCTGTCAGAAAAGTATGAAGTGACCACTTGGTCGGCGGATACGGACTGTCTTTGGTATGCTCCTGCGCTCAGGTTACTCTGCGGGATCTTGTAGATTCTCACACACCTTCCGCTGTTTTCTGGGAGCACTGAAAACATAAATAAAATTTATTTTTTATTGTAATGCAATTATGTCATTGTTCTGTTTTAGTTCACTGCCCTTTAAAAGTTAGTATGAAAAGTTTTGTTGTTCGGGAACAAATGTCAAAACTCATAACCCAGTTTTGGGTATGTGAAACCAGAAACAGTTCAAACTTGTTGTCAATTTACTTCCAAACTTTAAAAGTTTGAGGTTAAACTAATTGAGAATAACAACGCTCATTAGTTGACTGTACGAACCTTGGGGAGAAGTTGGTGGTGAGATTGGCGCCATTCGTGTCAACGGTGGTCTAATATTTTCCTGTTCTGAAGAAATAGAACTGCTCCTGCTTGACGCAGAGTTATTTTCCGAAGGTGCGGTAGTAGTACGGTTCATGCTGTAGGGGTCTCCTCTGTTATGAAATTGTGGTAAAAATGCATATGTTTTTAATAATAATTTAGGACATAGTTTTCAAGACTATGTTTAAAACATTACTAAAGCACTTGACTCACATTTTAGGAACGGCATTAAAATATAATATCATTTATCATTAAAATTAAGCTAAAGGTCAACCTTTTAAAAGCTTAAGTAAGCAACGTTTACCTGTCGTGATTGTCATCTTCATCAAGAGAATAAGGTCCACATTGTTTGCTCATCTGTCTGACAAGCTCGTCGTGTAAGCTGAGACAAGGGTCTATCTCGCGACTTAAAGGCACGTATTCCGGTGCGCATGCCACATAGAATATATCCTGAAACTTATTTTGCGTTATAAAAGTAAAGTAATAATACATTATTGTTTGATTCAAGTTAATAGCCGATACTAAGGATCGATTCTGAATTACCTAAATGCCAAGATCAAATTCAATTTTTATATGAAAGAAGTAGTAGCCTGAAAAAAGCTAGCAGACTCCCTGTGGAGTTATTGGAAAGATTAGAGCAAGATGGATTGTAGCAATTTTTTGTTTCAGTTAAAAGCCTTAGGTTTTCTTAGGAACACATTTTTTTTGTAAAGCCTATCCTCAGAATAGTTTTGGACTTTGATGTCGATTAATGAGGTACTAAATGACCGCAAAAAGTTACGTTAGTGGATTCCTAGATCTAGATTTCGATAGAGTGATCTAATAAATGTACTTACTCTTCGCCCGCATAACAATTTCAGTCCAGGTATGCAGGCTGCGTGTACTAAGGATCCATTAGCAACTAGTCGTATCTCTAATAAATCTTCGGCAAATGCCATAATATAGGGGAAAGCGCACACTGAAACAAAAATAGCCGTTATTTATTGCTTCCAATGATGATAGAGAAGTTACCACTATAACTGATCCATATCACGATCCTCAATCATAATTGGGTACTTTCCTTCATCAACAAAGTTGAAATAATTTACAATAAAATAAAAATTTACAATAAAATATTAAAATAAAACATTATTGTACTCTTTCATTAATTGATTTTGTGACTAACTTAATTTTAGTATTTTCCTAGCAAATTTTTAAGATATAAGTATGCTGTTTGACGCTTAAAAAACGTGACGACACAACATAATCTCGTACAAAATCCATAGAAAACTGTCATTTTTGACAATTCAAAAAAAGTATTGAATTTGACTGCCTCGTTGGCCGAGTGGTCGCAAGTGCGACTGCCGGGCAAGGGGTCTCGGGTTCGATTCCTGGGTCGGGCAAAGTATTACTGGGTTTTTAAAAAAAATCTCAGTAGTAGCACGGAGTCTGGAATTGTGCCCGGTATATGGCAATAGGCTCACCCCCTATTACATGGGACTCATAGTGAAAAGTGGGTGGTACATTGTACAGTGGCATAATGTGCACCTCTGCCTACCCCTTCGGGGATAAAAGGCGTGATGTTATGTTATGTTATGTTATTGAATTTGACTAGTAGGAAACTACCCAATTAAAATAGTTATGTTCTCGATTCACATGTTGTGTTTGATTTCGCTCACCTACTGCTGCAGGCACAGTTGTCCAATGAAAGTCGTATTCCGTATCACTTTCCAGTCCTTTACTTGTTAGTCTTTCAAAATGGCACGTATCTGTGAAATGTAGAAAAGTAGGTAGTCCAGTCATTATACGATAGGTAGTTGTAAGATTATTAGAGAAACTGTTGGCTTCACAACTCATAAGGTACTGTAGTGTTTGTGACAAATTCATGGAGCATGTATAAGAAACATCTGCACATAAAGTGCAGGCTTGGAGAAGAATCAAACAACTGGGTTCTTTATTTTGAGGGGAAAAATCATCCAATTACTTTTCCCGCCTTAAATGAGGCGAGAGGGAATGTCAGACGTTTACTCTAACTAAAAACAACCCCGTTCCTACTCCTGCTTCGACCTGGTGCCCGGGCGACCCGGTAGGGAGTCCGCAGCTCCGGAAGACAGATGAATGGGTACTTACGATTATAACATAAAACAATTTGTCCGTCCCTCTCGTCTCCAATACGTAAAGCGTTGACGAGAGTACCACGACGAGGTCCACTATCTTCAGAGTTTTCTGCTCGTTTCACTGCCTGCAAATAACAGATACTCTTACTTTAAAATTACTCTTATTGTGGACTAAATTTAAGGTTGATTTAGATTGAGAGTGTACCTGGCCAGTCCCGGATTCTAAAACTTCCCAATGATGCTTGTATCCAACTACCATTATTCCTACTTCTCCATCCATAAGCTTGATCAGTATGGGCGATTCGCTTAGTTGGATATCCTAAAAGGAACAATAGTTTAATTAAAAATATGCGAGTACCTATAATTTAGGTCTTAATAAATAGTTTAGTTTTAGAAGATAAACTTACTTTGATATGTGTATATTCAAAACCCATCTCGTTGTCAGTCTTTGATTCTTCAATCATAAGCATTACCCTCCTACCGATCGCTACCGCTAATGTTGTTTTGCCTCCTTCGCCTAAAATCGGATAAGAAAATTTAAGTCTTCCTGTTCATTAACATTGGGCTGTTGCACAAAATTTCAGGTATGCGAAAGTTTATACAAATATTTTATAATAACTATCGTGAGACGCGTAGGGTGCTCATGAGGAAGAGTCCCTATATGACTCGAAACTAGTAGAGCTTTTTTCAGTATACAAGTATTATTGGAACTAAGCAAGCATATACTTTAATAAATTCCTTTGTAGGAACTAACCAGTTTCCAGTAGATCAAAATAATGAGCAGTCTTAGTCCTTGGAAGCCGAGCGTGCTTGCAGTCCTGTAGTGGTCGCATGGCCCATGCGCCTGCACAGAGCTCCTGTACGGGAAGCGCGTACAAGCCCGCGCCACCAGCGCCACCTGTCGTGGACCCTCCGCCAGCAACTACTCGAGCACCAACACGGAACAGTCCAGCTCGCTCACTCACCCGAGCTGCGCGGACGCAGCCTTCCCATCTTAACACTACGCGGGTGGTTCCGCTTTCTGTTCAAATTATCAAAAGGTTATAAGTACATATTTACAATATTTTAGAAAGATCGATAAATTGATAGGTAGAATACCTTCTAAAATGTATGTATTAGACGTCGTAGATAACAAAAGGCGTCCCTCAGCGAGTTGTTCCGCACAGACCGGCGTGGCAGGCAGTGGTGCAGCGCGCCACACTTTACCTTCCCAAGGGGCTCGTCGGGAACCACCGCATCCTAAACACATTAACTCAGTTACGGCAACGAACATTCACGATCGTAAGTTCATAATTTGAATACAAAATTGTTATCACAAATATCATATTTTTTAAACCTGTGACTTTATATCAATTTGATCCAATCGAATATCAGACTGGCTACCTGATGAAACAAGACTAGTGGGAGCATCGCCTCGCAGTACAGCATCAAGTTTGAGCGCCTGTCCCACATGCAAGAAATGTTCTGTCCGTGCAGCGCCCGCACCACCTGCGCCTGCGCCGCCCGACCATACGTCTGATAGCGCTCGCCGTGATAGCATGGGCTGGAAACAAATCTCAAGTTATTTAGAAGAAGATGTGACAAAGCTTCATCTATAAAGGACGGAAAGGGAGAATAGAAGGTGCTAAGGTAGGAGATTTTTGTTTTGGGTTTTTTGCAAAGCTCGAGTTATACGACTCTTCCATCTCTTAACACGATTTGGAGCTTTAATGAAACGGGTCGCTAGGTCGCGCTCATTATTTCCTGAGTCAGTTGCTGTCGGCTCGTCGCCTATCATTTGGGATTTGATTGTCTCATTTTACTAGACTTTCTTGGATCACAGCCGTGATGGTAATGATATGAACATGATCTGGAAGTGAAAGAAAAACATGTTTTTAGATAGATGCACAGTTTGTTAGATTTGCGGTAAGGATAGGTTAAATCGGTTATTTGTATATTAGGTACAAAAAGAGACATAAATGAAAACACAGGAAACTACCAACACAGATGAACTATTTATGTATGAGTAAGCCTACTTAAGTACAGTACAAGAAAATAAAGTATGAGATCCTTAAGGCATTTGAACTTTGAGTTCTAATTAAGGAAAGCAAAGGAACCATACACAAATGGCTGCTTATTTCTGCTTAGCTTTTGAAACTACAAGCTTTTCTGATTTGTTCAGAGCTTGAGTGAAAAGCCGAGCAAAATATTACCCAACAAACACTTGCAAGACTTTGCAAACTACAAGTACTTGTTACCTACTACGGTTCTGGTAACTTGGAAGTTTTAAAGTTACAAGCGTATGACGTGTCACTTACGGCATTGCTTGATATGTGGTTGGGGTAACTAAAAGTAGGGCATAAACTAAAATGCCAGAACGGTAGCATAATATAATCAGTTACTTGGAGTTGAACTACTTCAATGCTTGGACTCCACAGCATCCTCAAGAGAACTACTTATTCAAATAGCAAAATTAGATATATTAATTAAATAAATAAATAATTATAATATTAGGTGCAGTTGTTCTACAAAATCAATTTGTTAAACTACGAGCAATCTTCGTAATTTGACTCGTGACATAAGGAAAGAGCTCATTTTTGCTCATTCATGAATGCCTTTATCTCCTGGAAGGAAGCCAAAGTATTCAATTTAAGCTGCAGATATAGCTTGAATCAGTGCCCTGATTTGGTAACTTCCAAACGAGTTTAGTGTAAACTAAATGCAAAACTTGACATTTGTGAAGAAAATTATTAGAAATAACGTTTAAAATCGACAAGTTCTGTGTGGAGACTTACCACCTTATGGTCCGAGCAGTGTTCCGCGTAGATGTCCCTTATCAGCGTGTCCAAGGTTCGTTGTCGTTTCAATGCAAATGTAGGGGTTTGGAAGGCCGCTTTCTCTCCGTTCATTAATTTTACCTGAAAATTTAAATTATGATTAAAAGTAAATGTCAAACTCAAGTTTTGAATGTCGAAAAAAGATCTGAAAGCCCGTCCTTTGATTAGAACGTCTTTGTCTTTGCCATTGTTTTAATTAGAGAAAAGTAAAAACGAAAATAATAATTAACCACTAATAAAAGATCAGACAGAACGATGTTTTGATATACAATTTTCTATTGTTATTAATAGACTTAATATACAAACAATTGTATAAAAAATATGAGAACAATGTATCAAAATTTAAAGACAAATATGTATTTATTTTTAATTCTTGCTTACCAATAGAAACTCTCTAAATAATTGGGGGTCGTTGAATATTGGTGGACAAGGTAATGAAGGACCAAATGGTGGCACTGTATCGTCACTGTATACGCTAAGTTTATATCCTTCCTCCACCTCTGAAACGACTGCGAATATATCTGTTTTCACTTTAAGGAAAATATCCAAAACATTTCGTAATATAATAGAACACAAAACCCTGTATCAAATTTTTTTCGACAATATACAAAAGTATAAATTGAAAAGAAAAAGCGATGCTACTAAAAATTCCAGTCACCACCGACCACCCTCCTGAAGTGAACAATGAAAAATACAGAATATGTAGCAGACTGAAAAATATTGATAAAAGGATACGTGTGAAATGGCTTTTGACGCACTGCGGATTAAAAGTATTGTGCACAGAGTCGTCTGTGAACACTATGTTGACGATGTCGTTGCCGATGTGCCGTTTCCTCTCCAACTGCAATGGGTGTAAAGTTGCAAGTTTTATTAAGGCCGTAACTACTGGGTTACTGTCAGTCCAACATACGAAATGGTTCGGCTCCATACTCTAAATTATTTTGAACCGGAAACTCACAATTCTAGTTGGAGTTGTATGCAAAGCCGAGCTCCTAAATAAACTTCGACCTTCGTGATCTATGCTATTCGTTTTGTTTGTTGTTCGGAAAATGTAGTTATTTGTTCAAAATTTTGTTAGGAAAACCCCACAACAAATTGCTTTTAGAGTTCAATATAGCTAGGTAATAGAATCAATCTCGACTGTTTCTCTCTTCTTCTATATACCACGTAATAAGATATCATTGAAATTATGTGAAAGATTTCCCTTACATAGCTAAATAAACTTTGAAACATTTTCGACCGAAACATAATTATATTTTGTAAATAGTCTCACACTTTTTCTCTAAGTGATTATATAATTGTAGCCACATTAGACGTTAAGCTTTTCTACATAGTTTAAAGAATGAAAATATAACCAGAGTGAGAGCAGACGATAACAATATTCATATCAAGCCTGAAATCTCTAAATATAATTTAAAACATCTTCGTACAAAGTTACCTCAAAAATTTTAGAATGTCGTATCTTGGATCCGAAGTTCGAATGAAATAAGTTAAGCTCGTTTTCTTGGTTAAGCAAAGTTTAGATCTCGAGTTTCTATCAAACTTTGAAGTTTTTTTAGGAACTTTCATTCTTTTGCACATCAGAAGTAAGACTTAGATAATTTGGTTACGTGACGATGTCTAGTCTAAAAAAAATGTATCGAGTATCAACAATAATAAGCTTATGTTGTGACGATGTGATTAAAAGTACTTGCAATATTAATCACGTTTAAATAAATTGTAGGATAATTTCATTACACACCTGTTGCTTATTATCCTTGGAAAATGGTAACATTGTGGAGACGTGAAACATAATTTCGTGTCCTTGATGCATCGTGTAGATAGAATGGCTCCCAGTCATGTCACCTGTAACAAGAACCACAATTAAACTGTCAAACACCGCGAGGACACGGGTGACCGCAACCTATTGTTCTTTAATTGTGTCTATAATGACAGTACTCAAAGGGTTAAGATGTCTCAAGATAATATTTTCGACTGCGTGTTTCGGCAAATTATTATACTAGTTTTTCCGAGTTTACACTTGCTTGGCTTTAGCAAATACTCGTGTCTATTCAAAAATAACGAACTCTTGAGCTCTGGCAAACATGTTGGTTGAATTTATCGAGAAAACAAAAGTCTTCGCTGAAACACGTGTAACCCCGAGGCCATAGAAAATAACCTTCTACCGTTTGTTTATTGTGTAATAAGTTGTAACAAATTGAAATATGAATGTTACCTTTGACGTCTAGTCCCCCTCGAAAACGGTTCCAGCCTCGTAATCGAATTTTATCTCCCAAAAGTGAAATAAATCTGTCCCACTTCTCGTCGCCTTTCTCTGAAAGATTGCCAACATTTAAATGTCCTTTCCGAGAAATATATTTTGCGTTTAATATTTTAGTGTAATATTTACCGTTGGAAAGCATTTCATCGTCAGTCTTTTGGCCAGGTTTCATAAGCATTACCCCTATCTTAAAATTAACAGACCCTTCCTGTTCTTCAAGTAGTAGCACATCTTTTTGTAATTCGGCACATGTTATCTGTTCAAGAAAAACATTTCATTATACTAAGCACACATGGGTATGAGATACTGTGATTGAGATTTCAAAGTATTGCTCACCTCTCTTGGGACCTTATCAACCCGTTCCATTGATGGAAATTGTCCTAAAATTTGCTTGACTGTTGGTCTTGTTGGAGCTTGCCCTCCTCCACTGTTCCAAGCGCTTGGTGGTAAATATATCTTATGGGCACCCTGAAAATGTAATGAATACCAAGAAGCATTAGAACTATTAATGAAGTGGATTTTAATTAATGACCGGTTTGTTATTGATCTTTTCGAAGCTTTATTAAGCTCTCAAAAGAAAAATCTATTGTCTGTTCCTAGCATTCAACTTTTATTGCATACCTTTGAGACTAGAACGGATATGGTCATAAACGGTTCTGGGCTAAAAAGTAATGAAATAAGTTTATTATTAATTAGTTTGGTAATAAAATCAATTAAGATGAAATCAAGTATTTTAGATTGCACGAGCAAACAAATTAATTAATCCGTCACGAAGACCCCTTGGTGTTGCGACAGACCCAGTTTTAAAGGTAATATTTTTCTAATTGTATTCCCGGCTTTATAGCTGTAAAAGGCGTTATAATTTAGAACTGGCGTTCGAAATAAAAGTGATTGAAATCTTGAAGGGCGCGCTATTACTGTTGTAAGTGGCACTTCTCACCATTTTATTGAAGAGGATGGCTCTTAAAAGTCCCGCTCCACCCTCTTGCACTACACTTAGCAGGTACGGCTCTCTAGATCCATCAACTCCGATGTAGTTCTGATGCACTGCAAACATTTTATGATTGTAGAATGTTACGACTTACGATATTAACGGAATACGAAAGGTAACCCTCAGTCTGGAAATGAGAATAAAGTAATGCTTTCTACTTAAGATATTTTCATCTGCCTAAAACAGAGCCCTAACAGTAGATGCTAGGAAGGCCGTTCGATTAAGATTGTCATGTTACATAACTTTTACTCGAGAAAAGTGCAAGTACACGCAAAAAGGTTTTGAATTTCATTCAATCATTTCAAAATGTTCGCGAAGGCAACATTACGAATGTTTTAAGATGAAGTTTGAGGTTTCGCAAAATTGTAATGATACATTCTAAACTCAAATAGATATCAGGGTAAAACCATTTAGTCAGCCACTTAGAATTACGTTCCCGGAACCGACACCTCCTGAACGAACTATGAAATTCTATCAAGAAGGTAAACTTTACCCAGGACCTGTGCAAACAATTATGGGAATTGCTACCACATGATAATAAATAATCAACATTTCTGTTTATAATATTATCGTATAAAGGCAAGTGTATCTACATGCTGTATCTACTATTATGTCTTTTACCTATAGTATATTCAGAACATGTAGGTATAGGTATCTGCTATTATAACCTCATCTTAAATTCTAAAATATGGATACTATGTATATCACAAAGTTTATTATTGGTAAAATTAGCTTCGACATCAGATACAAAATGGGTGTACCTAACAATATACATTATGTAGATCGTAACAATAAAATTTTATTAATATCGTTTAAATTCTATCTTCGATACAAAGAAATGATCACGTTTCAATTTTGAAATTGTTTTCCAGTATATTAATTATAAAAACATGTTTTCTAGTAGTTTTGTCATATCAAAAAATATATTTCAAAGGCAAAAAAAATAGTTTTAATTTTTGGAATATTTTAGAATTAGAATGTGGTAATTGATAAGATTATAACCTGAAATAGGTACTACTAGGTTAGGTACGGTGATCTTACATTATAGATACTAGTTTATATTAGTCTAATATATAAGAGCACTGCAAAATACGAGTTTACATAGTACACGTGTTTCTCTATAGAACTTTTGGCGAAACACCATAATTATATTTTGGTATAGTCTACTATTTACAATAACAATCATACTACAAATCGCAAATGACTAAAACAAATATTTGTTCACGTAAATATTAGTTATTTGTTTTGAGAACAATAAAAGTTCATACCCATGTACGTATATCGCGCGTTTGAAACTTCTATTTGATAAAGGAATTCAATAACTGGAGCCTTTATGCTGGCTTAGAGCTTGAGATCAAATACGCCTTTTATTTCCATTGTGAGTACCCTACACATAATACATAGGTGCTTCGTAGACATGTTGGCATAAAGTTTGTTCATGGCAAGCGAATATTGCGATCCACAAAAATATGTGAACAATACCTACCTCATGTTTATGTAATGCAGTGTAAAACCTAACAAAATGTCATGTAATGATATGATCTAGCAACAAGCAAACCTAAGTTACTTAAATATGTAGTTATTACTCGTAGTTATTATTTGTTAGGTATTTCAAAATTCGAAATAATATGCAGTTTAACAATGTTCAGATATTGTTAACACAAATGTACTGTACTGATAACCTTATGGATGTAGGCAATGTAGGCATAATGTACATATCTTTACAAGTATTAATTATGATTAGGCCATAGGAAACTGGACAGATGTTGTTGACAGAGGACTAAACTGATGTTTACTAATATCTGATGATGTCATATGTTACAGATTATTACATTGTAGGTATTCATCTGCCATTTTTGCATTTTTGTCTTTACGACGCACAAACCTTATTGTTTTTTTACGTTGATATGAAGATGTTTACTGGTAGCGCGTTTGTAGCTGTTAATAGGTAAATTAATGACTTTGAGTACCTACTTAAACATTACTAAACAATACATGCCTCATCGCATAAAATATTGTTCATTTCATAAGTTCAGTTAAAAGAAGTAGCATGTTGAAGCAAAATTATATTTAGGTAAGTATATGTATTTTAGGAGTAAATTGATTACGTGGACAAGTTCAACCTGATTGTTTCAGATTCTGCGTTTGATATCTGTCGTTAACAGTCCTTATTTTGCTGTGTAGAACATCCTCCATTGTTATTTTCCTCACATTATATAAAAAAACACTTAGAATTTTTTGTATCAGTGCTTCGTAAGACTTATTTTTCTTCAAAAGGTCAAGTCTACAATTCTCATAAATAGTTTCAACTTAAAATTTTCTTGACATTCATCTGCTAAGAATAGTTTCTTAAGACCAACTCACAAATAATATAATATTTTATAAGATATTACATAAACGGGCTCATCTTGATATCATTTTCACTGAGTCGTTTGCAGCAGAAATTAAAATGTAAAGTTTTGAATTGGATACCGTTGTTACAATATCGACTGTAGTCTGACAATGAAGAATGTTTATGACATTTAAATAGACTTGAGATAAGAGTTACAATTGACTGTTAAAGCCCGCATACTAATAACTATTTCAGCTGTTGTTACAAAGTTCGCTAAATAACCGCTTGGATATACCGACGTGTCGTTGCCCCGAAATGAGGTACTTTTGTTGAAATTAATTTTAGCACTGTAGTGTTACGAACGCCGTTCGCCGAAAGATACAGGGTGAAGATAATAAAGCTATAAAGATATAAGTTACAGCTTTCTGCGACGGCTGGATTAAGTCACGCACCTACAATAGCGTTAGGTACTTACTGGTCGGTTTCATCGTAAATATTACTTGGTGAAAACAACCCGATTCATAATCTTTCCGCCTTCGGCAAACACGTAAAGTTTTGTAAATGAAAATGACAATGATGAAAACAAATATTTTTCCTTTACATCAAATGTAAAGGAAATATACCAAAATCATGCTTTTAAATCTTAGGGAAATATTTATCGTTATGCCTTCCGAAATAACCCTAAATAATCTCGTAGAGAAATATTCCGCTGTCGTATCTAATATGTATGATACAGCGACGCACACCACACAAAATTGGACTCTCAGAATGAAGGAAATTCTCAATTTAGGCTCACATATATCATGCAAGTTACACAATCTCGACTTCAAGTGCAGTGGGGATGCCATGTTTCTATTTTGGGAGAAGTCCGATGGGATTAGTACCTAGGTACTGCACATAATTTGATTTCCGTGCTCTAGTATCGAGAATCAAGCATGTAATGGTACTCTGCTTATGCCAATAATTAAAGGAAAATGAGATACAAATTGTAATTATTATTATTAAAAGAAAATTACTTTGATTTACAAACATGGTTTAAACCAATGTGTTCGATTAAGGTGTCATTTCGCTAGCGATAAATGAGGTAATTTATTGGACGAATGTATCTCTGTAAATGTCCACCAGGACCAGGACATTGATTGAGTCCTCACCATTACACGTCGAAAATAGGAATAGCAATTTTTCACGTAAAACACGAAGAGGGATTTGCGGAGAAACATCCGGGATTTTTGTAACAGTCCAACAGATGAATTACTCTAGTCTACTAGAAAAGACGTTAAAAATAGAACTACGTAACTACCAATTCATTGTAAGTACCTATCCTAGGTTTGGAACTGTAGGGTAGTAATTATAATTAATTTATAGTTATTAACCCCAGAAGTGCGTTGCTACCGCAACATAATCGTTAACAGTAATAAATAATGTTCAGGGTGACAATAGGTGGGCCCTGTCACAAACAGCTGTTCGGAACGACTCGCTATTGTTGCACGTAACAGAATTCATACTTGAATCAACTGGCGCAATAACAGTACAACAGCTTAATTACCTTTATGAGTAATGTACTGCTTTCAGAAACCGTGAAATTATTTACTATTTTGTTACGTACTAGATATATACTTCGCGAAGATTGAAACAGAAATGACGGTAAAATCTAAATGGTAAGTATTTTGAAAACCTGCCTTCTTTTGTCTAATCGGATTACTTATAGAACACATAAATAATAATTGAGTTTATTTACACGAAAAGTTCGTCAACCTTGGGTTGAACATATTACAAAACACTACACTGATTGTTCTTGCTAACAACTTGAGCATAATAGTGTTAAGTACTTTTAATTCTACAATAAAATTATATGTGAAGAAATTCTACGTATTCACGATGTGTATTCAAAGACTTGATGAATATTTTATTAAGTTATAAATGAATGTTTAAACTAATGAGTATTTCAGGTGTTACAATTTAAAATAATTCTCATGGATTACATATTTAATTAAAACATATTCATAGAAGTTTAAATAGCTACGATTATATTTTCAGGCATTATGAGTATTATTCTCGAAGGGGAACAGAGCTAATAATAAATACCTACTTATTTTTCAATGGTTTATTGTCACACTTGGGACACTACTTCAGACCTTCGAAATCGGGAATAGTAATAGTAACCACGAAGGTGTTTTGTCTATCTATAACAATGATAATCAACCTATAAGGGTTAATCTATAAAGATTAACACTAGAATTTTTGCTTTTAAAATTACAGATGGCTGCTCTGCCCAATTATTTTAAACGGTTGAGCGAACTTCATCTAAAAGGCGGGAACTTATTGTAAGTAAGAGTACTTTTCAAGTCTCACGATCGAAGTTTATTTACTCTAACCGGGAAACTTTACCGAAAGAGAGACTATTTTAATCGTCTCTCCTCACGAACCATTAATTTTCTATTTTTAGCTTGTCGATAGAGGCGGCAAATTTTACTAGAATAGGTAAAGTATATATAGTTAAGTAAAATTACATCTATCCTTACTTCCTTACTAATATTATAAATCTCAAAGTGAGTTTGTTTGTTTGTTTGTTTGTTCCACCTTCACGCCGTAACTACTCAACCGATTGCTTTGAATTTTTGCAGACGTCAAGTTAGAAGTCTGGATTAAATAATAGGGTACTTTTTAACCCGGAAAAATTGATATTCCCGAGGAAAAACAAAAGTATTGGTATAGATGGCGCTGTGTGTATTGGTATATGTCAAATAGGCTACGTTTTATCCTTTTGTGACGCGAGCGAAGCCGCGGGTAAAAGCTAGTAAGTAATATGCTGAAAAGGCGTTCGTTTTTCGCTCAAGATAATCGTAGTAGGTGCAAATCACAATTTGTAAAATGTAAACACTGTTGTGTACACAATACGTATGTAGTTGCCACATGTTTGTGTTTTTACGAAAATGGTGATTTAATGGCAACCCCATAATAAAACACGTTCATTTATTATAATTTAACAAAAATATTAAACCAGGAAAGGGAATAACTCAGCTGTTTCAATTTCATTCACGAACTGTACTTTGTTTGTGAATGGCTCAAAAGAATATTAAAATAATTTTCTCATTTTCTTTACGTTCTCAGTGAAGTGAATAACGGCTCTTCACTATTATTACTGTATTTATTGCCTAGCAGCTTATAATAAATAAAAATGTATTTTTGGATGTATTATGTTTAGCATTTTTCTCACCACGAAAACGTGCATTTTCTTGTATTCGATTTTTTTGTGTACGAAGTTTTAAAGAGATTTAATATTATTTTAATATTTTCGTGATCTTTATGTGTTTTATACCCTAATTGATGGATCAGTTGTCTTGTAAGAAAATTAATAACAGTACAATAGTTTGAATACAGACAAAATTACTTTTTTTACGCAAGAAAAATGCTTGTGTAAATACTTGTAGAACAATACTTACTTTTCCCGAGGAAATATTTGAAGTACCATCGCGTTTGAAACTCTGGATTTTCGAGTACAGGCGCGCTCGGGGGTCCGAATAACTGCAAACAATATTTAATATTAAATCTACGTTGTAATTACTACATATTGAAGTTTAATTTAAATTAATCTTACCTATAGGATGATTTTATGGATATCAAGTTTTAAATCTTTCTAGTTTATCTAGAGTAATCCTACACCTTATTATGTTTCTAAAGTGACACTTATAAACTATTCTAAACAATGTGTGTAGGGGTTTATGATTTGTGTTATTTTTTATGGGATAAGCCGGTAAATGAACAGACTGATCACCTGATCTGACCTGATAAGCAATCGGCGTCGCCCATGGACACCTGGAACACCAGAGGCGTTACAAGTACGTTACCGGCCTTTTGAGGATTGGGAGTTTGAGGATCGTTGGGGATTCAGGGATAGTTATCTATACCTACCCACTTTAACTTCATTAACTCGCGCTCGATCCAAAGTTTAGTTTCGAATGGAGAAGAATGAGCAAGAAACTCCATCGTCACTCCTTTCGTGATCGTAATCGTGAAGTTTCGATTTAATACTTTCAAAAACAAAAACTCTACTTTCGCAGTAATAGCGTGTAAATGCCATCATTGTGGTATCATTTTATTACATCTATGGTATCACAATGACAAATAACGCTAAATAGCTAGGCTTGGGCCGCAGATGCATTCCGCTTGGGTTGGGATCACTCAGACTAAGTTGTAATTGCTCATGTGTCTGCAATTAACTGGCTTGTTTACTCTTCAAACTCAAATCACTCCCAAATTGTTATATGAGGGTTCTTCTTTCTTAATCGAAAATGATGATGATTATGATGATGATGATGATGATGATTCAGAAGAAATGGTTAAATTATAAAATTCAGAAGTATGGCATACCTAAATACCTAACATTTACATGCAACTGACGTTGTAGGTATTGGTGATCAAAATCACGTTAAAATTGTAAGTTCTTCGATGCAAGTTATCCTAAAATCCAGTTTATTTAATAAATACATCGATTTTGTGATAACCAGATATTTATATACGTATAATATATTCATAAAGAGAAACCAAATAAAATATGACTTTCAGTGTATAAAATATATTGTGTTTTATTAAATATCTACGCTTGCCAGAACGTGGAAGGTCAGAATTTCGATTAAAATTCTGCTTTTCACCGAACGTTGCTTTTCAGTTAGTAAAAAACAAACTTTTCAGTAAAATTCCTGCCGAACTACGAACTAGAATATTGCTCTATAGAAATAACTTTAGAACGGTTCCCTTCAAACGTGCTGACAGGTGTTAATAGATTTATTTTACCCGAGAAAAACATTTTACTTACAGTTTTTTTTATTAGAAAAGTAAAAGGTAGTTATTTCAAGAACATTAAAAAAATAAAATTATAATTTGATGCTATTATGATGCCACTTACACGCAATTCATTACAAAAAAAACTATAACAGTCTAGAAATATAAATTTCGAGTCGTGTTATATTTGGTTTGCAAATAAAAATAATAATTATTATTAAGACTTTTTATTACTATCAAATCGATCTGTCATTGTAGGTAAATTTTTATTTTATAGTACACACTTATTCAATTGTACTTAAATATTTAAAATCATGTACCTAAATAAACTAACAAGACATAATTACAGATGCCAATCTAGATGCATTAACACACCCATCTTATATTTAATAGGTACACACCTATTATTCATATGTAATTTCCTGCTTTGCATACACTGCTATAGCACGATACACACATACATAAATATTTACATACACATATAGAACCCACATACGTACATGTAATCATGTGTGATGGATACCGTACTCAAATTCCTGAACATACATTATACCAGCGCAGGGTTGCCCGGATATTTGCCAATAAACTTTTGACAAAGGCCCACAATGATTTTTCGTGCGCCTCCATTCTGTTATTCAACATTTTCGTTGATATTTCATATCTATGCCTTTCAAAGGTATTTTAAAGACTAGAGAGATTTTTGTTCGGCATAACATTCAGAAGAAATCAAAAATACCTATTTACACATTTCATTCTGGCCACTTATAATTCCTATTGTAATAGGGAGCGAACCTATTTCTAAACATCAGGCACGTTTCCGTTAGATACATACACCTAAGCAGAATGAGTAATGACGGTCATAGAAATGATTTGCTGTAAAAGCTTGAGGGGGACACTATTACTAAATGGGTCAGCTGCCCCAAGGGAATGTTTAACGCTGATTTTTTTGGTATTAAGTATAGATAAACATTTTATATTTGTGTCAGTAGTTAGGTACGTTTTTCTTTTTCTAAAAAGTATGTACATTGTTCTAACATGGAAATACAATTTTATGACTATGGAATAGAGTATAAACTCTCGCTCTTTTTATTAATGCTGTAAATAAAAAGAACTGCCTATATTACAACTAAGTTGTAAGGTAAGAAAAAAGCGTGAAAGTGAAATCTTTGCCGTCAACAAATTTTTTACCTACAAAGGTTTACCGTCAGAAAAAGATACTTATGCTAGTAGTAAAATGTTGATGAAAATGCTTACCTCATCCTTTTCCCCCAGCGAGTTGCCATTTTCGAGGCGATAGCGGCGCGCCACCGCATCCAAGGCTCCCGGGTCGCCGGACGCTGACAGCTGCAAAACAAACCAACCTCGTTAATGACTGACACTTTTAATCATTCACAAAGGGTAGGAAACTAATGAAAGTTTAACTTCTTGTCAACTCATGTCAGCCCGTGGGCGACTATTGAATGTACTGAACGGGGTTGTCCCGAGTTGTAATGTAATTTAGCTAGAAAACTTGTAGATAATTGTACTTTCCTATTCGCACAAAATCATTGAAGGAATTTGGTAAAAAAACAATAAAACTCATTATAACATTTTCGCGCCTTTATTAACAATTCCATATTCAAATAAATGCAATTCTCAGAATTCTGGCCAGACTTATTAAAAAAAAGGTTTTAGCCAATTTTATTAATATTTTTTTAAAGTTTGTAGCTAAGGAGTTTAAACACAATTCCTGTTGTTTTTATCGATATTTTTTTAACGTTTCAAAACAGCATGGCACGTACCTAAGTGAACAAAAGAAAAAGTTAACAGGTAGAAGGGACTTTTATGTTAACCTGAATATAAATATTTAAGCAAAGAAAATTAAAACTTTCCGCAAAATTTCGATCCTATTTTGGTTACTTGATCCCTGAGACTGCGAAGTTTTCCAATTGGATGATAGGAATGGAAAAATTCAATCAAGCGGATGAAGACTGTTTGGAAGTTTCAAGAGTTTCAAATATTTGTATTATGATATAGAACTTGGTGCATATGACAAGTAATTTAGGGGTAAATACGGGTTTATTGGTATATGATAAATGTACTTACATTTATCTATTGTGAATAGTTTATAACTTTTATAAGTTTGCTCATTCAAAGCTCTTTCAAAAGAAGTCTAATTTACTTTTTTTGTAAGTTATCCTAGCATTTGATTATTCAACGTATTGGCAATGTAGGTACCTAATAATGTGGCATCTACCCATTATGCGTTATCTGCCTTCGTTATTTAAATAGTTATATCTACTTATTTGGAAACATTTATCCATATATTTGAGATAGGTAGGTATCTTATTTAGATGTTATTTTGGATTTTAATTTATTTTTATTTTATATCTAATTTCATCCAAATTACACAACTACAAAATCGTGGAACTAAAGTAAAAAAGTATACATGAAATAAACTTGGTCACATACTTACATACGTGGTTAATAGAAACATTAAGTGCCATTAAAACTGTTCATATCCAACGCACTGCAGGTCGAGATTAATTGACTTTTTGATTAGGCTATTATGCGCTACTGGCAATACTTACGTAAGAAAATCGTAAATCAGAACGAAACTAATATAAATATTGTTCATTTTAAAAAGTCTTGATAATGTTAATTTCGATGGAGCAAAGGTTAAATGTAGATACTAACATTTAAACTGCACATACTTACTATAACTGTCACCCTGTCACCATTTATTAACAAGCATTACAAAAATACATAAGTAAATATTAGAATTAACCTAAAGGTATCTGACTAGGCCCTTAGTTGTAGGATCTAAAATGGCACATCTAGAAATACATAACTAGAGTGTAATTTTAACGTAGAACCCAAAAAGTTTTATAACTCACTTTAGTCTGAATATCTTATAACAATCCGTCTGTCTTTATAAGCTGAGTACAAATCTTATAAAGAAACTTGATTGGCAGATTTAATTCTCCTAATGCTCGTTCTAAAATGGCTACCTCACATTTTAGACAGATGATATATTTGAGTAGACGTAGGTTGGTACTCTTGGTTCCTATTGGTCAGTTGCCAGGCAGTGGCAAGTAATCAAGACTAATGAGAATTCAGTTCGGGTCCACGACCTATAAGTACTTACGTATCAAAATCAAATAAAAAACAATTTTGGTAACGTTTTCCTTCTCATCGTCTACTTATTGGATTTGATCTCATTCCCTATGAATATTTGATTGCTTTCTCAAAAGCAGGACTAATGAAACGTTATGAATATTTTAGGTACATGGTATTATTTCGTAATAAGAAAAATCTTAACGTGGATGGTCCTCAAAAATTGAAATGAATATTACGTTTCTTGCAACATTAACCAATTTCGACGTGAAGAGAGTTTATTTACGAATTATTTATTTGACTCCATTCAGACTTCAGGCTCACTTTCATGAACAAATTGTGCTTAAAATCAAAGTTGGTGAAAAGATTATTCTCGATGAGGTGCCTACTGCTAAACAACTACATAAGTAGGTATACTAAATTTCATTTTAAGATTTAGAGGCTTAATACATGTTGGCCGGGAAGTTGACGTTCAAGCGTAAAATTTAGATACTTTAAGTATGATGAGGAGTATCCAAATCAGCCCTATGTATGTTCTACGATTTTGCGTAGCTTTCGAGTTATAATTTTTTAATAATTGCCTTCGTAATTTTTACCTTACATCAGTTTTCGGCCGTTTCTGGTTTAGTTGTTTAGTGGTAACTGACTAACATAGTCTAACCTAAGCCTAAATTTTAGGCCACTTATGTAACAAAATAAGTTAAACCAGTGTTTAGCATAAAATAATACGTAAGAAAATAAATATCCAATCTAATAAACATCCTCTATTATGATTAACCACAGTAACTTAACAAAAACAAAGTAAATCCTTCAGTTAACTACCTTCTATTCAGGACTGAATATAATCAAGAAAACAATGCCCGCCATTAACTGTTTGTGGTCTAGAAACAATAAGGATTCAATAGAGGACTTAATTAATATATTTCGACCAACAAATAGATTGTATCATCATTTATAAAACAGTTACACAACTATTTGTTTATTAATTTTAATTACGTAAATGAAAAAGAACTATCGCGTTATAATTTTAAAAAAGCTAGAAAAAAATATAATGGAGGTTCTGTTATTAAATATTTATAGGTACATAAAACCTGGTTGAATCACAACAAAAAATTTAATGCAGAGGCTATTTGAAAATTAAAATAAATAAAAGAAAAATAATACCTAATGCCATTTTACAAATTTTTTGACGAAATGTGGCCAGTTCCAAAATGTTAAACGAGGTTAGTAAAAAAAGTCCGTCACACAAGAGAAATAATAGTAATTGGATAACTATGTATTTATTATTATTATTTTAAATTAATATATAGGTAAGTAGCATTTCTGTAATATTTCAGCAACACAAAATAAACTGTAATATTTCAACAAAACAAAATAAGTATACCTAACGCTTATAAGCTTGAAATAATGATAGTAGAAAACCATAAAATACTAGGTAATTCAAACAAACACACATTTGGTTATTCGAATCTTTTAAAACTATGACTATGACATAACTTCAACCTGGTTGAAAACGGGCTAAAAAAAGGAATAGGAACATAAGAATTTTCTAAGTAATTAATACCTTATTTATAGATAGCATTTGTATGTTACAATACGAGTACCTACAATAATTCAAGTGATAACAGTTTCTATTAAATAGGCACCAAAGTTATAGCGTAATAGTAACCCAGCACACTGGAGTCATTTGAATGCGAAATGTTTTTTACGAGGCTTTTTGACTCGGCGTTGGTAAAATGAATATATAAAATACCTAGTGTTCCGCAGAAAGTAGGCCTCGCATAAAGAAGCCATAACTGCCATAACGAATGGCTTTAGGGGCGTTGGTGATCGCGGTTTGATATATCACCCTATGGTTCAATATCCTTATTGTTAGCGACTGGTTTATTCCACTTTGTTCACCTGGGTGATTTCACCTAGGTGAACAAAGTAGACTTTTTGGAGTCCTCAATTCACCTGGGAATTATTTCACCCAGGTGACATCACCTAGGTGAATTGAGTTGACTCAAGTAGTCTCCTTTGTTCACTTGTCAATTTAATTCACCCAGGTGCACAAAGGCGACTTTTTACTTTTACGTCGTGGACTTATATCACCTACCTACCTTACATCAAGTTAAATAAAAACTTTCAATTTAACATACATTTTAATATGTTCAAATATCAGATTAATGTTGGTCATTTGTCAACACATGCAAAAATATATCTCAATTTCTAACACTACGCTAGGAGTTCCATGTAATAGGGGTGAGCTTATTGCTGTACACTGGGTATAATTCCAAACTTCATAGTGTTTCATGCACCTTAACTACCTGTAGGTACATTCAGATACTTTTTTAAATTATGAATGAATGATAGTATTATAAAAGTAAGACTAAACAAATATAAGCAGAAAGCTCGAAACTCCTAACCTTTCGTGGGTTACACGTGTTATTGTGAGTCAACCATAAAAGATAAACATATGCTGTTCTGAAATATTATTTAGATAATTTTGTGTAAAATATTTCCGTCATACATGATTTCTATGTAGATTTAACCAATAATGCTGCACACGCGACGGAAGCTTAAAATGGATTAACTCTTCCCGTTTTCCCAATATTTCTCTTCACTGCTCTGTTCCTATTGATTGTACCGTGATGGAAGTATACTTTAACTTCCCCAGGAGTATGAAGAATGATTGACCCAAGTTTCGTTAAAATCCGTCGAGTAGTCTTTTCTATAAGGAACATACAGGCAGACAGACAAAAATTTTACTGTATGCATTTTTGTCATTACTTAGTAGCAATCATCCCCTGATAATTATTTTGGAAATATATTTCGTGTACAGAATTGACCTCTCTACAGATTTATTACAAGTATAAATAAATAGTTTTGGTGGCACCGCAAAGTAGGCACTTCAATGAACATTTAGGTGGATTTTCAGACCACATGTGGAAATAAAATTTCGTTCGTAATTATACCCAGTGTACATCTATAAGCTGGAACTCCTAGCGTAGTGTTAGAAATTGTGATATATTTTTGCATGTGTAATAGACCAACATTAATCTGATATTTGAACATATTAAAATGTATGTTAAATTGAAAGTTTTTAATTAACTTGATGTAAGGTAGGTAGGTGATATAAGTCCACAACGTAAAAGTAAAAAGTCGCCTTTGTGCACCTGGGTGAATTAAATTGACAAGTGAACAAAGGAGACTACTTGAGTCAACTCAATTCACCTAGGTGATATCACCTGGGTGAAATAATTCCC